ATTTTGAGGGAAAATAAATGTATGATTTATAAAAAGGTGAAAGAATATTAAATATGTTTTATTTAATATATTTAATAAGTTGTTTTAATATTTATGAGAAAAAAAATATATGTTTAAAATTATATATATATATTATATTTAAATTAAAACAAATTTAATCATTATTAAAATTCAACCAAGGACAAGCTCGCCTCTGTATATGACCATGCATAAATAATTAAAAAAAAAAAAAAAAAACTATAGGTGATAACGATAACATATATTATCAACACTATCTACAATTGAATTCTTTAATTATACATGGTCAATGCGCTGATGATATAGTAATTAATAATTGAGAGTTTCAATTTACCAGTTTGATAAAATTCTTTATACAAATTGTAAGAATAATAGAATGGAAAAAATAAATATAATCTGTAATTCAAACCCAAAAAAATAGCCTATATATAATATCTCCATTTTGTAATTGGTATCATTACTTCAACGTCAAGAAATATAATACAAAACTAATAATGAAGTACGCATAATTTGACTTGCTCAGTGATGGTAAAAGAAATTAAAATATGTATTCAAAGCGTAGACTTGAAAACATGACATGTGCACACAAACAACACCATCCTCAGCCGAAACATGAATAGTTAATAATATTGTAATAATCACCCATAGACTCTGACTTAGTATTATGCCTCATGTTCTTCATCAAATCACTCTGATTTATTTATTTTTTTATTCTCTTTTATTTCGAGCAGAAATATGAAATTATTATGAATTGTAGTCAAAGGTGTTGGACTGTGACTGAACAATATCGGAAATTAAGAATTGTGAATATTGTGATTTGAGTTTTGTTTTCCTCCGCTTGTTGCGTGTTTGCCTCTATATATGAAAAATGAAACCAGACGCACGTGAAGTTATGGTTTGAAACTTAGGAATTATTTCGGGTAAATAAATCTGGTCTAATTTTAATTTGTTAATTCATTTAATGGTCTTAGTTGGAGATTGATTGATGTATTAAAAAAAGAATATAATTTATTTGTTTAATTGAATAATATTAATTAATCGACATTAGTATTTAAAGGTGAGTCTTTTAGGCAGCCGCAAAGCAAAGTACACTGCATCTGTCATCTGCATGCATATTACTATTAGGGTTGTGTCATGCTGCCTCTTAATACTTCGCATTTTTTTAGGAATGACTCTTGACTCTGCATCTCCAACAATTCAATTTTGGCTCTTACAACTAATTCATGATCTTTTCTGTTGCATATGCTTTTCCATTTATTTATCTTTATACTTGCGTTTTTCACTTTGCTAACTATGCTGTCACTTACTTTAAATGAAAAGATTAAGATTGCACTCAGATACAACTTATGATATGAACTCAGAAATCTATTAGTGTGACTTGGACTTCAACTATTCCGAACTTGATCGTGACCTGCATCATACATTCCCCATTCCCAATTACGATTCTAATATCGCTGTTTAATTTCTTGGTGTAGATACAAGAACTAAGAATATTATTGATACGATTTTTCTTATTCTTGTCTGTTATAAATTTCACCACCTTTCTCTCTATTCATTAGTATACAATTAATTAATTTCATACTTTTTCTGCTTTCTTGACCAATAATGTTCAACAACTGGTTTATTTTGGGTTCTTTGTGGATATGGAAAATTGTGATTTTTGTTTGGTAGCTGATGTGGAAACTTTTATCGTGATGGCAGATATAATGGTGGTGTAATAAAGTTAGGACACGAATTAAAGAAAAGTTTACGGAAAATGCTTTTGATTCTTGACTTCAAACAAAGCAAGTTGGTTTGTCACAAGATGTGATGGAAACCGATTTATTTAAGGAATTGGAATTAGTTACGTCTTTGTGGTTATAGAAATTGATATTTTAAATATTGATCAACCACAGGAGAAGAAAACATGTAGGTGGAAATGCAAGAAGAAAAATACCTCTAGGTCACACATTTGGTTAAGAGAAGAGGAATATTTTTTATCAAAGTCATATATGTTTTTTTTTTGTTCAAAAAATTATAGAAAAAAAAAATTCAAAAGTTATTGTTTCCCCACCCTTTTCTCCTTTTTATTTTAGGAAATTTAGAAGAATAAAGATACTTTTCGAATAATAAGGTCACGTGAATATTATTGAGTAAATAATTTTCACATTTTTAATTTAAATACGACATGTTATATCGTGTTAGTTTTAAATAATTTATACTAAATTATAAGTTTTAATTTTATAGTAGTTTTTATAAGCACTTATATATTTATAATTTTTTTATTTACATTACACTTAACAATTTAAAAATAATTTAATTATTATGATAAAATATTATTTTAATATAGTATTTTAACTTAAAATAATACTAAATTTATAGGATATTTTATTTTTTTAAAAATATTTTTATTTTATTTTATTTTATAAAACTATTTCCTTTTAAAAAAATATAGGATCAAAATTAAAATTAAACTAATTTACAAATATTAACAAGTATTTAAACAATAATATATTATTATTATTATTATTATTATTATTATTATAAAATGATTGTTATTTTGTAAATAAAATATAAATGTTTTTATTTATTTTTTCATTCTCATTTATAATTAATGTCTAAGAATTATTGGATTTATATGTTTTTAATAAATATGATTTAAAATGTTAGTTATTTGAGGTAGTTGGGAATATGTAGCTAAAAACGTTTTTTGAGATTTTTTTATTTTTTTCTTAATTTTTTTAACCAATTAGTTAAGCACTCCAATGCTAGTATTTCTAATCCTATATTAAAAGTAATTCATAGAATATGACAACATATAATTGTCTTAAAAAATAAAGAAAACTATAATTGAAATTGTTGAAACTTATTTTTAATTATAATTTTCTAATTTCTTCATCACCGAAATAATAAAATTTTAAAAAATTTGAAATAATTAAACATAACATAAAAGAAGAAATTAATTAAATTTAAAAAATAAAAAGGAAGATTAATATCAATTTATAATTTAAATGATTTGATTATAAAATTGTGTAATCTAACATAAAACAGAGTCAAATATATATTTTTTATATAAATAATTATAATAAATATTTATGTTTAATATAATTAAAATATTTATTTGATTTTTATATAATATCAATTATTTTATTAAATTTTTAATTTATAATGTTAAAAAACAATTAATTTAATATGTGTTAAATTATTTTTACGAAGAATTCTTGATAATATGTAAATTCATAAACACAAGTATACACATTATTTTTTAAATAATTATATATATATTTAATTTTTTTTCTTCTTATTCATTTTTTCTTTTCAAGACTTTTATTTTTTTTATGTAATTCTTTTAATTAAAAATAGTATATTAAAATTTAATAAAAATATGTTAAAGATGATTTTAAAAAAAAATCAACATTAAAAGTAATACAATATTTTTTAATGAATAATTTTTTTAAAATTATTTAATTTAACTAATTATAATCTAGTCTAGTTATAACTATATTAAATTATTAAATAATAATAAATATTAAAACTTTTTTAATTAAATGAATAATTTATTTATTATGATAAAATAAATTTAAATTAATTATATATTATTATAAATAAATTTATTTATTATGATCATAAATTTAAATAATTAATTGATATTTTTTAATTTAGTGTTGATTTTAAAATTTAATTTTAACATGTTTTAATAAATTTTAATTTAATATTTTTAATTAAAAGATAAGGAAACAGAGGAGACAAAAATGTAGAAATTATTGTAATATACTGTAATAAAAAAAAATTCGAAGCTTAAAATTTGTCTTTTTTAATTCTCATGTATGAAAAAAATTATTGTAAATTTCTTTTCACTCTTAAGTATTACGATTTATATACATAGAAAACAAAAAATCTCAATTAACCATTCTAATATTTTTAAAAAGATAAATCTGTCACTACCTCAATCCAATGCCATGACTGGCACAGAGATCAATGCCCCTAGCCTAATACAAACCTAAATAGAAAAAACAAATTTGATAAAGTATTTTTCAAAATAAACTGTATAGGATTTTATAAATATTAAAGGACATGCAAAAGTTTACAGAAAATATTTATCGACATAATTCATCAACCAACTAGATGTTGTTGGAAACTCTGACTGATGATTTTGTTGATACAAAATAATTTACGAACATCATATATTTCTCTCAATTTCAGTATGTAATGTTCAAATTAATAAAAGGTTAAAGATAGTTATACTAAATATTAAATTAAGTTAAAAATAACCTATGAACTGGGTTAGTCCAATATTTTAGCGATAATGAATTTCTTAAAGAGTCGTGATTTTGTGGGCTTGTTGAAAATGTCTCTACTGTACTAACATTTTGATATATTTAGTTTTGTATTTGAGGTTTTTTCGATTAAGATTTTACCATACTTAAAACAAAATAATCTTAGAAAAGTATTATATGTTAAGCTAAAAAATTACATTAAAATACAAGAGATTAGACAGCATTAATGTAAACTTTCCAAATTAGAAGTCTCTTTAAGTTAGAAACTAATTCTTAAATTTTTAAAAAGATAATTATATTTGTTGGAAGAATAAATTCTATATTTTTTGTGTAAAAGATTAAAAAATAATTGTATTAAAGTGAGGGAATAAAATATATATTTAAATATTAATTTTATATGTGTTATTTCATAATTCATATTTTACAAACGATTGTTAAGGAAGATTTGGAAATTGCAAACTCATGGGCTTTTTGCAACTTTCTTCAATGTGGTAAAACAAAGGGAAAAAGAACAAAACGACTATTGTGGCTGTTTGGTATTTGCGTTTCCCTTTTGTCATGGTTTTCCCTTTGCTTTGGTTTTACTTTACCTTTCTTCCGGGACTGTGACGAGAATATATACCTTTTTCGTATTATAATTTCCTTCACATTTTTTCTCCTATTCTCCTCTCCACACAATTTCTCTCTGCAAACCCTTCTTACATCTCTTCGCCGCTCACAGTAGCCATGGCTTTCAGAGTCAGAGGGGGTGGGGTAGGCCTCTCATCTTTTCGCCTTTCTCTCTCTCTTTTTTTGAATGAACCTTATTTTGACTGTGCTGTTTTCACTTGATTATGTCGAACTTTTATTTATTTTTATGCTTTCTCGGTCGATTTTTACTGATGCTACAAATTTTGGTTAAATTTTTATCTCCACTTTGTAGTTCTGAGTTTTTTTTTTTTTTAAATGCTACATCTATGTTTAATCGCGTGTTTTTAGCTTGTTACACTCGATAACAAATCGATACTGATATTTGTGTTGTCTTTGGTTTGGGTCTAGATGCTAGTATTTTGAAACTTTATCGTTGATACATTTGAGTTGGGCCTGGTATGTGTAATATTTCCGGTGCTATGTTGGATTCGACATGAGTATGGCTTAGAAATTGAAAATGGGAAGGTTGTTGATCTTTCCCCTGGCTTAAATTTCAACTGGTTCACATTGATGATACAAACTGTCTTACAAAAAAATGGGGGTCAAGAAATCAGGCTAGATCATATGCTAACAATTGAAAGTTTATTGAATATATTTTTCCTTCCTCTTGCATGAAGTTGATTTTAGTTGCAATTAACTTTAGGTGCCTGTATCAGAATTTTTAATTAATCCAGAGGATTGGATGCAAAATAAGTAAGCGCATTTTGTCACTTTTGAAATGTTTTTATTTTATTTTTACAGACATACTGCATATGAACTTGTGACCCAGCGTAAGGGAAGTACATGCGTTAGGAGTATATGATTGTATCTCCTATTGGACTGTTGTATTTTGTACACGGAAACGAAACAGCATTTTTTTTCCCGACAACTAAGATTCATTTTACTGGAAGGACATTATCATTGTCATTATTGGTAATATGGTTAAAAAATTGAATTTGAAAGGGGCTATAATTTAGGATTAATCAATATGTTGCTTCAATGTAGGGAAATGCCTCTTCTGGAATGGGTGTTTCTGAGCATAGCGTAAACACGTTCCAGGAATTACAGAGGAAGAAAGTTCATCGCTATGTGGTTTTTAAAATTGACGAGAAAAAGAAAGAAGTTGTGGTAGAGAAAACTGGAGGCCCTGCTGAGAGCTATGATGATTTCACTGAATCCTTGCCTGAAAATGATTGCCGATATGCTGTCTATGACTTTGATTTTGTGACATCTGAGAACTGCCAAAAGAGCAAAATCTTTTTTGTTGCATGGTTAGTCTCTTGATTTCTTATACTACTATAGAAATTGCATATTATTTTAACTTATTCAATTTTATTATTGATTTCTGTGTACACTGCTTTACACATTTGGATATAGCATTTTACTGTTGCATCTATGTAACTTGCACTCAAATCTTGAAGAACAAGTAAATTATTGAAGCCTAAGACAAAAGTCTTAGGGCATCATGCCCACTTTGCTTTTCTAAAGAGCTGTCTATGGGAAAAGTGGAAGCAGATGATACAATGTAAATTCTGTACAATGATGTAATTCTCTAGTATATCTTTATCTGATTCCAGTTGTTTTTTATCATTGTAATTTTTTTCCTGATTAGGTTAGGCCAATGAAGTTTTATAAAATGAGTACAAGGGGTGCTTAAACCCTCTAAAAGAATCAGGCCATATAAATCAAGAGCACATCAAAAACCAACAACATTGTCTGATACTAGTAAAAGGGTCATTTTAAAAATCAGAAAGTAAACAACAAACCCCTTCTATTGCTCTGGAAAACCATGACTGACATTGAGAAGCTATGATATCCATCAACCCCACTATATCAAAGGTGAAGTTTTGGATAACAGTTTTATTTTTACAACAACCATATTAACAAAACTACAGCATGCTTGAAAATATGCCAAGCATTTTCTACTTTCTTTCTTCTATCCGTACTTCCATGCCAAGATAAAGAACTTGACCACTACGAGGCAAGGCATAACTGCAGAAAATCTAAGCCAAGTGTGAAGTAAAGACTGTTGTAAGGAATGCAGGGCCCATTTCCTTAGCTACTCCCATTAAGCCAATCTAGACCCACAACCAGGTGCCCCTTGATGCAGACTCACGTGAGGAAAGTTTCAAGAGAATTAGGCATCAGCCACAACACCTGAAGGACTATGTGGTCACGTGTCCCACCTCATGCAAAAAGGGGAATTCTTTTAGAGAGAAATGATTAGGAAGTATTTTCGTTATTGCATATAATTGTATTGCAAGGCTGTAGTCATTTGGTGTATATATAACACACTATTGTATTGAAAAAATAAGGGGGATTAAAAAAAAGTATTTTATTTTCCTCTTAAGAATCTTCTCTCTTTTCTGTTATCATTCTTCCTTTCTTTCTCCCTATAGCATCTTTCACTGGTGCTTTCATTGCTTACTCACCATGACAGACACCCCTCCTATCCATGACGAGCTCTCCAAGCTCAATGTCAAGCTCGAACAACTCCTCCTCTCCCATGCCAACCTTTCCAACACCTTTCATGACCTTTCCAACCGCACCGCCCTTCTGGAGAACCACCCTCACTCCCCGCACATCTCCTTTCCTCGCCCCCTCAAATTCGATCTACCCATCTTCAACAGATCCGATGCACTTGGCTAGATCTTTAAGGTGAACCAATTCTTCGATTTCCATCACACTCCTCCAGATCAACGCATCCAGGCAGCCTCCTTCTACTTGGAAGGGCAAGCCCTTGCTTGGTTTCAGTGGATGCACAACAATGGCCTCCTCACCTCTTGGGATGCCTTCCTCAGAGCTCTTGAATTGTGTTTTGCCCCTTCCAAATTTGATGACCCCATTGCGGTGATTTGCAAACTCACTCAAACTTATAGTCTCCATGACTACCTTTCGGAATTCAAGACGCTAGCAAATCGGATCTCCGATTATCCACAGTGCTTCTACCTCGACTACTTCCTTTCAGGTCTCAATCCCCACCTCCGGCAGGAGGTAACCGCCTTACAACCACCTAACCTCTCTCATGCCATAGCCCTCGCCAAACTCCATGATGATAAATATCATACCTCTTCCCCCCTATCCAACCGTTTTGGCAACATTGTCAGATCCTCACCTCTTTCCCACAACTCACCACCTCCACCACTCAAACCTCTACCACCCCTCCTGCCCACACCACCCACAAAACTCCCCATTAAGAGACTGACTAAAGCGGAGATGCAAGCTCGTAGAGATAAGAATCTCTGTTTTAATTGTGATGAGCGATATACTAGGAGTCATCACTGCAAGCCTCAATTTCTCCTTCTCACTTCTTTCGATTCGGAAGCCTCCGAAGACATGGCGGCACAAGAGGACTCTCCAATCACTGATGAGGCTTCACTCAAGGCAGGGTTGATAAGCTTACACGCTTTTTCAGGTCACTGGACCCCACACACATTTCGGGTTACCGGGTCGATCCAAGGCTATGCTATCCAGATCCTTGTAGACAGTGGGGCAACACATAATTTTATTCAGAGCAGAGTAGCCCAATTTTTCCGTCGACCTTCTCAGCCCACCCCAAGCCCACTTAGGGTCATGGTAGGCAATGGGGAATTCCTTCTTTGCTCTTCTTTTTGCCCTCAGGTCTCCCTCTCGCTGGACCAACAAGACTTCTAAGTGGACCTGTACCCCTTAGAACTCTAAGGAACCGACATGGTCTTGGGCATCCACTGGTTGTCCATGATAAGCCCATTCGTAATGGACTATAATGACCCATTAATGAGATTCATATGGAAAGGCAACTTGATTGAATTAAAGGGTGATCATGGACCCAACCCTTCGCTTATTTCAGCTGATCAACTTCATCGTTTGCACAATACAAACCAAGTTGAAGCTCTTTTCCAGTTGACCCTAGAGCTCCCTTCACCATTCACAACCACCACCAACAAACTTGCCACTGCCACCCTTCCTTCTACCTCTCCACCCCAACTACACTCTCTCATCCAACAATATTCCCCCCTTTTCTCTACCCCCATCGAACTTCCCCTTACTCGACCCTCCAATCACGCCATTACCCTCGCCCCAAACACTGCCCCCATCTCTGTTAGACCTTACCGATACCCCCAATTCCAGAAGCAGGAGATTGAGTCCCAGGTCCAAAAGATGCTCGAGATGAGATTCATTAAACCCAGCATGAGTCCTTTCTCCTCCCCGGTTCTTCTTCTTAAAAAAAAAAGACGGCACATGGCGGTTTTGTATTGATTATTGGGTGCTTAACGCCGCCACTGTGAAGGACAAACTTCTGATCCCCATAGTTGATTAGTTGATCGATGAGCTGGGTAATGCTTCATGGTTTTCCAAGTTTGATCTCTACTTTGGATTCCATCAAATTCTCATGACCCCCGCCGATTCAAAGAAGACAGTGTTCAGGACTCACAATGGCCATTTTGAATTCTGGGTAATGTCATTTGGTCTTTGCAGGCTCTTAAATCCTCACTTACTGTTAACACTGAATTCACGTCCCTCAGAGACAACATTGCTGCTCAACCGGATGACTTCCCATATTTTTCTTTAAAGTAAGGCCTCATCCTTTTCAAGGGGAAGACTTGGCTGCCCTCATCTTGCGCCCTCATACCTCTGCTCCTGCACGAATTCCACTCCACACCCATGGCTGGCTGTTGAAAGTCCCACATCGCCTACCTCATATCATTTGGTATGGTTTAAATACATGTTAGGCTACTTCCCATATAGCCAATTGGTTTTATGTTGGAATCTTAACATGGTATCAGAGCCAAAGCCTAACATCTTTCCGGTTATTGTAATGGGCCAAAAGTTGCCCTTTAGTTGGATCAAAAGTACCATTTGCCTGGTCCGGCAGGCTTCGTTGGAGGGTGTGTGTTGAAAGTCCCACATCGCCTACCTCATATCATTTGGTATGGTTTAAATACATGTTAGGCTACTCTACAGATTGCCAATTGGTTTTATGTTGGAATCTTAACACTGGCCATACGGGTGTTACCCGCACTCTAAGCAACCTTGCCACCAATTTTCATTGGGATAACATTCGCAGAGATGTTCGGAAATTTGTGGAGCAATGTGTTATTTGTCAACAGACCAAGATTCCAACCCAACAATCTTTAGGGTTCTTACAACCTATTCCTCCTCCCTCTCAGTGTTGGACGGATTTATCTCTCGATTTCATCATTGGGCTACCACCTTACAAGGGGTTTACAACCATTTGAGTTATTGTTGACAGATACTTAAAGGGCGCCCATTTCAGAATGCTTCCAAAGTCATTCACGACAATCACAGTGGCTCAACTTTTCATTGATATCGTTTGTAAGCTCCATGGTTTGCCTCACAACATCATTTCCGTTCGTGACCCCATTTTTCTGGGTAATTTTTGGCAAGAATTATTCCAGTTGAGTGGCACTAAATTGAGGATGTCCACGACTTACCACCCTCAATCCGAAGGGCAAACTGAGTTGACCAACAAGGTTTTGCAGCAATACCTTTGTTGCTTTGTCCATCACAAACCTACTCTTTGGGGAAATTTTCTTTCTTTGGCCGAGTGGAGTTTTAATACATCAGTCAATGCTTCCACAGGATTTTCTCCTTTTGAGGTTATTTATATGGCTACAAGCCTCCACTCATGGCCCCCATAATTTCGGGAGACACGCCAAATGCCGCTGTGTAGTCTGAGCTCTCTTCCCGCATGGACATACTTCGTAAGTTCGCCTCCAACTTGACAAAGGCTCAAGCTTAAATGAAAAAGTGGGCTAATCAGTCTTGCAGAGATCTTCAATTTCAAGAAGGAGATTGGGTGTATGTTCGGCTCCGCCCTCGCCAACAAACCTCTGTCACGGGTACCAGTTCTGCTAAGGTTGCTTATGAAGTGGAGCACCCACCTTATGCTCGCATTCACAATGTGTTTCATGTCAGCCTCCTTCACCCTCACAAAGGCCCTCTTCTCTCTGCCGCTTTGTCCTTACCCCCAATCATAGAGGACAACCAACCCATTTTGGAGCCTGTTGCAATTTTGGATTGGAAGTGGGATAATTCCTCTACCCACCCCCACATATTCTGGTTTTAGTGCATTGGCTTGGTTTACCACTCGAAGAAGCCACTTGGGAGGACTGGTCTCTTCTGCAACAGCAATTTCACCTTGAGGACAAGGTGTTTCTCGATCCGGAAGGGGATGTAAGGAATGCAGGGCCCATTTCCTTAGCTACTCCTATTAACCCAATCCAGACCCACAACCAGGTGCCCCTTGATGCAGACTCACGTGAGGAAAGTTCCAAGAGGATTAGGCATCAACCACAACACCTGAAGGACTATGTGGTCACGTGTCCCACCTCACGCAAAAAGGGGAATTTTGTTAGAGAGAAATGATTGGGAAGTATTTTCGTTATTGCATATAATTGTACTGCAAGGCTGTAGTCATTTGGTGCATATATAACACACTATTGTATTGAAAATTGAAAAAAAGAATGGGAATTAAAAAAAAGTATTTTATTTTCCTCTTAAGAATCTTCTCTCTTTTCTGTTATCATTCTTCCTTTCTTTCTCCCTGTAACATCTTTCACTAATGTAACAATCATAAAGATAAGGAGGGGAGTCATCCCTCAAAAGTCAGCCCAAGAGGTTGGAGAACCTCCCACCTTATAAGGTCTCCCTGGTAAGGAGACTTCCCTGATGTGGAGCTTGTTATACTATCACCCCCTTCAAAAATCAGCATCCTCGATGGCTGCACTCCCCGGTACTTCACTCACCGGTACTTCACTCGGCCTTTTTACCGATTAGAACCCTCCGGTGGTCAGAACCCTTCGTGATGTGGGGCTTGTTACACTACCACCCTCTTCGAAAGTCAGCATCCTCGATGGCTGCATTCCCCGGTACTTCACTCACCGGTACTTTACCCGGCCTTTTTACCGGTCAGAACCCTCCAGTGGTCAGAACCCTCCGTGTGTAGCCCTTCTCGAGTTGGCTGACTCTCAATGAAAATACCAATGTAACAATCATAAAACAAGGAGGGGAACCATCCCTCAAAAGTCGGCCCAAGATGTTGGAGAACTTCTCACCTTATAAGGTCTTCGTAGTAAGGAGACTTCCCCGATGTGGGGCTTGTTACATCTGCATAATAGAATCCCTTTAAATCATAATAGAATCCCTTTAAATTGAAAGGGTCTTTATCCTCTGAATTTAGAAGCAACCTAGAGAAAGAGTCTTTGAGGAATGATGAGCCTAACAAGGTATCATACAAAATTTAACCTTCTCCTTCTCTTGACTGAGAGATGTGAGAGGAAAATGCTCCTGTTTCCATCAAGAGAAAACCATAAAGGCGTAACATCTGTAACACACTCAATTCTACATAGCACTTCACATTCAAAACATCCAATACTATCTTAATGTAACCAATATTCTATTCTTAAGAATGCCTATTTTACTATTCTTGTCATGACCTATGCTAAATACACCAGAGAGGCATAGACCTGAATAAGTATTTTGACAATTCTTAAATCTCAAATTTTGCATATATTTCTTTTTATAAAAATGTGCGCAAAATTTTGTTACTTAGCTTGTAGCTGCCCCCAGTGAAGCTCTCATTCTATTTTTGAGTGTTTCTTTGTATTGTTTATCATTAGATTATTTTACTTACCTAGATCGTTACCAATCATAAATTTTGCTAGAAAACTATACAAAGAATAGTAAATAAGTTTGAATGACTGAACTGTTTTCTCCAGACTTTAGTTATTTGAATTACAAAATTTGGAATTTTTTTTCTTTTCTTAAATTCATGAGGTGAAATTTAGATATTGGTAAAGCTATTAAGTTTCTCTCTTTTTGTGATTGGATGAAAAGAATAAGCTTAGTATAAATCGAATGTGCCTAGTCTTTGGTTGGCATGAGACGTTGGTTGTTTTGATGATTAATTTTTTAAGGTAGAACGAGTTCTAATCTTTTGAATTGGGATCTGAGTGATAGTTGGCATGTGCAAGTTTTATCAGATCGAAGAAAGTTCTAATGGAATTGTCTACAAATTTTCATTCAAAATTGAACCTTAATACCTCGCCGAACTAGGGACTCTATGTAAGATTCTAAGTATGTTTTTCCTCGACCACTATACTTATCCACTGGTTTGTTCCTTCATCAGCTTTTACCTCTTTTTTCGCAAATTAGTTGTTTTATTATGTTCTGTCGTCCTCAGTAAATATATGTGATAGTTTTTCATTATCTTTCACTTCACATGAACTGTTGTGTTAAGTGTCTGTATATGGTATCTCGAATCATCTTCTCAGCCATTTCGTCAGTTTTGTGTTAATTATCTTTTTTAAATGTACATTGACTATGATCGCAAGAAAGACGACAGCCTTGAAAGAATTGTTGGGTCAGTTTCAAGATATGACTCCCCAGTTACTTTCTGGTTGCATATGGCTAGCTTATATTGACACTCGCAGATAAAATATACCTTCGATTTGTTGTCTTTATTCTTCTACTTTACAGTTTATAAATAGATTATTTTACAGGTCTCCTTCAGTATCCCCCATTCGCTCCAAGATGCTCTATGCAACATCCAAGGACAGGTTCAGAAGGGAACTGCAGGGCATTCATTATGAAATTCAGGCAACAGACCCAACAGAGATGGATCTTGAAGTCCTGAGAGAGCGTGCAAACTGAGCACCTACGCATGAGGGTGGTGTTTAGGTGATTTAGTTAGGATATATGAGGCCCTGAGGGAATGATGTCGACTGATACCCTTTAGTTCTACTATGGTATTTGTCTGTTTCGATATATTTCACTTAAACAGCTGACTTATCATTTATCAAGAGAATAACCTACACCTGTGAAGGCTGATCAGGGGTTCCTGCCTAAGAAACTCCACTGCAGGGGAATTTCAGCTTTTCCTTATTGCCATGATGCTTCACAGGTGTAGATTATATATCAACGGCTATTGAAAAATCGACTTATATTCTATGAATTTCAAGTGGAAGTTGATCAATCTACTTTGTTACATGTTAATTCATGCGGGGGATTGAAACATTTGCCATTTGCCATTTGCCATTTGCCGTTTGCTTTCTGAACCAAAGGTATGGGAACTACCAAAAACAAGGCACTTATGAATAATCGATCATGTATAGGGTTTTTTCTTTTTATACCTAGAAAAAATATATTTTTCTTAAGTCAACTCCACCTATAATAAACTACATTTACAAAGATTAATTAAAATTCAAGTAATTATTAGATTTTATAAGGCGTTGTTGCTTTATTAAATTCAACCAATGATATGAGTATTATGCAACTGCAAGTGGCTCCACTCCATTATTCCTTTGGTCCTACCATCTTTCTCTGTCTTTTTATTTTATTTGTGTCTTATCTTAAAAGTGAGAGTATATAATACCATTATTGTCTATTTATATTCTACAAAGTACTGTATTTTCTATTTTTGTTAGTAATACTGTGTTAAATTGAGGCATGGGCATGGGTCCTGTGATGAGAGTTATTTAAGGGGAATGATGCGATAGAAATATAGTGACCATAAAATACTCATGGATAGAGAAATTGAAAGTCAAGTCACAGGTGATATAAATAGAGTACCTTCCTCGTTATCATTTTTAACTAAACTAGTAGCTCAAGGTGTTAAATGTATAGTTAACTATTGTTACATTAAAGTACTTAATATAGGAAACAGGTTAAGCATAGAAAAATTAATGACCATAAATTTCTACTTTTTTGTTTCCCCAGTCAAAGGAAAAAAAATTACAAATGGATAAATATAATTGGTAAGGAATTTATAATTAAATAAAAAGATTTACCCTACCTTTTAAATTGAATGAAAGAAAAATAGACACGTTAAATGAACTGAAGTGTCGAATTTTTTATTGAATTCTACTCCAATTTTTTATTTATTTCATCTTAAATCATGCAAGTATTGATAACTAAAACTATATATTCCATTTTACTTTATTCTATACCCCTTTCTTGTCACACTTTTTAAAAAGTATTGGTTTTGTTCTTGTCAAGTTTCATTCTTTGTCCCTTTTCATCAAATTCAATATCTTCATGGTCTTGATACTATTATTTTTATTCTGTCATTCTGATTTTAATATGATAAGTAATATTATGAATATATTGTTTAGTTCAATAATAATGTGTGTAAAGTTAGTCAAAATCATTCATTAAAATTATTTTAATTTTATTTGAAGTTTATCTTTTATGTTTTTTTGAAATATAATTTATTTATTTATTATTTGTTGATACATAAAATCATTTATCTATTAAAATTATATTGTAATTATTTTCATTTGATATCCTTTATATACACATGAAGTTAACTAAATGAGATAAAAAAAAGAGAGACTATTATAAAAGATGCATTGCTTATATTTTAAGGTAACAATATTTAGTATAAGAATTATTTTAACATACTTGAAAAAATTAGACGGGAATGTTAATTTATGAATGAGTTTTCACCTTTATAGGTGGGAATACATTTTTCTGTAGTACTTGATTTTATCAAATTTAATGTTCATAATAACTAAAAGTGAGCATATTATTCCCAATAAAGTTGAATAACGATTAAATATATTGTACAAAACTTTTTAAGAATTTTTTTTCTTAAGAATCTCACTTTTGGGAAATTTATTTTTGCTGAGGATGAAAAGGCCCTTTCTTTTTTGTATCAAATGTCATTTGAGAAAAAAAAAAACTTTATCACTGCTTACTGATTAATTATTTATTTATTTGACCACATGTTGAAAATAGATGATTATCTTGCACCTATTTTACCATGTTTGAAAGATGATTTACATTATTATTACTTATTTGTGCATTTGTTTTGTTACTAACACTAACACGCGTCGAATTAGTATAATAGAGTTACTTTAACTTTCTGATGTTAAAATTGATTTCAAAAATTTTCAAGCATAAAAAATTACAATTAAATAAATAATTTTTGTTGCAATTATTCTCATAAAATTAGCTCAAAAATTACTTTAACTTATCTCTTGTACCCGAGAAAAAAAGAATCTTGTTACAGTATTTATTACTAACGTTCTCATCATCACTGATCAAATCAAAGTAAATAATTTGAGTTTCATTGCATTGATATAGAACACAAGTCCATGTCATGATTATCTTTTGCAAAGTCAGGACGTACAACTGTTGTTGTTACGCCCACCAGGTTTTGGATTTATTCAGGATATTTTTATGATGATGTGGTAAAAATTTGGTCCATTTTGATGAAGTTGTGGAAGCTGTTGGTAGCCCCTAGTGACAGGTTCGATGTTCTTATCCTTTCGTCTCTGTTAATCATACGTGTCTGTCTCCCACTTTCATCAGTGCACGTACCTTGTGATCTTCCACACGTGATCACACACTAATCAGATCCTCACAACCCTCCCAACACACTTCCATGATTCAATCACTGTTGCCTCCTTTATGGCCTATATTATATATGAATAGCTAAGCTGTAATTTAGGCTGAATCTTGATTTGATTTGGTGCATTTAACTTCGATTATATATGGTTGTGGATATTAAATATCTAGCTGTTGGTGGGTATTTGATATCTTCCTTATTTAGTCCAAGTTTAAGGTGTGTCTGAGGTTGGATTTGAAGAACTTTCCAGTTATTCATTTCTTATCTTGAAGGATTATTTACTAAATAACATTGAATATTCCAACTCAAGTGGTTTGTGGATATTGTTCTTTATTTTTTATGCTTTTTCAACCTTTATTATTCTTCGGTCGCTTTTGTTTTTCGATTGGAAATTTACCTCTTTCTTTTTGTTACTTTAACTGGTGGTCTTTAAATTGGTGAGTGAGACATGTGGGGTGGGTTCTCTGAGTAGGATTTAGGTTGGATACCTAACACAAAGCAAAGTGGCATCCAAGTTGGACATCCTGATAAGCTACTTGTTTCTTGGTCTACTTTGGCTGTGATTTGAGGCTCTCATCTCATGCTGTCTTAGATATCTTTATATTTTTGGCAAAAATCCAGATCCAACCTTTGCATCTAATATCTTGTCTTGTCTATAAATTTTCATGCTTTCTTTTGGTAAGGATCTTGCTTAGGAGAACCGTGAAGTTTTGAGGTGAACTTCGTAACTTTCTAATTGGGTACGAGTAATTTGTGGAGAAGTTACTCTGATATGTTATATAAGGTTTAAAGCTCTGGCTATGCCATGAAAAATTGGAAGTATACAATATGGGTAGCAACAGGACTATTGTTTGGTTTAGAAGGGACCTTAGAATTGAGGACAATCCTGCATTAGTTGCTGCTGCCAAGGAGGGTTCTGTACTCCCTGTTTATATATGGTGCCCTAAAGAGGAGGGTCAATTTTATCCAGGAAGAGTGTCAAGGTGGTGGCTGAAGCAGTCTCTTGCTCACCTGGATCGGTCACTGAAGTCTCTTGGAGCCAGACTTGTGCTCATCAAAACCCACAGTACTTTCACAGCTCTTTTGGAGTGCATAAAGGCCATTCAAGCAACAAAAGTAGTGTTTAACCATCTATATGGTAAGTGCTACTGTCAGGATGTAGATAGTGTTGATTTAGCCTTCTATTTGAAATGTTTTAATCTATTTTGAATTGCATCCCATCCTATCATATATTTGGTATAATTTAATGTTTTGGATCTCCAAAAGTTGAAGAAGCAAGTAGGAGGCTTTTTCTATTGATAATTTGGAGGAGTTTGAGGGATAAGCTTCAAGGTAGGATACTCCTTGCAGACAGTCCTCGGAACTGAAGATATGGGTATGTTCACCGAGTGACAATTGCTTGAGGCGTTTTCCCACCCTGTTTTTATATGTTTCAGTTTGATAATCAGCTACTGAAAAATGGCGCATGATTGTCAAAGATGGAGAATTTTAAAAAATATACACTGATTCTTAATCTCCATAGCACATTAAAATCATTATGTAGCACGTGACATGAAGAATTAGTGGTATCTGTATTTTTCTTTGCTGACTGTTGATACACAAATGCATGTAGCATTCTATTCTAGCACTAGTACTTTTCTTTTGTTTATCATATTAATTAATTAGTCTTGTAGATGGCAGCTTAACCAGTTGAGACATGAGAATTAGCTGGCACTAACAGGACTGCTTTACAATGAGCAAAATAACTTGGACATATATTTCTTCACTGTCCAGTGGTAGTTAGCTGATCCATATTTCTTACCCTAATTTGTTTTATCAGATCCAGTTTCACTTGTCCGTGATCACAACATCAAAGAAAAACTAGTGGAACAAGGCATATCTGTGCAAAGCTACAATGGGGATCTGTTGTATGAGCCGTGGGAAGTATATACTGAGAGCGGACGTGCTTTTACTACCTTTGATGCTTTTTGGAAGAAATGCTTGCTCAAGCAAATGGATATTGTTTCACTTGTTCCTCCGTGGCAGTTAACTCCAGCTGAAGGTATGATATGACTATACACATAATTCATGTTACTTTGATTTGTTAGTTTCTAGATAATATTATTCAATATAATTGTTTCTCTCCTGTGGATTACAGGAAAAGTTGAGCATTGTTCAGTGGAAGAACTAGGTCTTGAAAATGAATCAGAAAAACCAAGCAATGCATTACTAGGACGGGCATGGTCACCAGGTTGGAGAAATGCCGACAAGGCATTAACAGAATTTGTGGAGCAGCATCTACTTCACTACTCCAAGAAAAGGCAGAAGGTTGGTGGAGACTCCACCTCACTCTTGTCTCCATATCTTCACTTTGGAGAATTGAGTGTGAGGAAAGTTTTTCAAGTGACACGTATGAAGCAAATATTATGGACAAATGAAGGCAACAGTGTTGGTGAAGAGAGTGTAAATCTTTTCCTCGGGGCCATTGGACTTAGAGAGTACTCACGTTATCTTTGTTTCAACTTTCCCTTCACTCACGAGAGAGCACTACTGGGGCACTTAAAGTTTTTTCCTTGGGATCCTGATCCTGATAACTTTAAGACTTGGAGACAAGGGAGGACGGGCTATCCTTTGGTTGATGCAGGAATGAGAGAACTTTGGGCAACAGGATGGATACACAACAGAATAAGAGTAATAGTTTCCAGTTTTGCTGTTAAAATGTTGCTTCTACCTTGGAAATGGGGGATGAAGTATTTCTGGGACACACTTTTGGATGCAGACCTTGAAAGTGATATCTTGGGTTGGCAGTATATCTCAGGAGGCTTACCAGATGGCCATGAGCTTGAGCGCTTGGACAATCCTGAGGTATCAATCAGATGGGATATTTTATATTCCATAATTTAATTTCTATGCACTTTAAAGTTTACTTAATTAACACAACGTGCATCATCACTACCTGTTATAGCATTCGGTTTATTGTAGCGAAAACTCTTTTGTTTCCTTACCTCATCTGTGTCCTCATGTGCCATTTTTCTATATCTAAGGAGTTTGATTACACCCACTAAATAGTAACATCGCACAAAATTAGAAGATAGTCATTGTGTGTATAGAAGCAAGAACTGACACAATATGAGTTACCCCACTGCCAGTAGGAAAATTTGAGGCTTACTTTTTCATAATTCTTTCAATTCCTTTTATACCTGGTAAATTTACCTATTCATATTTCTTTCACGAGTTAATTTTGATCCCTATATACTTAAAACACTCCATCTTAATTCTTTCAAACACCATTTTTAGTCAATTTTAGTCGTTGCGCATAATTAATTTTAATCCTTTTAGTCCCTCTAGCTAGGACTAAAAGGGATTACAAATAGTAAATTTAGGGACTAAAAGAGACAAATAATCTATAGGAATAAAATGATTGATTAAACTTAAAAGGAATAAATCTTCAACACTAGCAGTATATCTCGTTTCTGTCTAACAGAGATAATTTGAAGTTCTGATTCATATACCAGTATTGGGTCATAAGGACTTAGAGAAGATAAAAATAGGAAGAAAGTTTTAAATTAACTTCTCCATAAGGTAAAACTAACTTCCGCACGAACTTATTTGTAGAAGCTCTCTCGTATACCTTATCTAAATTTTTATTTCTAACTTGTATATAAGCTAGTTTTAACTTACAGATAAGCTCATTTCATTTTTTCTTCTTCTAGAAATCCTTATGGAGAAGCTCGTGTGTATTTTGAGCCTTGCCTTTGATTCTGGTTGAATATTCATGGCTTTCTTGGTCTACTTCCTCTCAAGTATTCCGTAGATAAGGAGTCTTAAGTAGAATTCTAGTAGTTGAAACCGATATTCTGTTAAGATGCATATTTAACTGAGTCTGATATTATTTTTGCCCCCTTTGAAAAAGGAAAAGATAAAAAAAAGAACTATAAGGCTGCCTGTTGGCTACATTTCATCTACAAAGAGTAAATTCTACCCATTTAGAGCTTAGAAAATAATAAAAATAAAAGTAAGCAATCTTATATCTCTAATTTTGTTGACAGATTCTAGGGGCTAAGTTTGATCCAGAAGGTGACTATGTGAGGCAATGGCTACCTGAGTTGGCAAGAATGCCAACTGAGTGGATCCATCATCCCTGGGATGCACCGCTTACTGTGCTTAGAGCATCAGGAGTTGAGTTGGGTCAAAATTACCCAAAGCCAATGATTGATGTAGATATGGCCAGAGAAAGACTCACTGAAGCTATATTTAAGATGTGGGAATCTGAGGCAGCAGCAAAAGCTGCTGGCTCTGAACCAAGGGATGAAGTTGTTGTAGACAACACTAACAGTGTTGAAAACTTGGACACTCCAAAAGTTGTCTTCCTGGGAAAGGCTCCATGTGCTACTGTTTCAGCTAATGATCAGAAGGTGCCAGCACTTCCGGATTCCCAGAACGACAACCACCATCCCACGCGTAAGAGGCCAAAATGCATGGTAGAGGAGGGGCAGAACCCGGATAACTGTCAAAATCATAATAAAGATACTGGGATGTCAAGCATTGACCAAGACATTTGCTCTACAGCTGATTCCTCATCATGTAAGAGGCAGTGTGCCAGTACAAGCTCATACTCATTTTCGGTTCCACAGCAGTGTTCCTCTTCTTCTAATCTAAAATGGCCATGGCAAGAACAGATTGACATGGAGCAGAGTTCAAGCAAAGATGGTAAGTATATTCTTATATTTCCAAGGGAGAAATGAAATGAAATTACAGTCTCAAACAAGAGACATCTTTACAAAAGTTATTTGAGTGAATGTTTGTTATAATACTGTAGCTGATCTAGCAAATTTCAAAACTGCATTCATTAATAGATTAGTTAAGTCACAGCTACAGCAGAAGACATCAGCAATGAATCTATGAAGTCTCTGGAAAGAAAATTACAACTGGATGGAATACTTCGGATCACTAAGGATTGGATAGGCCAACAGAGATACAGTAACACATGACTTAAGAACAAGAGTAGAGTGAGGAAGTGTGGCCAGATTCATCGATGCTTCCACCTACCTTTTCTTCCTTCTTAAGTTTGCTCCCTTCACACATAAGACTTGTTTATATAAACTTCTCTATAAATATTTTTAAGAGAAAAAAAATAAAAAATACTTCTTCATAAGCTAAAGTTAACTTGTGCACAAGTTAAACATAACCTAATTTCCGGTTATGAAAAAACTCTTTCTTTTTTTCCCTTGTAAGAAGGACTTTGGAGAAGTTTGTCCAAACATACTCATATAAGCCATTCTCTTTTGTTCTTTGTTCTATTGCTCATATAATATGTAACATGAGTGACCACAAAACACATTGAGTTAATAGGTTCCTCCAAACAATTTCGCAGCCTTGTGCCACACGAGTATATTAAGCTTTACAATTATATTGGTTCTGCTTTTGGAACCGAGCATGCTCATTAGTGCATAGTGGGTTATAATTTATTAGGATTCATATTATCTTTTAACAGAGAAAACCTTGAAATCTATCACCGTTCACAATGATGTTCTCTTTTATAATTATTATGATTATTTGAGACTCAATTTTTTGCAACTTTGTTGGCTTTGGCCTGCTACAAATAAATAAGAGTTTCAATGCAGGAGCTGTGTGAGATTAATTTTGTTCTTGTTGACAACTCCAGTAGCAGCTGCAGAACTCACGGAAAGAAAATGGTGGCATATTTAAGTCCTGCAGTTTGTTTAGCCTATGCTATCAATCAGTTGTGTAATAGGTTATGAAATCCAACAAGAAGAACAGTGACAAAAACAACAGTGAACAGTGTATATTATAAACTTGTGCGATGGGCTGGTCCATACACATTCTACAATCTCGTAGTTACAGGCTATATATAAACAAATACTCTACACAATATATTACTTTAATATTGCTTGCATTCTATTCTTGTTACTCAAGCCTTTTGTTTTTGCTCAATTACACAATTTTCTCCAAGATGTTAAACCCATAACTGAAAAACTAGTACAGCCTTCATCATGTGATGATGTGTAGTTAAAAAAGTCTTAGAAGTTGACACAGCCTGCATAGATTTCATTTTATTTAATGGTTCAATGGCTTTATTTTGGTGGGTAAAATACAAATGTAAAGCAAGAACAAAAAACATCTCGTTGCCTTTCCTATCAAAAACAGTTCATATTGAAACTCTTGGGGATGTTAGGTTTGACATTGTAGCGTGTTGGGTGATATATATCGTTTACAACGTGAGAAGATAACTTATATTTAAACTTCAATAATCTCCACGTCACATTTTATTGCAATGACAATGATGTGCTTTAGCGGGTTGTTCTTTAGATTCTTATGATTTATATTGAGGAATAATAAAACCAAAAAGTAATTCAAGATGTAAAATGAATATCATCCAACAACTGTGCTGTTTATTTGTAGACTAGAGAAAAGGCAATTAAGTTTTGGAGGCTATTCATAAATATAACCTCACCCTTTCATCACCCTTGGTCTTAACATAAAATACAAAATTAAAGTAGAATAATGAAATTCTAAGTAGAAGGGGTAAAGTTAAAGTTGGCACAGTTGGCGTGTTCCAAGAAGAGCGAGCTAAAGCCAAGCCTGGACGTTGCTAAATCAAATTGTAGGAAGTTGTTCTCCAACTGATGTGCTCCAATTGTGATTGAAGTCGTTGGGTGAGAATTACCCGCCACAAATCCAACTTGGGCCGAACTTGGGTCTGATCCAGCATCCACAAAACCCAAGCAAATAACATCATCAAACCGCACCATCGAATTTGCACCAATGATGCCCCATACCACTTCCTCGTTCTGCAACACCAGATTTATGGTAGGCACAGCCGGGCCCATTCTTGTTGACCCAATGTCTTGGTTCGCAAAGCAAGTCCCAAATGGAGCCACAGGTGCAACAGTTGGGGCTCCAACTGCTTTCACGAAGGCCTCAGACACGGCTTTGTAAATTGAGGTCTCCATCACAGTGTATGGATTGACGGTGCTAATCTTAGTGCCACCTACGCCATTTCTATCTATGGACAAAAGGGTTGTGTTCAATGGAACATTTTTGTCAGAAATTCTAATGGATTTCACTCCAATGAAGTATTCCACTGATGGTTCCTCCAAGAAAGCACTTGGAGCAGTGCTAACAGGGTTTGTAATGAGAGGGGTGAAAGTGAGAACCTTAGCGAGATCTGCGTTCAAATAACCAAAATTATAAGGGCCATTACCAAAGAACATAACACCATCTGTCATAGTGGAAGAACTCAAGCAAATGGCAAATTTTCTGGGGAAGCTGAAAGCTGAGGCAAATTGAGAAGGAAAGGAAACTTTAGTCCTGCCAAGACCAGCCATGCCTGTGACACCACTAGCAAGACCTTTTTGGACAACATTTGATCCACATATGAAGAGAAACTTGGGCACAGAAACCACCCTAACAGGATTGTTTCCATCAGTGGAATTGGTAGCAACAACATCTGCATGAATGTCACCATAGGTGGAGACCCCAGTAACGGTGTTGCTAGGAGAACGACCACAAATGTTCTCCCCACTGCAACCCTGTGACCCGTAAAGTGAGCACTGAGCAGAGCCACAACGGGCAGGTTTAGAGGTGGATGAGACATAGCCCTTTTCACAGTTCACCCAGAAGTAACCACCACCAAGATCAATGGTTAGCTTCACTGGCACAAGTGGGGTTCTTTGTTTGATTCGGGTGACATACTGAGGAACTGAGGCAGAAACATCTTTGGTGACAGGAAGAACAAGTGCCTTTGGTCTGAAAGAGGTTTGAGCTATGGAGGAGGAGATGAACAATGTGAGAAAGGACAAAAACAAGAGTTTAACTGAGGCAGCCATTGGAACAAAGCGAGCATAAACTGTAAGGAAGTAGATGAGATGTGAAGATAGAGATAAAATGGAAAGTTTTAATGAGGTGAGTAACGTGGAGAAGGATTTGGACCTACTTATATAGGTTTCTGGTCTTAGACTTTTCTTCTCTTATGGGTGAGTTTGAGCAAGTTGAGCACATAGATGTTTTAGTTAACGCGTGTCATTGTCAAAGGTGGCAACTGGGTTGATTGAATGGCCGACTCCACATGTCCACCAATTCTTCCATATGATCATCTGTTGGGATTTGGATTGCCTCTGGTCAATAAATTAACATCACCATCCGGAACCTGTTGAATGAGATATTGGATCGTCTAAATTTTTTAGAAATTAGATTTACAAGCACATTCTGGAAAAATGGTGCAGCCATCCAACTTTACTTTTTGCATGTCATGGCTTTTTATAAATAGAGCAAATTCAGTTTCAAACTACTCACTCAAGTGAAAAAATAATAATCTTTTTTGTATAACCAGAAATTTTAATAATTGATTTAAAAAATAATACTATTTTTTATAAATAAAAATAGTAAATTTTGACTTTAGAATTTTAATTTTTTTGCTTTTCCTTCTTTATTTGAAAATTTTCTGATGTGAAGGGTTTTGTTAAACCTTTCTATGGCATTATTCTAATTTACGTACGTAATCTCTCTCTATTTAAGCTTGCTCCATGCAAGTCTTTGTGGTGTGCATGCTTTCTGCAAGTTGGGCATTTCCCTAACCAAGTGTTTTTCTTTATGCATGTTTGCTAAAAACTGCAATGAATAACAAGATGGTCATTTTTCTTTTCTATTTAGAGCGTGGTGATTAATAATATATGTGGTCGATCCTTTCTTTTCAAATCTTCTGAGTTTTTTCTTCTTCACAACCTCTCTTTCTCTTATCTTTTTATCTTCATCTGTTACCATATAATTTAGTTTTAGATATATATATAAGATTTGTTTCTTCTAAAACTTGTCGATATCTTATTAGAGCCCAAGCTTATTTTCCAAGTTTTAGTCTCCCCTAACATTTTTTTGTTGTCACGGAACATCATTCAGTGATAAACATTAAACAATATGCAGAGGTAGGTCGTTATTGAATTGAAGACTATTGATCCTTGAAAAAAAATGTGGAAGTTTGAAACAGAAGACCGTATGATTTTATTATAGAATAAGTTTTTTTTAACAATCTATCAATATAATTTTATTTAACATATTTCAATAAATTTTAATAGCAAATTGATAACCTGAATTTTCATTTAATAACCTTCAAGTTCTTTTTAACATATTTCAGTAGATTTTAAAATCATATTAATGACTTAAAATTTTCATTTAATAACTTGTAAGTTGTTTTGTTTAAACATTCCCTCAACTACCTGTTTGTATATTTGTTTCGATAAAATTAGATACATATGTAATGAAATTTAAAATTAGTTATAACTTCAATTGTTAATTTTTTTAATTAATAGCTATTATAGTACTTTAGTCTAACTTTAGATAATAAATCAAATCTGATACGCAAAATTGATAGATTCGCAATAAAAGGAAGTAATCTTATACAGAAAATGTTAAAGAATAAAAAATGGTTCTCTAATAAATCATCCATTGTCTATTGTGATTGTTATTTTACAGAATTAGCAAAGTAGTAGATTTTTTTTCTATTATATTTTTTAACGACTTATTCTAATGTAAAAAAATAGAATTAAAAAATAATTAACTTAAACGATAAATATAAATATATATATATATATATATATAGAAATTACATAACAATTTTTTTAAAAATCTACAAAACCAAATAGAATTCTTAACCTTTGTGATAAAACGCTAAGCGGACATTGGGTACTAGATTTTTTTTAATTTATGATAATCGCGAGTCTTAAAAATTATAATTCACATAAATAATTAAATTAAATTTGGCTGATAAAATATACTACTGAAAATATTAATACAATTTTTTATAAATTAAAAATTAATATATTATTTTTGTTAAAAAAATTAATTTGTTATTACATTACATAATTCAATAAAAATAATTGAGTATAAAATAAGAGTGTGAAAAATATCTTGGAAAAGCCCGTGATAGTTGGGCCGGGAAGGCCCAACTGTAACTGTAAGAGAGAGATGAGAAGGGAGTGGGAAAGTTAGTTTTGGATGGTTGTTTGACTCACTGACTGATATTGTATCGTGTTTTCCTCACAATTCAAAATCCAAATCCCCAAACCACACACCTCAACGCATCTTCTTCCTTCCGAATTCGATCAATCTGCTTCACCACAATGTGGCCCTCATCGGAATCGCTATCAAACTTCAAGGAAGCAACTCTAAACGTCGCCTCCACGCGCCGTCCCTGGAGCGTCTTCCTCGACCCCTCCGCCCTCACCCTACCGTCCTCCATGTCCGAAGCCGCCACGCGCCTCACCCGCAACCTCGTCTACTTCTTCTTCAACTACGCCCTCCTCCTCCTCCTCGTCTTCCTCCTCACCCTCTTCCCCTACCCCCTCCCCTTCCTCCTCTTCTTCCTCCTATCGGCCGCCTGGTACTTCCTCTACTTCTCCCGCGACGACCTCCCTCTCGCAATCCTCCCACTTGCCTTTCTCACCTTTGCGGCACTCTTCACTACCGGCGCCTGGCGCAACCTGCTTCTTGCCGTCGTAATTGGGGCCTTCTTGATTTTCTTGCACGCCGAGCTCCGGAGTACGGACGACCTTGGGGACGATGATGAAGAATCTCCCTTTGGCTCTATTTTTGGTGACAATTCGGTCACTGGTGGCTATGTGGCTGTTTGATTTCTCTTTTTTCATTTTTCAACTTTTCTGTACAATTCACTAACAATCACGCATTATTCATGTATGCTGCATTCATTGTGTCTAATTTTTCTTCTTACTGGATGAATGATCCCTGTAATTGGTATGCTACTGGGAATCTATAATAGATACAGTAGAGTTTCTATACCATTTTACCCTCTGATGTGCTAGGTTGAACTGAAAGAATCGCAAATAATGAATTTAAGGGCAATTTAGACAGTCCTTCTAACTGTTATTTGTACTAGTATAGTTTTTCTTCTTTAATCCGCTTGCATAATTGTGCCTGAATTATTGACCAGTTTCTTTCAGTTGGAACCCTAGGATTTGAATGGATTGATTGCATAGAAGTCTCCATAGTGTTATTAGTACAATGTGACATCTTCAAGAAAGTATAAATTGGGATCCAAATGTCCTGTATTACTGCTGATTGTAGGATATATTTCCCCAATCCTTCTTATTGTGTTAGTTTATTGCACTCTCATTGTGATTTTGTTTCTTTATCAAATATTCGCCTTCTCAAAAGACTTGCAGAATCAATTCTTCTGGTGCCATAAGACTTGTTTATTTGCGCTGTGTAGTTAGATCATACACACTCTTTAGTTTTGCCCAGTTCTACAATTTTTTTCCTTCTCCAGAAATACTCCACTGTTTTTTACTTTTTCTTTACATATTTTTATACATGTGAAAAGTTTGTCAAATTCAGATTTTTACGTATAGGAGAGTATCTGTCATCTATGTGGATACAAGTTCTAAAATGAAACTCATAATAGAAATATATTATGTAAATACCAATTTCAAAGAGGATGAACTCTTTAATTCTCTTGGATGAATTTTAGGTTCTGCCTACTTTCAGAAGAGAGAAAAAAAATTGTAGCATCTTCATGTGATTTTACTCTGCAAACATATATTCTAATTAATATGATTTTGTGTGAATTTGTTTAGAACTCAAATTCTCTAGTTTGTGCATGCAACCTTGCATGATATCTTTTTAGCCAAATGTGATAATTCAACCAATAATTTCAGATTTTAAATCAAAGTTCATTATTGTTGCAAAAATTGTTCTCGCATCCCCAATCTTTGCTCTTTAATTCCGACAATAAAGAATAGAAGGTTTTAAAAATAATACTTTGGAACACTAAAATTTTGATTCCCATTTAAATTCTAGGTACTCCAAAATATAGTTCATTTTATTCCTCTTTAGCACTTTTTATTTGTTCTGAAAAAAATGGTAATAAGTTATATTTGTGAAATATGTAATTCTGAAGATTGCAATGAGGTTATAGTTGAGAAATAAAAATGAATGGAAATTAGGTTAAGAAACTTAAATGACTATTATTAAAAAAAATATTGATACATATTAAATGGAACTTAAAGTACCTTCTTTTAGCTTTTATTTGTTGGGTTCTTATATTAACTATTCTAAGCCTATATTAATCTAACACGGAATCTCACTGATTTAACACATAATTTAATTTTTAATGTGCTATATAAGAAATGAAAAAGAATTTATTATGTTATAAAAATACATTATTGTATCAAATTATCTTATATTCTAAATATATATTAAACAAATAATTCATGTTAAATTTTAATAAATTTTTAAAAGATATGGTTCAAATATGTACAAAGCATCAATTATTAAATTTTACCCTTAAAATAAATAAATAAACAATCAAAATTTTTCATATCTTAATTTTTAATTATTGTCAATTAATCTATCACATCTGTATTTTTTTCTGTCTCTCTTTTTCATCTTAAGCTCAAAGTTTGAATAAATAATTTTTCATGAACAAATAAATAATTATTCAATGTGAAATTATTAACCATAATAAATATTTTTTAACACCATAATACAAGTCTTGATTAATGCTTATTATTTTTCTCATCATATCGTTATTTATACTTATATTTTTATATCATAAGTAAAAACAAAATCACATTCGCACCATCAGATTTTATTTTTATTTTCACTTAAACTATTTAATCATCTCAATTCTTCTTTTTTGTTTATAATTCTTATCACATGATTGATCTCGTCTATTAATATTTTTCCTTCCATTATCTTTTTATCCATCTGTCTTTCCCTTTTACCCATGCATTCAAGAAATAGGATATACATTGGAAAATTTTCTAATTTCTGCTTGTTAGCAAAAAAAACAATAAAAGGGAGAATTGAAAAGATGTGAGAGAGATATAAAAAGGATCATGACATAAAAGAAAATCTAATTCCAAGAAACAATAAAATCTATTGTAAAATAAGGGTACAGTGTATACACGGCAGATGCTAAATAAGAACGTTTTGGGGTTCAAATGAACAGAAAAATAATAAAAATCCTCTAAGAAAGTTCATGAGGGTAGTTTGGGGTGTCAAGCCTTTCTACCATAATAAAGAACCATGATAAAATCCTTGGCTGAACTTCCAAAAGATGTCAGAATCTCATTCTTTGGCACTGTTTGCAACCACATGTCTACCAAGTTTTTCAGTTGCAAGGATGATAAAACTGGTTGTCCTTGTAATGTGATCTCCACCTGAAGGAGTAAACCAGAGAAATCAATTAACATCTGAAAAATGGCTTTTCAAGGAGTGTTAGTTTTAACAAAAAAAAAAGAACCAATTTACCTCAGTTTCGCTGGCAAGACCAAGTTTCTTCACGAGATACTTTTTAATATAGGAAACTGTTACACTGACATCCCTGTAATGATTTTAAGATTTATTAGTGGAAGTTATCAGTTATACTAAATGAGTTTGTGCTAGATAAGAAAGATAAACTAAAAATTATAATTACAAAAATGTTCAAAAAAAAAAAAAAAATTGACAACGTAGATAGATAAGGAATAAGAATGATATATCATATGACATGTATACAGAATGATATCAAAGGAGAACAGTGAAAGTATAGTTTACATCATATAAAAGTGAATATACAGAAACAACTCTAACAAAAAAAGCATCATTCAGATAAGCTATTATTTCATGCATGGTATGTTCATTCGAGCACTAGAAAAAAAATCATCCAACAAAAACTCATAACATAAAACTCACTTGACCCGTAAGTAGCCGGAAGATAATTGTGGCAATTGTTCACTCCCTTTACTGTATACAGAAATTCAAAGGTCAGCTACTCAACAAACAATTAATATAATTAACTAACTTAAATAGGTCATGAAACTTAATCTCACTTCTCTTCTGCAGCAACCAACCGGAACCAGATTGGTCCAAACTCTTTGTTGCTTTCAATAGAGTCGGAACCAATCTCAGATTGTGCTGGAAAATTCAAATCCTCCGGGATTTTTGGTGTTTTTTCTTGAGTGTTCACAACATGTTTCACTGAATCTGAGTTTGACGGAGTTGACTCGTTTTGATAACCAGCACTTCTGCGACGCTTCTTGTGGACCATATGAACATGAAGGTCATCGTCGTCAGAGGGCACGAGTACCGAAGGAGCACCATTTTCTTGCATGGTGGACTTACTACGAGACTTGCGTTTTCTTCCACCTTCAACCAGACTATTTAATGGTTCAAACATGTCAGTCTTTTCATTCCTTGACTCAGCCTTTGATTTTGAAGAATTCTGCATATCATAGAACATAGTCATGCACTGAAACATAAATGTGAAGATCTCTGAAAAAACAGTTAAGGACAAAAGATTAAAATAACATCAGCTTCCCTTAAAACAGAGACACACTAAGGATTAAGAAGAGGAACCAGAAAAAGCTTTATAACCTTCATCGGAATTCTGATTTTGAGTGTTCCGCTGGAAGTTTCAATTGGAGGCTGGTCATCATCTATCTTTTCTTCTCCTATTATGTCACCACTTGGAGGTTGTGCAGAGCGAATGAATTTTATTCTTGCCGCAGCTTTCGCTCTTCTTGCAGATCCAACTGTATCATCTTCTTCCTCAAATTCATCCTCACTCTGGTTTTCATCTTCCGTAGCATCTTCCACCTTATCAGGTTTGGGAGGTGAAAGATGTGGTTCTTCTGCAATTAGAAATTTTCTAAAACCACCTTTGGCTATTTCTCTATTGGGTTTTAATGAAGACACAAAATTTCTTTTTCCCTTCACTTTCAATTTGGCTGAAGGTGCCTCATCTTTTGGTTCTTTAACTGGGAAAATTTTGTCCCTCAATTCTTGGAATCGAGTATCTGACCTGTAAGTTCCAAAATCACATAAAAATCAAAATAATTTCGGAAAAACACTACCTATTGGAGAAAAAGAAAACAATGGAAATTTCTAGCATCACAAAGAAATAAGAACAGGAAGAACAAAAAAAAAAAAAACAGAATTTATCACATCAACTTTTCCCCATGGCGCATGCACAGATTCAAACAACTATTATAATCTCTCTCAGACTACTGTAAAAATCTCTTTTCCTTGTTTCTAGTTGCAAACAACCCTATTTTTTTGTCTATCCCTGCATGGTTCTTCACTGAAAATCAAGTAATTTCATGGAAAATAAATTTGTGCTGTCAAGATAATCATATGGTGATGATTTAAATAACAATGGCGCGGTTGAGTGTTATGAGACCAGTAGCTGCAGCAGAGAGAATAATAGATCAATCTGTCAGTCATTCTGGAAGTATAGTCATGTTCTTTGAGACTACCTTAATTTCTCGAGTGGAGAACAACCCAAGTCACTACTGCACACCGGACAGTGATTCAAGTTCTCATCTATTAACTTCTTTTCTATACATTTCCTGCAAACTGTTGGTAAACTTAAGAATTATACTTGCATACAGGAATAGAAATGTAGATGGAAAAGAAAAACAATGAGTGATGTTACATGAAAAATAAAAAATGTGTGTGATGGAGACTAAAGCATAGTTTCTAGCACAATCATACACAAAGTCTTAGTAACTGAAACTAATGTGACTAAGCATAAGCGCAAACTCCCAGAAATGAAAGAATGAATATAATTCAACAAGAAATGTGGGTGTAAGTGTTCAGATACATCTTTCATTTCTATCTTCACCCATTATTACCAAGCAGACACTCGTTTCAATCATGACAAAATCCTTTTAAGTTTCTCAAAGAATTAAAACCATTTCACTGAGTATCAGATACAATCATGAATTTGCTGACAATTATATATATATGCTGATTGTACAGCAAATAACTACGCATACCTTGCTCCTTAACATGTAAAAGTAAAAACAGAGAAGCTTATAAAATTTAAGGAACTAATTTTGATAAAAATATGCTTCTTTGAATCATCTGCATGAAAGAAAAGAGTAAACATGATGAGAAAAATACAGCATAACATTTTGCCTAAAGTATACAGAATGCTATGAAAGGTTTGACAGTTGCCACATGATGTGTAAATACTAAATGGAAATTTTTGAGCTGCATGAAAGCTGATTCAAGCTCTTGTTAACAAAGGATTTCAATGAAGTCACTGGATAAGCAGGCCATAAATCAGAGTGATGATGCATTTTAATATCCAAACACATAAAAGGGAAAAAAAGAAAAGAAAAAAAATACATCCGAAAACCAAGAAATTACCAGCATAAGAATATTGAAAGCAGAACCACAAAATTGAAAAAGCACAAGAACATGGAGAAACAAAAAAGGTAGAAGAGAAAATAAAGCACTTACAAGTATGACAGCATTCTGTTATTGTGGCTGCGTTTCTGAGCCATTTATTGCACAAATGACAGGTGAAGACTACTGAGAGCTGAGGAAAGCTGATCTTCGATTTCCCTGACATCGCTGTTGTCTTTATATCTGTCTATGACAAGGACACTCTCGTCAACAAACGCACACAACAAAAAACAAGGCACCTCCGTACTCACGTAGCCCGCATGGTGCATGTCACCGAACAAAGAAGCAAGAAATAAAAACACGCCAGTTTTACATCATTCTCAACGACCAACCCGCGACAAAAACGAAGAAAATAGATGCCACCAGTACCAGAGAAAAACAAAGGGTTTCAAGAATTGTGCATGATCCTATGAAGGGTCGACTCTAGATCACGCAAAACGTCGAGGAAAACAAAAAAGTGAGATTCTTGGAGTATCGACGTGTCTTGTTCGATTTGTCCAATGGTGGTGGTGGTGGTTTGGAATTATCTCTTGAAGGCTGGAAAAAAAAAATTGAGAATGAACTTGTGTTCTACCTATGTATATGCTTTCATGCCTATGAGAGAGAGGGAATGTGGGTGCTCCAAACGAAAGAGAATGTTACTGTGACAGAAGAAACGGCTTGTGTTATCGAGGGTGTGTTTAGAGGCACGCATGAAACAGTATAAATAGGATCTGGGACCAATCCTCTCCCCTTACACATCATTGTATAGGGCAAGTTATTTTGTTTATATTTCTATCTAATCTTTAATACAATATAAGATTTTTAATTTAAATCAAGATTTAATAAAATTAAATTTTGACCTAAATAAATTGGCTAACACTGTAAACATCCAATATATTAATCAATATACATATTTTAAGTTTTTTTTTCTTATATATTATAAATGTATTAACTAAAATCTTTTGACTGTGTTTCTTTTTATCCTTTACCGATATTAATTGATTATTATAAAATAATAAAGAAGTGAGATGACATGATATAAAGTAGATAAATAATTATTATTTTTTTAAGGAAAAGAAATTTTGACACCCAATTTTTTAAAATATCCCATAAATAATTTAAAGAATATAATTTTTTATTTTAAAAAGAAAACAAAGATAGATAAATAATAATATAAAAATCTAAAAAATAATTATTGAATAAAAAATGAATATAAATATTATTATATTAATATAAGTGATTGTCAAATTATTATTTGATTTTAACATTTGTTTTAAAACTAACCTTAGGGGTCACTCACGTGCTTGTGATGAGTTTTGTCTTTATCTGACTATTATCGGGATTAATGAATCCTTTACAATACGGATAAAGAAGAATATTCAGTGATTATGAGATAAACAGGAGAATTTAAATCCCTAATTATTCATCAATTTATCTTTGTTCCTCTTTTGAATATCAATCAGAGCATACATACACTCTTTAGGTATAAAAATTATTCATATCATACATCGGTATTTTCTTCAACAAACATTTTATAAATATTTTAATTTGTGGTTGAACAATAATAGAAAAAAATATAATGTAAAATTTAAATCTTTAATTTTTATTTATCAACTCATCATTGTTCGTCTTCTTATCTGTGATTTAACCTTCAATATGATGAACAAAAGAGAAATTATGAGCATAAGAAAGAAAGTTGAAGGAGAATCATACGACTTCTTACAAATATTGAAGGGTATTTTACATATCACATACCTGAGTTATAATTTAGCCAACGTCTTACAAATATTTTTGTTTCATTGTATAATAATTGAGAAAGAGACAAAACACAGTGCATGCAAAATCAAGAGAGTTTATTACGTATAACATCAATCATGCAAGAGTGATATATCACAAACCTGTGTCTAATTTTAATAGTTGATTTTTCATTGCATAAAAAATTTACGAAAGACCAAAAATTTAATTGAAAAATAAATATAAATTAGAGTATTTGAATTAGTAAATTTATTATATATTAGAGTATTTTAATTAGTAAATTTATTTTTTAGATATATATAAATATATTTATATATAAGTAATCATCTCTAAATAGACACGCATATACTTATAATAATTTTATAAGTATTTAGTAAATATCTTAAAATAGGAAAAATCATAATATGTAAATTCTGTTATATTTAAGGTATTTATAATCATAAAGTTAAAAATGGTACATTTTAATTTTAATAAAAATGAAAAAAACCTGCGTTTATTTTTATATAATTAAATTTATAATAAAATAATTATGTTTATGATCAATAATTTCTATTTCTATAAAAGACCAATTTATTTATTGTAAAATTCTTAGAAAAATGTTAAATTTTTTTAATTTAAATTCAAAGATAGATTTAAAAAGATACCTTATTAAAAGCATTTTTATTGGGAATTACTTAAAAAAGTTATTAACAATAAAATATGTAATTTAACATATATTCCACAGTTAATTAAAGTAACTTTAACTGTTTTAAATATTTTTTATCTTTAAATTCATATCAAATACAAAATGTAGAAGTGAGTTTTAAAAGAAAAGTATTTCAATGTGTAAGGATTTGACTTGAGGTGAGTATTAAAATTTAAATGCCATTTAAAATCTAATAATCTAAAAAAAAATTTGAAATTTTAATAATTTAAAATAATAAAAAAAATATAATCTATAATTTTAAAGTTTTAGGTTTATAAATATCTCTTATTAAAAATATTTTAAGATATATAAATTTTAAATTTATAGATTATATATATTATATTTGTTATAAAAATGTTATTTTCAATTATTAATAATTTAAAAATACTGAAATTTACGTTGAATTAATTATCCCATAAATAAAAAATAAGTAAAAACATTGAGAATGAATTAATAACACATTCGTTAAAATATTTATTTAATATATTATTAGAAATATAATTAACAATATAATAGTTAATATATTTAATTAATATATTAGTAGAAATAGATATGTCTGTACATTTTCTTTACAATTTATAATTAGTTTTTTAATATGTTTTTATTTTATTTTAATTTTTTTATCTTTTTCACTTTTTAAATATAGTGTTTTTTTATAATTGAATTAATTAACATATGAATATGATATCATGAAAAACTAGAAATTTAAAAAAATTATAAAATAAGTTTAATCTAATAAATAAACAAACAATAAAAAAATATAAAGAATGATTTAATAACACAATAGTTGAGATATTTATTTAATATACATTTTTATAATATTTTCTCTCTTTTTTTATAGATATGTTTGAAAATATTTTATTTTGTGTTTTTATCTTCTAACAATTTAGATTTTTTTCACTTATTATTTATGTAAATTGTTTTATTTTTTTTGCTAACATTTAAAATTTTATTATATAATACTATTTTAAATATAATATATTAATATAATATTTTAGATAATTTAAATATTTTATAATAAAAAATTTATTTATATATTTGATAAAAATATTATTTAAAAATACTAAAATAATATTATTTTAAAAAATATTTAAATAATAATTAAAATTTATTAAATATATTAATTAAATTATAATTAAAAAACTTAAAAGTAAAAGGTTTTTTTATATAAGAACAAATAAGCATGTAATGTAATTAATGTTTAATAAAAAAATAAAAAGTAAAATCAATTTAGAATAAATAAGAGCTAAGAGGGTGAAAAGAAAAAGAAAAAACAAGAATAAAAGAATAGAGAAGGAGAAAAAGACAAAAGAACAAATAAGAAAAAAAGAAGAAGAGAAAAATAGAAAAGAAAAGAAAATATAAATATTTTTTATTTAACTTTGTTTATTAAGTGAATGAAATATTTTTCATCTATCTTAATTAATTATTTATTTTTATATCAATTTTCTTGATTTATTTATATTTATTTAATTTATATTTTATTATATATTATTTATATTTATTTAATTTATATTTTATTATATATTATTTTTATTTATTTAATTTATCTTTAATTCATATTTACATTTTTTATTAATTTCTATTTATTTATTTAATTTATTTTTATTTATATATTAATTATCTTTGTTTTTTTAATTTATTTTTAAGTATAACTTTTTATTCACATTTATATTATTTCATTTTTATTCAATTTTTTTAAAGAATAATATTTTTTTAAAATAAAAATGTAATGATATTATAATTAAAATTTACGTTAAGGATTTAAATGAATAAATATTATAAAAAAAATAAATAATCTTGTGTTATTTTATTAATTATTACACAAAATTAATATTCTTAATTAGTCATTATAAAAATTAATTTAAACCATTCTAATATAAAATAAATGAAGTATATTAATAAAACTAAAAAAATAATTTTTATATTATTTCTATAAAATAAATGAAGTATATTAATAAAACTAAAATTAAATTTAAAAATACCAATTTAAATAGAGATAATTGAGGCACAAAGTTTTTCAAACTCTTTAATCTATAAAAAGATCTCCTTTTATATATAATACAAATGTAAATAATATAATTTCTCAGACTTTGTTAATTTAAAGCTTTGAAAGTCATTTTCTACATGAAAAAATTTTAATTATTAGAACAAAAATTGCTTCACTGTTCCTTTCATTAAAACCATAATACTTATCAAATATTTTTCTATCTTTTATCCCCTAATTTTTATGTTTTTCTTGTTATATTTAAAAGTTTAGTTTTTATATTCCGTACAGTAGTACAAATTTAGATTTTGGATATATAATTAATTTATCTCTTGCCTTTTATCCTAATAGATTGATTGTACATAGGTTTTGGTGAAACAAAATTATTTGATAATCTTAATTTAAAAAATATTATTTAAAAAAGAGGATAATATTGAGAAATATTAATATATATATATATATATAAGAAAAAAAATAATGAGAGTGGACATGTGTATAATTTATTTGTAAATTATTAATAAAAATAAAAAACTAAAATAAAAAGTATATTTTTTTTTTAGTTTTTAAAAATTAGAATTAAAAATAGTTTTTCAAATATGTTTCAATAAAATGATTAACATTTTTTTAAAATTTTAAATATTAAAAATTATAAAATTATTTTTAATAAATAATAAAGATAAAAATGTAAGATTAAATTATTAGAAGTAAAAGAAGTTATAATTTAAAAAAAATACATAAAGATAATACAACTTTAAATATAAATAATGATACGAGAAAACATTTTAAAAAAATTAATTTTTATTTAAGCTTTTTTTAAATATATTCTTCTTAATTTTTATTTAAATCAATTTATAATATGTGCCCTTTAAAAAAAACGTGGTGGTTAATTCACTCTACAAAATATTCAGAAAATTTTAAAGAAATTTTCCGAAAATAGTTTATTTCTTTCACATTCATTTTAATATTTCAAATAATTATATATATAATTGTTAAAATGTAATTTGTATTTTATTAAAATGCATTAAATTGTATTTTAATAATAATCTGTGAAAATCTACTTTAATCAAGCGATAAGTGTAAAAAAATGAAGATATATTTTTAATGTATTATCAATATTAAAAATAATTTGAAATCGTGAGACGTTTTAATATAGCCATTCTATCATAAAGTTTTCGTCCACTTTCTACTAAATCGTTTTATTAAAAACAATTATTATAAAAAAACATGTAATTAAAACTATCTTCATTTTAGATTAACAACTTACGCTAAAATAAAATTATTTGTACCTAATAAAACCTTCAATTTACAAGATAGTTTCACAGGAATTACTTTTTATCTCTTTCCCCATCTGATAAAATAAAATCACTAAATTTCCTAATTAAATTTATGAGATAAAAGTATATTTTAAAAAAAGTATATTATTACCTAATCATAAACGATCATATATAAAAAAACTATACATAGAATTATGTTTTATCTTAAAAATTATTTATAAGATATTTCCTAATTAATTGACAACATAAAAGAATATATATTAAAATCTATTTCGTACTCTACCAAGGCCATAGGCATTGGAATAAACAAACATTTCATTACATAATTTATCATGTGTCATCTTGTTCAACTTCATTTCCAATTATATCCAACCCTGTTATAATTTCTGATTTCCTCTGACTACAACTGGAAATGCAGAGAAACGCTATTTACATATACAAGGTAGAAGTGAACAGAAACATTACAGTGTTAGATCGACATGAAATCATGTATATTCAACTTAACTATAATTTAATTACAAATCAAGACCTTTAAATTATTCAAAAGGAAGAATAAACTTTTAATCTGTAGACTGTTTTTACAGTGTATTAAAATAATGACTGAATCCAGAGAACAAAATAGCTGATTCATTCCTTCAATGTATACAGATATGGTCATTCAGCACCCCATTTTCAGTAATTATTTTCACGATCCAACTAATCCCTTTTTGCGAGCATAGGCCGTAATCATGACAAACAACAAAGTTACAAAGAATCCTGTGGTAAGAACTACCTGCAAGAAACCATAATGAATTATACCTACTTGTTATTTTAAGAATGAATTTATCAGAAGCTTACACCTTTGATGTATTTTGTTAAGATAATCTTCATTATTTCTAAAACATATATAATTGCATGTCAGCAAATCCCATATGTATAGACACATGCATAAACAGTAATAATTTGCATACCCATTTGAACATGTAACTATGGTTCTGGTTCCAATCATATGGAATATTGACGCCAAATATAGAAGTCACCAAAGCGAAAATAGAGAGACAAATAGTTCCAGAGCTAAGAAAGAGCTCTAACTGCACAAGTTGAAGAGCATTTAACAATCTCAGAAGAAATAAAATAAAATAACAGAATACTGATAGATAACATGCAAGGTGCAGAAATATGAAAGGCACCTGAATCAGCTGATTACGATGGCTGTCAAGCTGCAAAAGGGAAAAACTTCACTGAATTTCTTTTCATAAACAGATACCAAGACATATTTTCAGTAAATTGCTAGCTACTTACTTGAATATTAATATAATCTTCAGTATCATCAATGTACTCTCGCAGCTGTAAATGAAAAAAAACATTAGACAAAAGGAAAGCTATCTTGAACCGCAGATTCGGAGTTCAGGTAAACTTCTGCAAATTATACTTTTAAACTACAAATATAAAAATATTTTACGAATTTTTTAGAAAGACAACCCTTAAGTTTATATTATCTAATTATTAGAAAACTAAAGTGATCATGAATTCTAAAATTAATGACAAACAATTTTTTTTTCAAATATTTTCTAAGATTTAGGGTCACCTACGTATACACATATATAAATATGATACGTACCGTGGTTAATTTGTTCAATGTATGATCTATTTCACTAAAATAAGCCTGAAAAATAATAAACAACATTATAACAATTTTACTTCATTAAACTAATGAAATATTTGCTTTTACTACTTTCTTACAGTAATTAAAATTCATAACCTCAAGTAACATTTCAAGTTCTTCCACGTCATGTTCATCTAAACGACCTGTTGCTTGACTTGCTTTAGATATTTTTGAACCTATGGTGGGGGAAGCAGCAAACCAATTTACAACACCTGATCCACTAACTGGTGAAGCTGAACCTGTCTTTCTTGACAGGTATAAATCAGCCATATCATCGTCATCATCCAATAATTGTTCAAGCTCGTCTCTAACCTTAACCATAACAAGAACCAGTTGAGTGAAGAAAAAAAAAAGTGTATGTATTGTTTTCTACTTAAAGTTGATCAAGACAACTTACAATCATATTGAACTGATTCTATTTTAGAAGAAAAAGTAAAATAATTTACATAAAAGAAGTGCAAAGATGTAAAAAATATTTAAAGGACTGCAGAATATATTTTCATAGAAAATAGGTTTTTCTTCGAATGAAAATTTTAATAGAAAAACTCTTGACATACCTTTTGAACTCTAGCAGTCAATCTTGTCATTGCACTTTTCAATTTACGAACTTTGTCCAAATTACGACTACTAATCTACATATATTAAAATTATCTATAGTTATGATTGAGCAAAAAAGGTCAAGAAATAGAAAGCAGGGAATTAGAGCATCCACATTTCAAGCCAAACAAAAAATATTCATTAGAAAAACAGACATAATTAGAGTGAACACTTCAGCTGTGATAAGTATAATAAATGAAAAGGATAATATTTTGAGACGAAGCAAATAATTTTTGCCTCAACTACTTTCAAGCAGCTTCATATTGTTCACTTATTCTATACATAGGAAAGAGTATGGGCCACGGATATCAGATTGAAACCAAAACATGAAAAGAAAGAATTCAAATAATATACATACCTTAGACGTAAGTTCATCTAAAGCCGGATAAGCAGCCATCTCCAATTCTGCTGTACGTGCAGCAAGAAAACTACAAATGGCTTCTAAAGCAATCTCCAGGGCCCGGAATTCAAAGAATGACTCTATATAGTATAATTTAGATCAATCAGATAACAAATGATACAAAGAAAAAGAACTAAATTTATTCGTTACTTATTTGTTCATCATTAATATATAACATACCATCTTCTTCAGCTGGTTCGGCATCATTTTGGCCACCAAGATACTCTTTACCATGTCCTTGCAGTTGAAGACCGGCACCTAATCGAGTCAACCGCCTTTGCAGCTCCTCCACAACAGGGATCACATTTTCATCTGTTGGATCTCTCAGCAATACCTATACCATACCATAATTTAGATACAATCAGGAATTCAGATGAAGAAGCAATGCTATCTCAACTTCTAAACAGTTATCCATTCAACAAAGGACCAAAGTTTTAATACAGAAATTCACAAATATAAAATGTCTTTTGCTGAGAGATATTCTTGTACAGAAGTTATGTAAGGTATATTCTTGAACAAGAGGGTCAAAGATCCTCTGTGCCACTACGTTAAGTAAGGCAAAAAAAGACATGTCGTCCTATTCCTATCCATTTCATTCAATGAACTAGAGAAAAACAAAAATTGGTCGCCAAAATTCAATCCATCCTCAGATCAGATTAGTCATGCCATTAAATGCAAGAGTATGATAAAATGCTCGGAGAACACCCCATCTACCATCCTCCAATTCTCATATCTCAATTAGTGAAAGTTTTCAACCATGAGTAGCCTAAAATAGAAAGTCAAAGCTGGTTCCCCAAAACTAATTTTCATAATATTCTTATTCACGTTCTCTACCCGCCCCTTGAGAGATGAAATCAGTCACATAAGTATGAAAAGCTGACTAACCTCTTCAGCTGTGATAATTGCTTTGATATGCTGGAAGACAGAATCAGAAAGAAAAAAATCAAAACACAACAACAACAACAACAACAACAACAACAAAATCTGTTACAAAAATAGAAATAAACTAACAAAAGTAAATATGTGGTGGACCTCCAAGTTAAGAACAATGGCCTTCTCACGACCGAGAATGGTGGATGGGTAAGAGAGCAAGGGATCAAGTATTCTGAGATCACGCGCATGAATCTGAACTCTATGCATGATTGCATATTTGTCCACGTCGAGCAATGAACCCTGCCCTGTGGCATCGAACAGAATCCAACTCCTCGAAGACTGTGTCTTCTTCTTCACAACCGTCATTGCCCCCGGGTCCGCAGGGGCGACGCTCCCATCCTGAGCCATCATCCTCTTACCCTTTCCCACTTCCAATTCCAAATCACATGCTCCAATACCAAAACTCAAAATTAAATTCAAGTCCAAACTCGATTCAATTCGATAAAATCCACCAACCCAGGACTCGGCAAGCGAATATCCTCACACCCCTTTTGCACATTTCACCGACACGCCAATCGAGTATCCGAGTCCCGCCTCAATTTTTTATTTTTTTTTCCAACAACACCCTGAGGAGGATTCAGATTCACGGAAGAAACAAACGCATAATACCACAAAAAGAAACTATTATTTTCCCAGAATAGGGAAAAGCAACAAACTCAGTTTGTTTATTAATTTGTATTGAATGTTGTGAGGTTTATAAGGGGAGGCGCTACTAGACAGGGAATGCCAGGGTGAAGAAGTAACTCTAGTAAGCACGAAGGTGAATTGTAGCACTTAAAAATACGAACGATGCGGTTTATATAGTATGAAAAGCGGCTCAGGGTAGTAATGGTGAGGGTCCGCAAGTGGCCCAATGAGGTGACGCCACTGAAATAGAGGGAGGGGTAACGTGGGAAATAAGGGTTAGAGATAGTGTGTTATCCGGTGTTGGCCGACCCACCTGACACACTGTACGGCGGATCCTTGTTCTGGCTTCAGTGTTTGTTTTCTTACACGGCTTCTCTGTCTTTTTCCCTTTCTTCTCTTTATTCTCTACAATGTCAATAATCAACGACAAATTAGTTAGTAGTGACTTCACTGTCGGAATCTTTATCTATATTTTTTTTTTTACTGCTATTCTTGTATTAATAGATTTTGAATTAAGCACACTTGCTAATTTAATTGTCAATTTTTCTGATAGGTGCTTTTTCTAATCAGATTTTACGTTTCATTTAAATGATTATTTGTATATTACTATATAAAATTTTAAATTTTAATTGAAAAACAATCTCTCTAAATTATATTTTTTTTCATTTAGTAATTTTAAAATACAAACCAACAAATGTAATTTTGTTGCCTAGAGTCGCTATATTTAGAAACAAATTTAAAGCAATTCACCTTTAATTCTATATAAAAAGAAGAGAAATCTATTTTTCTTTCTCTATATATAAATTAGATAAAATAAAAGTATATTTAAAAAAATTATTGGATTTTGCAGTTTTCTTTCATCGTTGAAGGTTAGGTTATGACATTTATACTTCTCTACACTAAGTTATCTACCATTAAAGAGATACCGAAAACATAAAAAACTAAACATTAATATATTTTTATCGATATCAAATATCAGATATTAAATGGTAAACCTAACGAAATAACAAAATGTGATCAATTAAAATATTATTCACGCTACTTTATTTTATTTGCTTTGGACCTGGTCCTTACCCTATCACTTCGATCCTTACCAGAAAATAATTGTTAATAAGGAGTTGACAGAAAGAACACGAAGATAATAAATAAGAAAAAATACGTCAAAAACATGAAGAGTGGAATTATGGAGAGGGGGTGAATTCGACATAGATAGATAAAGAAGAAGAAGAAAGGGGGCAAAATATTTTTTAAATGAAAAGCTTACTTACAGCACAATTGCCAATGAAAAAAATAGATTTAATATGATAAAAAAAAATTGTATTTATAATGTTATGGTAGTTGATATAAGATTTTATCATAATTTATTTAAAAAAATAGATTTTTTTATTACATTGATGAGAATATTTTCATAATAACTTTTGTTATTGTGTTAGAAAAGGAATGATGAATAGAGTTTTATGTAGGGTGAATAAGTAACCAAATTCAAACACTCATTCTCCATTACCATTCACCAGAGACAAATAAAGTGTGTGCTTTGTGTCAATTCCATCCATCCATGCCTACTTACAAAATTCCATGTTAGTCAATATTTCTTTTCCCATCTCAATCTTCACAAAAACTCATAACTAAATGTTTCAAAACCTTCTCCATAATTTTTATTAAAATATTTTTTTTCTTTCATAAGTTTAAATCCTTTTTTGGTCATATATTTTTTAACTTATTTTTATTCCTTATCCTTTCAAATTAATAAAACCACTCCTATGTGATTTTCTTTTCTTTAAATAAATTATATAAAAAGAATAAAATAAATGTGTTAATTATGATATTATAAAAAGAAAATAAAATATACTCTTTTATTTTAAATGAAATTGGTTATACAAAAACTATAATCATTAGTTGTAATTATACAGTTTCGATTTATCTTTTAGTATTTTTCTTGAAAAAGATTAACATATTTTATTACAGCAATCATAATAAAAATGAAAAATGAAGTAATGACTTACATCAAATGTTATATTCACATTAATAACTTGTGATTTTTATGACTGTGATAGATGAGCAATTAAAAGTGTAATTTAGTCTTGTGAGTATAATAATTTCAACAACTATGTTAGCGACATGCAATATAATTTAAAATCAAGTTGTAAATTCCGCTAAATATTGAATCAAATACAGGTAAATTTACAAAAGGGTACATAAGACCTAATTCATGCAGTTAAAACCTAAGAACCTTAATTAGTTACATGATTATGATGTGTGAAAAATTAAGAGTACACACAAATATATCATAAAGTATACTTTGATTTGAGTTTTTTATTTTTTATTTGTTTTATGATTGAACTATATTTAATATTAAAATTGATATATTATGTAATAAATTAGGTTGACTTAATATTCTTATATTTCATTAGATATTAATTTGACTGAATTTTAAAATTCAAGTTGAAATAAATAATTTTGTTGAGAATTTAAATAGAAAATGACAGATAAGGATAATATTGGTATATTCTGATCCTTATTTAAATTATATAATTTTTTTAATTGCTATTGTTGACTAATCGCTACCTATATGATAGTAGAAACCAGAAAGAGAGACAATGGTGCAGTCTTGAAAGATTAGGTCAGATGTTAACCCACAGACAAAAGAGAATTTGATTGAGGTCATTTGTAACAAAGGCTGCATTTTTCTGTTTTTACTATGTTACTGTTACATGTCATATGTCATCACAAATTATTGAGTAACAAATCCCTTCTTCTGGCTTTTTCAAAACAAACAAAAATTAAAAACTTTCCTTTTATAATCTCCGGAATGCTTTTCAGCCCAGAATTTGGATTGGGCCTTCTGGCCTCTTTACGATCCTCATCACAACGGACCCTTGCTTTGTCTAAGTCCTTTACCATTCAATAAGGTTTTTTATTTTCTCTATCCCTATAAAAATTCCTGGGCTTCAGGAACAAACACCCTTCGTATTGTTAAAAAGTTAAAAAAAATGCAGAATGTGAAATATTCTAACCCAAAATATGCAAGTAAGTAACACTCCAATTAATAACACTATTTTTTTCTTCCTAAAACACTATTTAAAATTAACGTTGTACTCTGAGAGAAATTCAAGAACCAGACCTAGTTAACAATAATGTTTAAGAAACCAACTTCACATCAATAAGATAAAATAAATCAACCTTAAGTTTAGAAAAAAATAGTTTCACTTCTAAGTTCCCAAAGTAACCAAGACCATGAAATGTCAAATCAATGTCAATGTATTGAATAGTGTTTTAATTATGTGATGTGCATTGGGCATATGATATGTTGAGGATATGCTGCAGATATTTTCTAAGGTAAAAAATATTTGTATAGTTGCTTACCCTCCTTTTTACTTTTGGAAATTTTCAAGAGAGCCTTATTCTTCTACTTATTACTCGCAAGTATTTTCAATTTAAATATAAAATAAAAATACAAGACTAGTATTGTTTCGTGGACTATTTTATCATTTTATAACAATTTCAAAAAATGTGAAATAATTATATTAAAAAATATGGAGAATTTCTAAATTAGATTTAAATCTATTCATATAGTCATTATTTTTACCAAATTTCTTAAAATTTGAACAATGAATCCATGAATTGAGATTGAAATATTCAATGTTGAATTAGATTAAATCATTCAATAATTTTTTTTATATATTTTTAAATAATATAATAAGTACAAAATAAGTTCATTAACAATTACAAATCTCTCAGAAAAAAATTACAATCATAATAAAAAGCATAATTATTGTTGTCAAGAAAAAAAATAAACCATAATAAAAATCGTTATTATTATTGTCAAAAGTAACAATGAATATCATTTATAAAAAAAAAACATAATGAAATGTAGATAAATGAATGTTGAGAGTAAAATAACAATATAAAAAAATAATTATTGTATAAGATAAAGTGACTCATGGAGCAAAGAAAAAAATGTTTTATCTTTTAAGAAAAATAAAGTGATAGGACTCATTAACCTTTGACTTCATTATTTTTCATGATTTTATATTTGATTTTCCGAATTTGTTTGGGTTTAATATCCCACCGATTTTTTCAACAATGAACATTTTTTGGATTAGTTCCTAATTAAATTGGTTAAAAGGCAAGTTGGGTCGAATTTTGATAAAGACTTGTGAGTTGGTAGATCTATACAAACAAATTTCTTGATTTTCCATATAGGAAGAGAGACAATGTTGTGAAGGATATTATTGATTAAAGTTTGAACGAAGAACAAGCATAAAAAAATAATTATAATTTTGGAAAAACCTAACATAGATCAAGAAGGTCATTAGTTTGCTTATCCTTTTCTCTAGACATCTCAAAAACAAAAGCGAGAGTTTAAAAATTAGAAGAAAAAAAAAGCCAAAAATATTAGTACACTAACATTTTTTAAAAATTATTTGTATACTACGATCTAATGTAGAAAATGAAATTTTAATCGATTCATATAATATGATTAATTTAACAATATCGTAAATAATTCAAAAGTTAGAGAAGATATCCTAATATTCTAAATTAGTTGTATCACGAACCAATCTGAAAATATTTTCTATTTAGATAAGCTGTTTCAACAGTTGATTTATGAAGTTTTGTAAAATTAATTCTATATTGATAAAATAATTTTTAAATGGTTCTTATTATAATCGATATTAATGATAAATTTACAATATTATAAAAGATCGTTACCACCTCATCACATGTTATGTAGGTTTTCCAAACATATTGTTGTAAAATTTTAATGTTAATTTTTGAACTAGTATAAATAAAAATATGTAAAAGTAATTATATAAATATACATATAATTAATTTTAAAATATAAATAAAGAATATCTTACCTTCACATAGAAAATAATAATTTAAAAAAAAATGAGATTATAAATGGAAATCTGAGAAGAAAGCATTTGTATGACAAAAGAAAATAAAATCAAGAGTATTTTAAATTAAAACTTAAATAAATGTTTATGTTTGAAAATATATTGATTGATTTTTTTTGTAAGTAAAAAATAATGTTTCAAAACTATAAAAGAAGGGATGATATTAAAATTAGATTCAGAAAATTGAATATGTAACATGTAAGAGTGAGTAAAATGTATTGAAACCCTAAAATATGTGAGTGAACAGATATTTTAAAGTTCAATCGCTTTTATACGCACTTTATATAGGAAGCAAATCCCTTAAAATAATGGATATTTTTCTCAAAAGTAAGGACCTGAAGCTGTCACAGTGTCCGATCCAAGAATTCTTTTATGCTTCGCACACATTTATTGGGATTGGGATGTGTATATAGCAATACCATTGACCTTAATAATAATATATATGATCCCATAATATATTCACATATATACATAATATGGAATTAATATTCCAACCACGTTCACTCACCAACCCTACATTCACCCACCTAGTTAATACGCATTTGATATTACAAAACTAGATGACAAAGACTATAAAACTAATGGCCAACAAAGAAACTCCATCAACATGCACATGGGCTTGTTCCCCTCCCTCACTTGTGAACCATAAAAAATTTAATGCCTTCTTCATCCAGCTGAGACATTGATCATTTTGCAGGACAGACGCAATTAATTAAAACATAAAATCAAAGTAAATGATAAAGGAAGAATCTCTTGAGGGAATAAAGTATGCATTAAAATTCAAGGTATTTAGCACACAACAATCATGACAGCATGGAAGGATCACATAATAAACAAGCCAGACTATATAGGTTAAGTTTATTGCTTCTTGTCCATTACAAATGCCCCATAGGCTCCTTAAAATTAAAGTTGAATCTATATACCAACAAAACAAAACCAAAAAAATAAAGACACAGACACGTTCAAACTAACAACACTTTGCTCCATAGTCTCAGCAGAAGTGCTTCACATATTTTTTTATAGCTCCACTTTGGTACGAGATCTCACACAGTATGTATTTGGCCACCTTCAGCTTCTGCTTTTGCATTTTTCCATTGCTCTTGGCGCTGAAAGCACATTAAAAGATGCGCGCCAACGCATTAGAATAGCCAAAAAAATGGCAACTATATAGTGATTGATTAGTAATTGCGTTCCCAACAATGATTTCCATGAGTGATTAAATGAGTGCAAAGAAAAAGTAGATGTAAATAATAAGATACAATCATCCATACCAAGCCCAATTGCTTCTGATCCTTTCATTATTCGCAGACGCTTGCATGACTCCACAAACATCCTTCAGAAAATTAAACAGTCATTAAGGTTAACTTCAAGGGTCTGTAGAATTAAAATTATGTAAGACTAATTAATTCCTTGTAAAGTATACATGTTTCTGATCAAGAGGTCCTCGGAAATCATAAGTTTCCATTTTTTGGGTACCCATTAAAAAAAATTACTGAATTCGTGAAATATATGGATACAGTCACTGGGTTTTATATGTCTGCATGAAAGAAATTATTGTGTATAATAGCTGCGGAGCTTATTGTTGGATGAAGAACTTACTCCCATGGGACATCACCCACGAGCATCCAGTCACCATCCTTATCTTCATAGGTTGGCACATACTCAGAGCTGTTAAGAAGATCCATCAACTTGCTCTCATTCATGAAGTCTATCATTCCTTGGGCCCCATAGTTATCTTCACCAGTTCCAATATAAAAACATAAGTAAAAATAGCAACAAAATATTTTAATATTTCAGCTAATATGTAGTTAATTACAAGTAACAACCTTCATTCATATATAGCTGAATGTAACAATCCCATGGTGGTTTAACCAACCCGTACACGCATCATTAACATGTTTCAAGGATCTAAAACTTTATATAATATAATAAACAATATAAATTTTATCTCACTTGGTTTATTTATTTTCTTCAGTGTTGTACATACATATAAAATAACGAGGTTTCGCCACACTTAACAAGTGGTTGGAGAAGGAAGAAAGAAATAAAGAAGAGAAAAAGAGAATTCAACGTTATAATATTAAGAGTGATTATATAATAATATAATCTATTATTATAGTGGATTTTCTATTGGATGTTTTTTTCCTTTAAGGTGTCAAAATATCATTTGCTGAATATTAATGAGGGAGAATTTATAGGTGCAGAAAATAGATGGTAAAAACTTAGTATGCTGTTGATATACAAGTTAGTATTGTGTGTGTGCATGACTCTCCTGCATGTTATTAATATATAAATTTCAGTCACATGGTTGAGGTAAAAGTGGTTTAAATAGAGAGGAAAATATAATGGATCATATATGTAGGAGGCTTTATTGATGTACTAACCCATGGTGAAGGAGCTGAACATTTTGGCCAAGGCATCAGATAACTCTTTGTAGCTTTTGTACATTGTGAGGTCCACCTTGCGAAGGTAAGGTGCTCCATCCATGGAAACTTTGACAAATGCCCCGGAAGCAGTGCTGCTTGTTGTCTTCTCAGCTCCTTCCTCAGTGTTAACCTTCTGTGTCATCATGTTCTTCCTGTATGACCTCACTGGTGGCCAACCAACCACTTGAGCCCTGAAACATGTATATATTATTCCAAGATCCCGATCAATCTCAACTCTTTCTGATATCTCCCTCTTTTTTGGTTCAAGAAAGTTGAAAAATTTTATACCTTATGCAAACTATATATTCTAAAATTGAATAAAATTTAAGAAAACTATGTTATTATAACAGAAAAAAAAAAAAAAAGATAAGCACCAAGAATTTGCATATACCAACTTGCAGTTTGTTTGGAAACCATTATAACTATTAGTTTTTCAGTAAAATGTGAAAAATCACGTTATATGGAACCAAACACGATATATATAGCTGATGCTACGTTTAAGAAAGAAAAGATTTGAGAACAGAAGCATGCAAAAACCTTAGCTACAGAAGAAAAGTGTGAAAATCGCTTACTTAGCCGGTGGCTTGGTAGGATCCTTGAGGGTCTTCTCCTTTGAGGCATTCTTCAGATTCTCATTCAGATCTTCCTTGGCCTGAAGATTAAGCTTCAGATCAACTGTCTCAGAGAACCCTCTCTTCCCAGTGGCCCTTGGAGTTTCCACCTCAGAGCCACCGCCACCACCACCGCCTCCGCTACCACCACCACCAGGCAAACCGAGGCAAAGCTCAGTTTCCTTGAGATTTAGACCATGCTCCTTTCCCAACATAGTTGCCATATGAGGCTTCTCAATGAACTTACTCAGCTTAGCAGCAGAGTTTATAAAAAAAGAAAAGAATAACCGTTTTAGTTTCACCTCTTTGAAAGTGTTTCTCCTTATGTAGCTACCCTTTCTTGTGTCTCGCTTCTATTATAATGCTACTTGGTTTGTTTGGCTATATAGATTACAAAAGAGAGAGAGAGAGAGAGAGAGAGAGAGAGAGGGAGGGAGAGAGGGTGACAGTCCTCAATAATATAGCTTTGAGGAACTTGTGCTTGTGGCTGCATGCCTATGTCATATCATGTTGGGGACCAACTGCATGCTGACACATGGAGATCTGTGGAACGTTGATCCTTACAAGAAGGAGGGTAGGCTTAACCAACTCTCATAATCTTCCCTAAACTTAATTATATATTAAATCTATGCAATGAATATACAAAATTGATTTGATGAGAAGAAAAACATTTGATTTGTGAGTGTAGAAATAGTTAATGATTTTGATGTGCAAAGGGGATTTTGGGTAGCTACTAAAATGGATTGACCTCCCATATGTCTCCGGAATATTGAAAGCAGTCATTGTTGTAAATTTGAAATCACATGCAGGGCACTTGGTCTTGTTAGTTTTCCATCTTATAATGTCCTCTGATTTGAGGACTAGTTACTAAGTTTAGTTATCTAGAACAGTGCATCGTGTATTTCTGTCTTCGCAACAAGGCAAGCATACGTAATTTCCCAAATTTTTTAGATACCCTTCCCGGCAACCCTGCCTTCACCCGTCAAATTATTGCATATTTTTTGTACCTTTCTCTACATTTTTATTACTTTTAATTATCTCAATAAATCAATGTTATATTCCAAACACTGTTCCATTTCACTTTTCTTAGGAATATATTTTCGTTTAATCAGATGTTTTATATCTCAGTTTAAATTAATCTCGCACTGTAGGATGTCCATAGCAACGGTCTCGGTATTTAAAAAAAATAATTAATTATATAGTTGCTCCATTAGAGATGTAAAAGGTTAGGATTACTGGTAAAATTTGTGTCAGTCTCATTTTTACCATATTTTTAAATAGGATATGTTTCTAATTAATACTTTTTTACATAAATATAAATATAAAAAGTTCAAAAAATTAATATTATTTACTTACCGTTAAGTCATAATGTTTTCTTAATTTAAAAATTAAACAATAAAAAATTTAAATTTTATTTTAAATCACTAAAATCTACTATTAAAACATTAAAATATAACATCAACATTCGTCATTTGAATATAAATTATACAAAATAATAATTATATTATTTTATCAATATTTGAAAGAATAAATATTAGTCCAGTTGTCGGAAGCAGTACTTAAGAATTTTTAAGATTGTAATATGCTATTTATTAAAAATGTCTGGGTTATATTTATGAATGAGGAGAAGCGTGATAGTGATGATGGGGCGCGAAAAGGGCAATAATGGTAACAGTGATGATAGAATAATAATAATAGTGGTAAAGTAATAATGACGGTGAGTGATAGGAGCAACTGGCAACAGTGATGATAAGTTTGACTTGGTGGGATAAAAAATTGTAGAGAAAATCTGAGTCATGATAGGAAGTGATATAGATAGATGATTTTGACACAAGTATAATTTATCAACTTAAGTGGTATATTTGGTATATATGGAACAAAAGCACAAGTTTTAACCAAAAAGCTAGGGCAATTATCTCTTCAAGTTGATTGTTTACCCAACAAATTTCCTGGGGGGTATTCTCCGGCCACTGCATTCACTGTCACCTTCGGAATTAGAAGGTTCAGTTCAACTGAGAATGGAGTAATCAAAGGTTGAGGACTGGTTTGTGAGCTTTACAAATAGATATGTTCGACCAGACTACAAACAATATCACATGCTCAACAAATGACCTTGTTTCTTAAATATCTAGTAAGAGATTCAACCTTTAAATCTATTTAATTGGAAAACTACTTGCTGTGCACATTTCAATTCCAACATAGACCAATATTATCGAGATGCAGTATGTGTTAAGTTGAACTTATTCAATACAAAACTATTATTTACAAAATATATAGTAACTAAACACTATATATGCACAGAAAATCAACATATATATAACATTAACAGTTTATCTGACTTAATTTTTAATTCAATAATTCTCCCCTAAAATAAGCAGTTATTATTGAAGAGTCAACCAAGTTTGACATAAGCAGTCTAATTTATATATATGTGAAAGTGTGATGAAGTCAAAATGTTAGATCTGAAGGAAGGTGTAGTAAACGCTGAACAGAGTGTTAGATTAACGTACCAAAAGACATTACCTTGGAGTTGAAGGAAACTCTTACAAAAGGACATGCATTCCAATTAATTAGTTGCAGAGATAACCATGAGATCTAGCATGAAGGGGTAAGGTTGAGGTCATGTTTGTTTTGCGATTTCCAAACTAATATATAGCCAATCATTTCATGAATATATCTATAAATGAGTAATTGGTTGTGTTATTGGGAGATCCAACAAGTTTCACCCACCAAATTAACACAAGCTTCAAGAAATGGTGGATGAAAAGCATAAAAATGCGTTGCATCAACCGGGCCTATGTGATTTATATCGTACTATAACTAATAGCTTAAATTTCTTTCTTTTTTCTAATCTGTTGTGTATACAATAAATGGAGTGTGAAGGCATCATCCCCCCAATCAATCTCACCAAGTCCTTGTTTCATTTATAAAATTGTTGCAAGGCATAACAATAGCCACACAAATGCATGTTCTTTTCAGGCACCTTACATTCCTTTCCGTTGGGCGTTACAAAGAGAATAATATGATCAACACCCACCTTGTTATATTTTTATCATTTTTTAAGATCTGTACACATTTATAGTTCGTGCTGAGATTCTTCAGGGAAGCTTCCATTTAATCTATTAGCACATGCATTTCAATAGACAACTTTTATTAATAATCAAGGAATAAAAGCACATGAAATCTCATTTTCTACCTCATGGATTTTTATTTTTTGGAGTAGACATGAGAGTTAAAAGTGGATACCAAATTTAAATGATTAACCAAACTAATATGTTGGTAAGAAAGAATGGTTTCCTAAATATGGTAAGGAAATGATGTGAAATATGAGGAGAAATGAAACTGGAAGTGGGTAGTAATTCAGCAGGGCACATGATGGAGATGAATGAGTGTACAAGTTTGCAAAATCATAAGTACTGAACTTTTAGGGCATGGCAATAACTTAGAGACAGGTCACGTCAGAAAGAGAAGGAAACATCTCAAACCATGGTTGTGCCCTTGCCCTGTCAACATCCCTCCTTAACCCCATCTTTGATTGTTTCTTTCTAACCAACCTCAATGATAAGTATCCCTTGGATTCATGTCCTCTTGGCCACATATTCTAAAAACTTTGCCCAGATGGACTTGTCCAAATAAAAACATACCCTTTTCATCTTTTAGACTAAATGCAGTCATAATCACGAAACAAAACAAGAAGCCAATTTTCAGTGCAAGCAAATCCCATGCATATCCTTATCTACTGTACACAGTGACTCCAGTTTTAGATAATCCCATAATCTACCTTATTTTACTTCCACAACGCTCTGTAATTCCCCTCCAACTGTGCTCCAAATACGACTTTTATGTAAAGGGGAGGAACTTAAAACATCAAAATTGTTCTGCTCAAAATTTATGTTCTTCATTTTAACTGTAGCTGATATTAATTATTTACCGTTTTGAGTAGTAGTAATAATCCCGAGATTCTCTTATAAAGACATTAATTACCTTACATTTCTTTTTAAACATCTAAAAATTAATAACTGAATTATTTTATACAAGCATAATTTCTTTATTATTCCTAAACAGATGAACTCATGTGAAATGGTATTCAATTTTCTTGTATCAAAATTCAAACCTTGAGCTGAGTAACTTTAGTCATAACTATTTTAATGATATATATTGTTTAAAGAATCAATAAAAAATTATTAATTTTTTTGACAATATAATGTGTATAGTAACATTAAATTACTTTTTTCGTAGAAGCTTTCTAATTTTGATTCTTTAATGAATATTTTTATATATAATATACTTCAACAAATATTATTAAGACACTTGTTAGCATTCTCTTTAAAATGAAATATATATATATATATATATATATATATATATATATATATTACAAATTTACAATAAATTAATTAAAAGCCAACTATATAAGGTCAATTGCACACTATATACGAAAATAATGTATTAAAATCAAGGTAACTAAATGATGATAAACTAATTTTCAGTCAAAATGAGTTGAATAGAAAATAACTAAGTGGCAAAAATGCCACTTTACGATAAATCAAAGCTAAACATAACATTTGACTTATACTTTACATTAATTTTAATAGGCTAATCTTAACATAGGTTGAACCTATATAACATTTGCGTTGACATGATTCCAATAAGGGTGATATAAGTATGAAATTGTGGTCACATCTAGTTTGAAAATTAGAATGCACAATATACTTAAAATCAAATAATGTATTCCAATAATAGAGTTAAAGTTGAAATTTTTTAACATGATTGAATAAAACTAGAAGGGCTTTGATCAATTTCTATTCCATAGTCTTTAAGACCTCTATCTATCTCATATTATTATTTAAAAATTGAGGTTAAAGGTGATTTATTTATCACATTTCTAAATGAAGCAATTCATGAGTTATTTTTTTTTTTAAATTAAAATAATTTGTTGTATCATATTATTCTTAAACAACTTAATTGATTTTAGGTTCAATAGATTTCTTTAATAAATTTTAAAGAACTAATACTTCTTTCTTCATTTATTTTATTTTATTTATTTTGTAAGTTACTTAATGAAGTTATATATATATATATATATATATATATATATATATATATATATATATATATATATATATATATATATATATATATATATATATATTTACTATGTCACGATTCCTTGTATAAAAGTTACTTGAAATAAATAATATTTTACATAAATATTTCACAACATATCTTTCATTGAATATGTTTTTAACTGTAAAACATCTTTACGAGGAAATTAAACTTAAATTTTGAAATAATTAATAAAATAAATCTAGAGATTGATTCTAACTATATTATAAAAAGGACTAAAATTAAAATAATAATAAACAAACTTAATATTTATATAAGGTCTCATGATATTATTTATTTATGTAAGTTTTAAACATGCTTATCGGCATAATTAGACTTAAAATTTATTAAAAAAAATATGTTTAATCTAATGTTTTTAACAATACAAATTTACTTTTTTTCATTAAATTAAAAATTATAAATATTAGTAATTTAATTAATATTTTAAATTTGTCAATCATATTTATTGACAATACAATTTTCGATGGATCTCAGTACACTACTAAAAATTTTATTTTTTATGGAAATATTTTGGTAAAATTTTTGTAAAAATTGTAAAAAATAAGTTTTCTATAAATTTAAACCATTTTTTACAGGTAGAAAAAAATTAATTTTTTACTAGTGATAATCCGTTAAAAATTTTAATTTTTGTTGCAGTGTCATTCGTTACTTTATTCATCAATTAATATATTACTCATTTTCCTCATTGCCATAATTTATTCTTATATAAAACATTTCTAAAACATAATCATATCGATCAATAAAAGTAATTGTTTTAATTATTGTTTAAAAATTACTAATTTATAATTTATCAAATGTTTGATAAACAACTAACATTTAAAAAAAAAAACTCTCTTATAATAATCACACGATGGAGTATTAATTATGATTACGTACTAATACAGTTGTTTAGTGTTGGACCGGCCTGATATAAGAAATATATATTTAAAGTATCTTCACCCTCAATAATATTATTCCACATGTTGGTAGAGTTTGAGACAGTGGCCACACTGGTGGGGCCCGGGATGACCAAACAACTTTTTTTTTTTTCTTTAAATGTTTAGTTTTTACACAAACAACTATAAAATGAATCTACCCATTTTGTATAAATTAAAATCGACATTTCGATTACGTACGCGGATCTTTTGTTAAGCTATGATTAGTAAAGGTTAAGATTCATTTAGGCAACTATTTATTTCCTTTAATTTCAAATGCTTCGGAAGAGGGAAGATTAAATTTTAAAAGTACAAATACATTAGAGAGAAAACATAATTTAGATTCCCTTAACTTTAAAGAAAACACTTTTTATCTTAGATAACATAATTTATAATTTTTGTTAAAATATTTTAAGGTTTTTTTTTGTTCTATAAATTTCTCTTAACTTTTTAATGATACGAAGAACTTTTGAAATGGAAAGGTATGATTCAAATGTTGTCTTTTCATGCCATCCAACATTAAAAAAATAAAAAATCTTTCATCCAGTTTTTTCTGTTCTTTTATAATTTTTACTTATTTATTTAGATAAAATTGAGTATTTACGCATTCTATTTCTATTTATCTTATCGTGATATTTTTATTAATTTGATATTCTTTGGGCAAAGAATTTTTTTTAAAACATATATTTTAAGCTGTACATTAAATTGGGTCAAAGTAAACATATATTTAGTTTTTTTTTCTCCCTTTTATATTTATAGAATATTTTTTTATTTAAGGAAGGATGTATTTATAAACGGAACAATTTGATGGAAAGTTGAATTGGATAGAGTCTAATCTTTTTCTTGTGTGGTTCTTGACATATTTACGAATTGTGCTATATAAAAAGAAAACAAGTAACAATGTCTTGTATTGTAATGTGAGTTAATGCGTTTATTTAATTATTTAGTATTTTTTAAGGGAAGAGAACAGAGACATTGTGCGCTTTACAGTGTTGACTAAAATGAAAGGGGATAGCGAATCAGGTAATGGCTAACAAAAAAATCACCACACTTTAGAAAAGAAGATTACACGAATCATTTTGTAGTTAATATGTCCAAAAAGAGTGATCTCGCTCTCATGTTTTGGTTTTAGAGAAAAGGATAAAGAAGCAAAACTTAATGTTGGTTGAAAGTTTAAAGAGATTCTGAAATGAGATGGGTATATTTGAGAAGTAGTGTGCACATGAAACATGATTTGGAGAGAGTGAAGATCCCAAGCCAGGAATGAAGAAAGTCCCTCTGGTAGTTGGGTGATGATGAATGAATCCATGATATTGGTAAATTGTTAATACATGTTATACGATGTGTGTGTGTGTGTAGAGAAAACAAAAAAGTGAATTTTGTTTTGTTTTGGACTTGGCCCAACCACAACCAGGAGGACTAGAATACATGTCAACCTAAAAAATGCAAAGTAATGACCACGTGGTCAATAACATACGATCGTTTAAACCATAAAAAAAATAATCAGCAATCTTGTGAATATCGAGGAATCATACAAATGCATTAACAACTGCATTTATGATATGTCGGTTGAGTCATACAAACCTCAATTTCAATATTATGAGAGAGGGAAGCTAGCGTGAACAACAAAGACAAGTGTTTGAAAGGGACAAAGAAATTTTTTTGATTGCATCATGCCTTGTAAATATGTTTGTGATAAAAATTAGGTTTTGTTGAGTGTGTATTACTGTAAAGCAAATAATCTGATGGAAATAGTGTATCTTTTATATATTTACTAAATTATACTAATTTATATTTTGAATCAAAGCAATGAAATGACATTTTAGAAATTAATAAAGAAAATGAATTGTAATTTGCAAACACGATTTATGATGATTGATGAAATGAAAAGATTTGAAAGGCGTTGTAGCCCATTATGGAGGAGCCCGGTCCAACATTAGAGGACAGATTTGATAGACATGTCTGTTTCTTTGGAAATCTCATCAGAATGTATAAATAATATATCTATATATCGTCTATGCGCTTTTCACCAAATCCATCGTATACATACCCATTTCTTCTTAGAGCCGTGTGTACTAAAATAATAGTTTATGTTTTTAATGGCACCAAATCCACATTTACACCACACCTGTAAAAAGTGTATAGAAAATGTCATATTAGTAAAATATAAGACACCCACTATAATCTATGTAGTATTATTTTTAATCTTAATTAATTAAATCCAAATGGTTTGTATTTTCTTCTATGTTAAAAGCATATATACATATATATATATATATATATATTTATTTATTTATAAATACCCACTCAATAAATGCCTAATTATCATTCTTAATTAAAAAGGAATAAAGTGTTATATTATGAACCTTTCCATTTAAAATATCTCACCTCATTTCACTCAAGCGGTCAAATTGTATGTATTGATGAATTTTAAAAAAATATGAAATGTTTTAGATATACAATTACACTAAACAATTTTTAAATTTTTTGTTATTTATGAAAATATTATTTATTAATTATTGTTTGAAGGGTGGTCAATTTGATCATTCAATGTATTTAAAATTTCAATTTAATCTTCTAATCTAAATAAATAAAATAAAGTCTTTGTGAAAATTCTTTAATTATTTTTTTTTTAATTTAAGTTCTTAATGTTATCATTAAATTACGATTTGGTGGTTCTGTATTATAATAACATACTATTCAATCTCTCTCTCTCTCTCTCTCTCTATATATATATATATATATATATATGTATAATTGTATTTTAAAAAATATATAAAATATGAAAATTATTTATTAATATCCAATAATTAATTGAAAAATATGCATCTTATAAGAAAAAAAACCATCTAACCACTTTTGTCCCTACAAGATTGTTTTTTCATAAAAGATGTCCATATTAAAAAAAGTCGTAAATCATATTTTCTGTAATTTGGTTGAATTATACAAATTCTCTAATAATTTAAAAATCTTGCATAATTTTTTTTTACACGTAGTTTTTTGGAGTTTTAAAACTATTGCACTAGTATACTTGTGAGGAAGACAATTATATAAGAAAAGTGTAATATATATAGTTTAATAAAACTTGAAAGGCATAATTGTAATTTAGATAATAAAAAAAAGTGGTGGTATCTAAGAAGGAAGGGAAGGGACGCACGAATGGGGTTGGATGCATAGACCTGCATGGATGGAGACCAAAAGGACACATAAACAGAAGCAGAGTTTGAATTACCCAACTCCCTGTCTCTTTCTCTACCTCCACACGTGTTTCTCTTCCTTCTTTAGATACGTCACATCAAATTGAAACCTACATGTATATATTGTAACTTTTATTTAAATTTGTGTTATTTTAATTCTGTTTCATTTTTAACGTCCAAAACATAACCATGACATTCATCACGTACTAATCCACGCATCTAATTTTTCTTCATTTAGATTTTCTAAACTATATAAATTGGTTGATTAAGAGGATTTCAATTGTAGAAGGATATGAGAAGTAGTGTTAGGGCAATCTATGGTGAAAGGTAGGGTTTGATGTAAAACAAAATGGTGGGATCACTCTATTGGTATTGTCATTAGTCATTTCGGTCGGATATCATATCATCGTTAAATTATTCATATGTCGCCAAACAATCTTAATTTCAAACCAATTTCAATCACATGCAATTCAATATCTAATCCTTTGCATTTCCCACTTCCATAACATTCATTCAATGCTCATAGCAAATACACCACCTTTAACTTCTTCATACACGATTCTTTTACGTAACCAAGTTTATATGTTTCACCTTATATCAATTCTTTAAATTACATAGGAAAGAGTTTTTTTTTTTTTTTTCCTGTAAAAGTAATTTTAATATATATGTAATAAGTAACATTTGAAGTAATGAAAACGGATACGTAGACTTACATAACACAAGGACTTGGATCTAATGGAGCCACGATGTCATCTTCGTTATCATTCGTCTTCCTTTTGAAAGTTCTTGAAATGTGTCGTTTTGCATTAAAAATTCTCACTATTATACGTCAACTTCATTTTAATTAGCTTTGTCTCTTGTCTCCCAAGTTACGTGACTTAAGCCGTTAAGCGACCATTATCAATTATGAATCTCCCAACATGTTTGATTTAATTCCGGGAGTAAAAGCAAGGTCCCATGTATGTTTCATGTTTATTCATGCACACATCATATTTAGATTAGATTCAATTATTTCATAATTAATTTTAATTTTCACGTTGAAAGTCAAACAAATAAATTGACTCTGATATATATCCAAACAGGCACTAATTTAAACTATAATCAATTAATCCTAAAAATAGCTCACTTAATTCGTTCTTCAAGTTATGTGGAGTCATGATGTATTTTAATTTAGCTAGAGCTATCATCAACTTAGATAAGCATAACGTTGTCTCAAACACTACACTCTCATAAATAATTCGATTTATATATTCATTCAAATTTACAATGGAAAGAAGGAGACAAACAAACGAGGAACAAAAAAATAATTCAATTAAAGGGAGCATGGGTTTCTAGTTACAATTACAAGTTGTAGATAATAGATTTATTAAAAATGGAAAATAAAATTATTGACTTCTTAATTTCTTGCACCCTTTAAAAGTTATCATGCACCTCCTTCTTCGTCTAATATTTTTAAGTTTTCTAAATTAGCCTTGCACATAAGCACATTATTGTTATTTTATCTTCTCTTTTAAGGATTACCATTTTGTAATGATATTTTTAATGTTCTTGCTTATATATTTGGACACTTCGGTGTTGTAAGTTAGGTAAGTTTATAGTTATTTTGCAGATTTTTAACTAAAAAAAGTTTGTTTATGTGCAATTACCATCTAAAAAAACTCTTTTTCATCGACTTTGATCACTAACGCAGAAGTTGTAAAGGGACTTTAAACCAATGCTTATATAGATGTCAATAAAGCACTTGAGTAATATAGAGTATTTGAAATTTTACCAAAATCAACTTCACATTATACTTGCACTTTTGAAAACAAAGTATAATAATATTTTATGAATTTTGTTTGGACACATAGCTTTATCTTATTTGTTGAGATGCTAAGTGACAGTGGATCATGTTCAATGTCGGTATGATTTTTTAGTATTTAATTTAAAGTGTGACCCAGTTTGTGCTCAACTTTTTTGGATTAAAGCGCAGTGGGAAGAAAATAGAAGTAGTCAGCCACCATGGAAAAAGCATCGCAGTGAGGCACCGACTTGTGACTTTTATTTGTAACCAACAAACACAGCCTTAGACATCCTGTACATCATTGTTTGGGTTCCTCTTGCAATACCAGGAATTTGTTCTTTTGGTTTCATTAAACACCAACACCTACCTAAACATTTCTCAGGTTTGTTCCGAACGCTATTTATTTATTTATTTATTTCCTTTTTCTACTCAGTTGTAAGTTCCATCCAATTTTTAGCCTTTTTTAAAATGTAAAAAACAATAAAAATATAAGTTTATTCACTAGACAAAAATGTTATCTCCAAAACACGAGAAAATGAGAAGGGATGCTCAAACTAAATATTAATTTTAAATTTATCATTATTTCAATTATATTTTGTTATTTTTGCAGTATGTTTAGGAGTATAAAATACAAGAGTTGGATAAGCGTAGATACCATAATATGTTTTTATCCATTCCATGTTTGATGCTGTCAAAGATAAGTTATAGTAAGTTTTACATATATACACGTATGGAAATAGTACCATTTCATCATAAAATTGATTTCTAATATTCTTTTAATTTTCAATAAATTATTTCCTTTTAATATTATACAATTATATAAAATGATTTGTAACTTCTTAATGTGCATACATTATTTCATTCCCTAATTCATAACATTTATATAGAAAATCAACTAAAAGAGAAATAACTCAATTGAACATTTTATAATAAATTTTAATACTATTATAACAAATCTATATATGATTGATATTTTTTATCATAATATATAATATTAATAAATTTTATTATTTTACTATTTTTTATCATAATCACTACTAAAAATTCTCATTTTCATGGGAATATTTTTGAAAATTTTTTGTAAAAATTGCAAAAAATAAGTTTTCTATAAATTTAAACAATTTTTTGCAAGAAAATTGGCAGAAAAAAACTAGTTTTCTAGTAGTGAATCTATATTTTTTTAATTGAAACTTAAATACTAATCTATATTTTTTTTAATTGAAACTTAAATGATAATCTATATTATTAATTAAAAACTAAATAAACACTCTTGTTATACTTATTAAAATAATAAAATTTATTAATATTATATATTATGATAAAAAAATATCAATAATTTAAGATTTGTTATAATAGTATTAAAATTTATTATAAAATGTTCAATTGAGTTATTTCTCTTTAAATGATTGATATTTTTTATCATAATTAATATATCATTTATATTTAAATGATTGATATTTTTTATCATAATATATCATAATATTTTATTAAATTTTATTATTTTAATATTTTTTATCATAATCTATATTTTTTTAATTGTATAACTTAAATACTAATCTATATTATTAATTAAAAACTAAATAAACACTCTTGTTATACTTATTAAAATAATAATCTATATTATATTTGATAATAAAATATAAATGATATATATTATTAATTAAAATATAAATCATCAAATATAGATTAGTATTTAAGTTTCAATTAAAAAATAATAATATTATTAATAAATAAATGTGTTTATATAACACGTTATATTAGTGTACCAAACAAGTAATTAATTAGCAGCCAAGAATAAATATCTACGACCTAGAATCTTTTTATGTTATGAAGATTTTTTTTTTTCACTTATCTATATTATCCCATTTTCCCCTTTATATATAATGAAAGTGAATACAACATGTGTCTCATGGGTCGGATACATACGCGCACAGTTAGGGATGACAAAACGGGTTAGGTCCGGCGGACCAGGCCCACGACCACCATAATATGACGGGATGGGTTAGTGTTTTCAGCCCATCAACCCGCTTTTGGTCCGTCCCGTCAAACCCGTCGAGCTAACTCACGGGATCTGAGCAGCACTGCCATGCCCGCCTAATTAATAAAAAAATAATTTTTTATTATAATAAAATTAATTATAAAGATAATATATAAAGTTAAAAATTTTAAAAAGAGAATTACAAAATTTTCACTTTCACGTAAAAATATTATTCTTACTCGAAACATAACTTTCTCTCTTGTTCTCCTTGTTCATCCTAAACACCGATTATTTTTATCCTTATGACTTGAATTAAAGGTGTAAGAATTACTTAACCAAGAATAATGTGAAGTTTTATTAAATAAAAAATATAGGTATTTGAATTTTTTAATATAAAAAATATAAATTTTATAAGTGTTAACGTTATATATATATATATATATATATATATATATATATATATATATATATATATATATATATTTATTTGTTATTATTTATTATTATGTAAATTTTATTATTTTTCTAAATTATAATTTCTTAAAACAATGTATTGATTTATATTATTAAATTGAAATAATAATATATATATATATATATATATATATATATTGAATTATTGACAAATAAATAATAATCTTATTATTAAATTTATTAAAAAAATTATTTTAAAAAATAAATTATTTTTTTCTAAATTATGATGGTCAACCGCCACTTCCCGAGACGAATAAAGGTCTACAGACTGTTCATGACTATAACGGGTCAGCTCGCCCGTCTCGCTTTTGACGGACCAATGGCGGGATGGGCCAAAGCGAGACGGATCGACTCGCTTTTGCCATCCCTATCCACAAGTGATATGATAAATAATGATTTAATATATAATTTTTATTAAAACATGTTTAAATTTATTTATATATGTACCAAGTGTCAACAAATTAACTGTACTTTTGTGTAATTAGGTAATCAATTTCACTTTAGAAATATTTATTATTAGTGTTAACAAAAAATGTAATACTACTATCAATAGTGACAAAGCTTAAAAAAGTTGTAATAATTTTATATTAATGTTGGCAATGATAATGGTAGCTAACAATGCAATGGGAGACAAGACAATATATTTCATGTGAGACAGGGGTTCCTATTCTTCATTTTGGCAAACAAAATAGATTAGAATCTTTGTTAGCCACTAGTAGTGCATGCCAAGCCATTCAAGTGTAGCACCTACTCAATAAATCTCTCATATAACCAAACAATTCAGACCAAGTTTTAGACCATAACATTAATTTTCCAACTACTATTACACGACTCCATGATCCATCGTCTATGAAACCATCTTAAATAGAGATATTTTATTATTCCAGACCTTCCTTTTTCACGTTCCATGGTGGTAATGCATTCCTCACCTCTCAATAAATACCTACGGAATTATTTTTCGTCATCCCTTTCATTCATATAGTACGTAACAATAACATTGATGTGCGGAATGAGATGAGAAATGGTGTAGGTAGTGAAGCAGAAAATGAGGGAAGAAGAAATGTATATCTGATTAAGATCATTAGGTGAGCATCACTATCTGACTTGTGTTTGAATAGTTGAAATGGCAAGTGCCAAACACCACAAGTTATATGGATATATTGGCAGCTTAATTAGTACACAGACATGTTGCTGGATTTCATATATACCACAAATTCTACTTTCATTCATTAATCAGCGACGGTGACAAAAATCCGACACAGCCAGCAGCGAGAGCGAAATAACTAGGGCATGACACAGTGACACTCTGTATATTCTTTTCACTCCTTCACAACAAGCAAAGCAGAAGTGCCCCAGCTGTTACAGATTCGATATAACCCCTTACCGTATATGTGAAAACTGCTATTAAATATGACTCCCCCCAACATTCTCCCACGGTGTACCCTTCAACCATTTCACCAACAATGCTAAAGTAAAAAAAAATAAGAAAATTTTTTGTAATGAAAGGCTGAAATCACATATACCTATATCCAACATAACAAGTCACAATGCCAGGTGGGATTACATATTCATGATCGGTACCTTGATGTCCACTCAAATAATATCCTTAAAGGAAAACACAACCACCCAAAAATATACAAACAATTTAAGGACGATTTAGGGCATTCCTACTCTACCATGGAATACAAGATTCTGAATGTGAGATAGAATATGAATTTTTTATTTTATTTTAAAGTAATTGTTTCATATTTTGTGTATGTTGTGGAGGTAAGATGATGGATGTTTGACTGAATTGTGGGGATGGGTTTCCCTACAAGTGATGAATAGGATCTCATGACACCTTTTGGTTTTGATTTTGTGACTGGCAGCATTCCAAGGGAAGGGAGAGTTAGTGGTCCTCTCATCTCACCCATTAATTTTGCAATGGATATCTCCATGAATGTTTGCTTAAGCTGCAGTGGTTGAGCAAGAAATGGTCCTCCCATCACATTATATGCATCTTCTCCTACCCTCACATCTAATTAAAGACAGAGTCATTTAATCTATATATAAATATGTATAGAAAAGAACATAGTTGGTTAGGTAGACATCATAATAACAATATAACATCCATCTTCTTCCTCTCAAATCTATCAACTACTGGGCATCACTTTTGTCCATGCAGAATGTGAGAACGGAAAGCTTATGTTTACAAGAGTTTAAATCAACAATGATATATCAAATTTTGTGTTATTACTCCATCAACCAAGAACATATGGATTACAAAATTGAATGCATCTTTTACCCTAAAATTAAAAACAATTCTAAAATATTTAAAAATAATAATAATCAAATAAATAAATATTTAATATTAATAAGATGATTATAAAAATTACTCTCTTTCCTGAAAAATAATTGATGAAGAAGGGCCCCTGTCCCTACTGTGTACGTGTCAATAATTTAAATAATGAGTATGTTATGTTTAGTCAATTAACACCTTAAATCTTTAAGGAATGTGCTTCTCCTTTTAGGGTTTCATACAGTGTACTTGGTCATCTAATAACCAAAAAATAAACTATTGTACGAAATTACAATATAGCCTTTCTTCATGTTCACTTGTTCGTCCTTTAAGTGAACCCATATACACATTAATGCTTCCCACTATGTCGTTCAAAACTAAAAAAATAATATACTTTCGTTTTTGTAATTTAATAACCCATTCTTAATCCACAAATTTCTAACATCAACAACTCGTGATTTTTGTTAGTCATCATGTCGTTCTTGTACATCAACTATTTATTTTATTTTTATTCCTATAAAATACTGAATTAAATTTAAATTTGTTTGACAAGAATAAAGGTTTTTCTTTGACAAAATTTGATTATGAATTTGAGATTTACAAATATATATATATATATATATATATATATATATATATTAATATTTATACTTTAAAAATAATGTTGTTTTTATTAATTAAATCAAAAGTCTTAAACTTATTAAAATGTTTGACTTTTTCAATATTTATGGCGGAACTATTTTTCAATATTTCTTAATTCATCAATTTTTTTTCACTGACTACAATCAATTAATGGTATCAACCATTTCTCAATGCGAGAGTAGTTGGGTTGTTTTTGACAATTATTTCTGTTTCAATAATTTTATTTGTTCATCGTTGATGCCTCTATTATCGGTTTATTTTTCTGTATGAATAATGATAACACAATCTTGCAGATATTTTTCTTTTCTGCTTGTTGTTCAACTTTAACACAGCAACTACCTTAATTTCAGGTCGACACTCCTTCACAAGAAATTATTACATCATATTGGCCCATCACGTAATTTATGATGTCTTTTGGATAGACAAAATTAATTACTTTTACATATTATAATTAATAATTCAAATTTTTATAATAAAAAGTAAATTTTAGAGTTATTTTAATTATATTTATTGAGAAATACGTTTAAATTATTATTTTTTGAAATAGTAATATTTAATAAAGTTAAAAAATATTACATTTAAGCTATTCAAAATATTATATTTTTAATATTTGAGTGTAGAAGAAAATTTTAATGAATGTGAATATATTTAAGCATTTAAATTTAAGATATAATTAATAATATTTAATTTGTATATTATTAACCAGGTTCATATATAAATAATTAATAAGGGTTAAATTCTATTAATCAGGTTCATATATAAATAATTAATAAGGGTTAAATTCTTTTAAAAAATTGATTGAATTCTTATATTTTAGAAACACAAAAAAAAACTTCAACATTTACATATTGAATTTTTTAAAGAAAATTATGTTTTCATTTAATTAGTTTTATGATAATAAAAAAATACAACTAAATATAAACTTTAAATATAAAAATAACAAAAATCACATTTAATTCTTTTATTAAATATGTAAAAATAAAAATATAACTGAATACCAATTTTAAATATAAAAAAAATACATTTATTCAAAATTAGATAATTAAATTCATAAATTTATAAATATAAAAGTTAAAGATAGTTTTGTAACAAAATAAAAATAAAAATAAAAATATAATTTTCTCAAATAATAATCGAATACCACTTAATAATTCCTCTAATTTTATTGCCGATGTCGTCAACTATAAACGAAAGTCTAAACGTAAAAATTACTAGATTATTAAGGAAACAACTAAATTTTTGTATTTGTGTAAATTAATTGATAAAAATTTGTTTAAATATTTAATAATTATAGATTATATACACTTATCTTTTATTAAAGAAGTTGAGTGAGGTCAAATTATTATATACATGTAGTTATATATAAATGGTATTCAAAGTTTGACTTTAAAATAATCTGGTAACCTACGGTTAATTTACATGTTTATTAATATAGTGTATAGTTAGGATTCAATGTTTAAGTTAAGTTGAAATAATTTGTAATAGTCAATTTATTTTTGTAAATTTGTTCAATATAATTTTTTCTAATCCATAAAATCATATTTCATTAAACTCAAGTATAATTAAACGTAGGAGAAGATAACTATAAAAAAACATGTTACTAGATTTTTTATTTATTTTTTGATGTTTTTGATTGAGGAGATGGTGCATCTTAGAAGTTGGAAGTACAACAAGGTTCACATGTAAAGAGGGTCCACAAGGGTTTTAGGAATTAAAAAAAATGAGACCCACATGGGGATGGCTCCTATGACCAAGTCTGAGATATGGACCCTCCCTTCACATGGGCATGTTCCCTTTGCCTTTCCTTAAAGCCAACGCTCCTCATTTATCTCCCAAACGGCATCTTGACCCTCCCAAAAGTCTCTTCCCTTATGGGACACTCACCCTGTCCCACCCTTGTCCTCCTTTTGTGGGGACATCTTGCTTTAAACTTGCTGCTCCTGCTACCGACACCTTACCCTGTCTTTCTCCATAATTTATTTATTTATCTATCTATCTGTGGCCCTCTCACAACTCATTCATATCATTCCCCGTACCATACACAACGCCACCTCCTTTATCTTCCCATGTCCCTATAAAACATACCTTCCCACACTTGCATCACATCTCAAGTCTTATCATCAGCATCATCTCACCAGCTACCTACAGGTACAATACAAGAGAAGAAGAGACTCCACTCAACAGATCAACCAGCAAATTAACAAGCACTTCCTTGTTTTTTTCTATTCAGTTGTTGAATCAGAAACAAGTCTCTGAGGCTTTGGCAATTGGTATAGAGTGTTTTGGATTATAGATTGTACTCGGAAGAGATGGAAAGCACTGTGACATATGAGAGTGATCTCAACCTCAGGGCAACTGAGCTTAGATTGGGGCTCCCAGGAACAGAAGAAAGAGAGGAAAAAACACTGCCTGCAGCTGTTAGAATTACCAACAAAAGGCCATTGACTGAAACTTCTGAGGAGAGTGTTTCTAAGGGCCCTAATGCTCAACATGTGGAAACTGAGGCAGCCCCTCCTGCCAAGTAAGTTTGATTAACATGCTATTATTATTAAGACTCAAAGACCTTTATCTCATGTTGTGTGTTGATGAGTGGAGATGTATTGAAGTTCTTTGTGTGTGCATGATGATTTGAGTCGAGTGATTCATTGAATGTGTTGACATGCATGACAGGGCAAAGATAGTGGGGTGGCCACCAATCAGATCCTATAGGAAAAACAGCCTTAAGGAGAATGAAGGTGCTGGGATTTATGTGAAAGTGAGCATGGATGGAGCCCCTTACCTTAGGAAGATTGACTTGAAGGTATATGGAGGCTACGCACAACTCCTCAAAGCTCTAGAAAACATGTTCAAGTTGACCATAGGTGAGAAGAATTTTAGTTTTATTTGTTTTTAGTGAGATGAGAGCTTGAATCAATTTTTTTGATATTGTGAAAATGACCTGGGTTATGTTATGGCTTTTCAGGTGAGTACTCTGAAAAAGAAGGTTACAAGGGATCTGACTATGCACCAACATATGAAGACAAGGACGGTGACTGGATGTTAGTTGGAGATGTTCCATGGGAGTAAGTGTTACATCTCTCCCTTGTCTTTCTGATCTGCTTTTGTTTCTCTCTGGTCTCATCATTGGGTATCTATGAGTTGAATCAATCTGACAGAACCGTACTTTTCGTGCAGCATGTTTGTGACTTCTTGCAAAAGGCTGAGAATCATGAAAGGATCAGAGGCCAGGGGTTTGGGTTGTGGTGTATGAGAAACCAAGCCACTCAAATTAATGTGAGCAGAGAAAAAGTGTTTTGGGGTGAAGGGAAATCATGCTTTCAGCTTGGGTTCTCGGATCTAAAGGGTTTTGACTTTTGAATCACTCTAGTGTATGCCGTTTGTTGGCTGGCATACCTAATATGGAAGTATAACTCTGAAGCAGGAGATGGAAGATACAGTGCAGTTTCTTCCTCAAGTTTGACAACTTTTCTGGTTATTTTTGGCATCTTTGGTGGGATGCTATGCTATTCTATGCTGTTGTTTCCACTGATCATTTTTCAAGTTTCAGAATGAGAAATCTCGGAGATTTCAAATGAAACTTTGTGTAAAAGAAAGATAGAAAAAAGTTATATGTAATATCAATTGTTTCATCCATGTTTTTTCTGTTTTGTGTTGATAGAAGAATACAGTGTTATATGCAGTGTTCGTATATGCCTGTGTTACTGAATGGACTCAAAATTATGTGACACTTGATTATTGATGTTCCTCTTTCTGTATTCTACGGTCTCGTTTATAATTCCAATAACTTGCTTAATTTGAGACTGAAAACCCCGATAGATCCATTAGATCATAGTTTTGGAATCGTGTATCTAACAGATACCATTAGGTGTCATTTTCCATTTTTCACTTCAACATCAAATGGTTAAGGGTTTAATTTCACCTTTTATACAAATTAAATTTCAGAACAAAATAAATAAAATTTATTATATTATCTATAACTAGTTAATTACTTTACCGATTTTAAAGTAATTTTAAACTTTTAAAAATTAAAAAATAAGTTTAATAATTATTTTTTTGAAATTGGTTTCGTTTTAACTTTTGAAAATAATAAAAAAAATGTTTTCATGTTTTTATTTATTATATAATTTTTCTTTATTATTACTATGGGTTTTTAAATTTTGTTTTTATTATTATAAAGTTATTAATTTTAAATTTTATCGTGATTTTTAATTGTTGAAATCATTAAATATTTTTTAACTTATTTTTAAAATTACTTATAAAAATAAAAAATAAAATTAAGACAACGTTATATAATTTGTAATCCTCCTCTCTCTTTAATTTTTATTTAGCCTTTTTTACAAAATGTTGTATAAAACTATTCCACACTGTTTATTGTTGAAATGGCCGGAGTAGCCTTTCCCTCCTATGTTTTTTATTATATGAAAATAAAAATCAACACCAAATGTATTCAAGTATATATAATGGTGAGTAAAATGGAATCGAATGTGATTAAAATCATCATTCCATTATTTAAATACTTTTATAATTGAATGATATATATATATATATATATATATATATATATATATATATATATATATATATTTCATTAAATATTCTTAAAAATGAAAGAAAATGAAAAGAGGTAGACACGGTGAAATATAATGCATTTCATTATAAACTAAATTTTAATAAAAGGTTAAATTTTATATGGTTTGTATTTTATACCTGTCTTTCTAAAAATCGCTCCTGAATCCATCTTATTTTTAGGAAGGTTAGACATTGTGGAAGAGTTAAACTCGTTGGAATGCTTAACAATAATACTTTAAAATAAAATTATTGAATGATACAAATAACACATTGCGAGATAAAAGTAAAGATAAGATCCATTTTAAAACAGAACTTACCCATCAACACCAAAATGAAAGTGAAAGACTCAAATTCACTGTATTAATACAGTTACATCTTATTTTTAGTTTAAGATCTTGGTATGGGAATTAAGAAATGTAATAAGTATTTTTATTTTATAAAATATTATTTAAAATATATATCTTGTATAATTTAGATTCTCTCATTTATGCCTTTTATTTAATTTCTCAGTATAAAAAGAGTTAAAAATTTTAATATAAAAAGGAATATTTAATTAATATTATAAAACAACAATCAATGAATGTGAAACGAAAGAAAAAAAAACAACAAACAAACGAAGCTGTTCCATTATTGGCAAGGTATTATCTTTATTTTACACAATACGCGAGTTTCAAAATTTGGGTGTTTGACCGAATATTCTCATAAACATAATTACGACGACGAGACTCTAAGATTAAACCTTGACATCGCGGTTGAAGTTGTGGTTTTCAATAAAATGAGAAAACAAGAAACATGATGGAAATGTCCTTTTGGTACAAATGGGTCCTCTCTTCAGTTCCACCCGCAGACAATGACTACATTTCCTGGCAATTGAGTTCTCACCCAGAGCTGACCCCAAATTGCTGTGTCTAAGGAATCTGGATACCCTACAAACTATAGATATTTAGGTTAGATAAGAAAGGGTGGTTGTTTATAACGATCATGTCATCAATAAAATAAAAAGTCAAGGACAAATAAATAATGCAGTAGACAGTATCAGCCTTCAAGTTTATATGTCAAGACCTAATGCAGATATGTTGTTAGCAAAGAGTGACAAACTTTAACAAATTGTGTCTGTCTATGATAATAATACATGATTCAGTGTGTGGTTTATGTTAGTGCTGATCTCAAAGTTCACTTGGTAAAAAAATAAAAGCGAATATTAATTGCAGGAGACAGGACTTGCAGATCATATATTTGTATTGAAACATGGAAAAGGTTTAAGCAACTAGATTATTCATATTCTAGATAAAGTCGACGGATCACGAAGCAAAACTGCCGAACTTTGTTGTTGGTTTTAGAAAAAAATGTGGAAAATTCGATTATGAATGAGTCATGGATTGAAAGCTGTAGATGTTGATTAGAATTTGAAAGCGTGTCTTGCAACGATTACAGAGATGAAACATCAATGCTGGCGGCAATTTTATAATGAGAAGTTGTTTGAAGGAAAGTCACGGATAGGTTCATGCATACCACTGATCTTAATTACAATATCACCTTTTCAATTATTTCCATTATCTCTTTATAATTCTCGTAATTACATCAGTTAAGGACATTCACAATAAAATAATTTTACGAAAATGTTATTAGAGTTATTCTTAAATAAACTATATCAGTACACATAGTACAAGAACTATCTAGGTTTTATATATAAAATTATTAATTGGTTACAGAACTGACTCATATGTTGGATATAACCCTTATTTTGATAGTTTTGCACAAACAATATATGGAAATGCTAGGTGAGATTTGGAGATGCATGTGGGGTGCTGGTTGCAAGAATAGTATCTGAAAGGAAAATTGGAAAAATGGTTGTACATTGTGTGTGGTTTAGGTTTGATTCATCGTTATCAAACCTAACCTAACGCCAGTTTTGAAGTTGACATCTGAGAAATGTACTCAAACTCACCATTAATCGTGTGTGGGCTCAGTACTTGATGCACACAGCTCTCGTATTATTATTACAATATTTTGCCCATCATCCTCTTATTTCATATCTCTCTTTTCTTTGGCAGAAAGGAGAATTTACAATATTTATATGTCTGCACTTTACCCGTCAAGTATTAACATTCAGACGAATAATTAATAATTTTCTAATTAGAAAATCTTTCGATTAATGAGAAAATCTGTTAACCTTAGTAAACAATGGTTTGATTCATTAATATTGTGTTTTATTATTCCAATAAGAACCCTAGGCATGACAAAGAAGATGCGTCACTTTTAGAGTGCATCTTAGATTGTTTGCTTTATAACTTCATAAGATGCACATTAAGTTCTATATATTAGTGCATATTGCTTCTTTTTAGAAAAGTTTTGGCTAATTAATGTGATTATATATGCTTGCAAAAGGTTTGTTAAATATATTCACCAGACAAAGTCTCAGTTTTATGGCAAGTTCACGGTATACTTTCTGTTTAGCCACTTGTTTTGCAAAGAAAATAAGCATAGTTTATTATCTAAGTCTAGGTCTAGCAATATCAAATTATACTATGAATCTGGCTAAGAGTTTTAGATCCCTCTTCCCGGCAAAGTTTAAGGAAAGGTAGACTAAGGAAAGTGCATGTACAATATTTTATTCATAGAGCAGAAACTGTCCTTACTATTGCACTCTGTAGCAGGGAACAATGAGATTTTAGGCCAGTAAATGGCACAAGTACAGAAAAATAATCCTGCAGAGTTTAAACAGTGATGTTCAACATCTTGTTGATTCACTATGCAGCTTACAAGAAAACCAGAAAAAAATAATTAAAAATTGCTTCCCATGTGCTTCAAAATAACTAGACTCCACAATGGCAGAAAAGACTAGTTCTAGAAAAATGCAAGAAAAATATTTGAACTGTTGAAAGAAGGAAGAGCAAGTTAATGCATAAAAATTGTTAAATTGTTCTATGCAATTCTTTTAATAAAAACATGTGTAATATGGAATTAAGGGTCTTTTTCCTTCTGCCCTTTTCATCTATTCATTCAAAGAACTTATCACTTGGCTTAGACGTAAAGACAACATCATGTGCTGTCATAGAATATTTCGGGGAATTCTAAGTTACCTCTACTCCAGTTTTTAATTGATTCACAGTATAGATATTTTTATACTAACAGTGTGAAAATTAAACTTCATGTACTATTTTAATATAAAACTTAAATTTGAACTAGGGGAGTAGGGGTAAGGTAGGGTGAACCAAGTTTTATTTACGTTTCAATTCTTGGGAGATTTTCTCTTGTTTGCAGTCCTCGAACTACAGCATTCTTTATCTTTTATAGCCCATTAATTAGTATTCCTAAAGCAACATTTTTTGTTTTGCTTTAAAATTTAAGAATGTTCGTTGAAATTTCTAAAAGCACGTTTGCAACTTTGATAAAAAATATAGCCTTAATTTCCTCCTTTACTTAGATAACTTTTTCTTGTCTCAACGCTGGTTATGAAAAAAGTAGATACCGTTTACAAAACAGAAAAGAGATTTGCGATCTCCAAACTTTACTGTTCATAGTTTTCATTCCTTTAATGGACTCTCTTGATAAAACAGAAAGATGAAAATGTTATTTCATCTTGCATCCATGTTTTCTTTTGTGTAACTCCTTATTTATATCTAAAATATAATATTATTTTTAATATAAATAAGTTATAAAATGTTTATTTTAATTTTTTTAAATTATAATTTAAAAATGAGTTTTATATTACATTTTTCAGGACGTAATTTTGGATTTTAAAGAATTTTTAAAACTCATTTTTAGATTATGTTTTTTAAATATATTTTAGATTTAATAATATGAAACACTACGAATATAAATTAAATGTCTTTTTTTATATAATTGAAAGTATAAATCATCAATAAATTTCTAATATGAAAATGATGGTTGAATCAAAGGGCAGAAGCAGAAGCTACAATAAATGGAAGTGTAGGTGCTGGTATAAAGGTGTGGTGCGGGAGAGAAAAATTGGCTTCAACGACATTTTTAACATTTTATCTAGATTATTACGAAGGTGCAAAAGAAATTTATGTAAAGTATCTTTTTATTCACCGTAAATATATGTAAAATGTCACACCTACACCGGTGTTTACTGTACTTTCATTCAACTATCTTTTTATTCTAAAGTTAAAAATTTAGTTCTAATTTATGCTTTGAATCATAACATGCGTATAAAAATCTTGTCAAAGAAAAATTATATTTTTATATTTTGAATTATTGAAGTCGATATATATTGTTTAAAAATATAATTCATAACTCATCTTTAAATTATGTTTTTTAGAATTATATTTCAAATTTAGTAATTCAAAACTTATTTTTGGATTGTATTTTTTTAAAAATATATTTTGAATTTAACAACTTAAAAATTATTTATTGATATTCTTTTGTAATCATTTTTCTAAATTTTTTATAAATTGACTAGCTTTCGAGAAATGTTTTAGAATAAATTTTTTAAAACATTTCTAAAAAATTGATTCTGAAATCTTTCTAAATAATTTTTAGAAAGATTAATATTCTCAGGGACTTTTCTAGAAATTGTCTAAATTGTATAAGTTGTGGCGATTTTAGGGTACTAAAATTGTGCTTGGAAATATAAATTTAAATGAAATCGTGGTTCCAAATATCATTTTAGTGGTTTCAATTTTTTTTAACATGTTTGGTAGTACCAGTTACGCATAAATACTCTTAGGTTGAAAGTCGTGCTACCTAGTACCAGTTTGTCATAATTTTTTTCCAAAATAGGATTTTTTTATATTTTTTAAATATTTATTTATTAAATAATTATTTTTAATTGAATTATTAATTTAACAAAAAAACAAAATAATTTAGACATGGTTAAATTTAATTCACTTTATTTAGATAGGTCGGTCAACTTCAAAATTTACCTGCGCAATTTCAATTTAGAGGACAAGTTTCTTATACATTTACTTCATTTTCATATAAAACAAATATATTTTTCACCTTTTTTATGACATCATATCAACATACAATTAAACATATCTCATGACTACTATGTCCAATATGTCTCTTATACAGGATACGAAAGAAGAGGAGGATGAGGATGGTGATAAACAAACAAACATTCAACTTCAATCATTACAGGATCATACGCGTGCTACACAAGCCCAACAAAGACATATTCAAGACCAACCAAATAAATCAAGACGAAAAATAAGACCACTTTATGAAACGAAGTCTTACTATTAATTTTTTTCTGTGATAATATTTTAATATAAATATAGTAAATTAAATTTAACCATATTTGTCTAATATTTTTATTTTTTATTAAAGTAATAATTCAATTGAAAATAATTATTTAATAAATAATATATTTAAAAAAAATAAAAATGAGAGCACGGATTTGATAAAAAAAGAGAAATTCATGTCTTATAACACGTTCTATTGAAGAAGAAAAAAATTAAAAGATTTTAATTAAAATTATGTTTTTAAACACGATTTTAAGAATGAAATCGTTTCTGTCTTTTATAATTTAACCCATTTTAAAAAAAATTAAAATTTTCAACCCTTGAGTAAAATTAAAATTTTTGTAACCCCTCATAAAAAAAACCATTTAAGATGATCCTGGGTAGAACAAAACATTAAGAGGTGCAGTAAGTAACAGCTAGGATGCTATATATACAGATACTTCCAATTTTCATACTTTTTTTTTCTTTTTAAGTTTAAAATATATAAATGTTTAATGCCCTTCCTGGAATATGTTGGATCCTTTCCACGTAAATGTTGCATATTTGACTGTGAAATTGTTTTAGACATGACTGTCAGAAGAGGACTCAACCGTAAATCGGTCTTCATTTAATTCTATCGTAGTCAAGTATCGGTCATATATAATATAAAAATTAGTAAAAATATGGGTCAAACCAGTTTATTTTTTAATAAATTACAAAAATAAATATTGATGTATATTATTGAAATCTAAAATTTAATATGATAAACATATCTTATTTATTTATATATATATATATATATATATATATATATATATATATATATATTAAATGTTAAGACCTATAAACTTATATTTTATTTATGATATTTTTTTAATTATTTTACGTTTTTTTAATTATTAAAACAATTTATTATTATCGTTTTATCCAATTCAACAATTAAACTTTGAATTAATTCAATATCTATATCTAATGTCACAAGAGTAAAATGTTGTAAACACAGTTAGAGAAAAGTGAATACATGAGGGAAATACTTCTTGAACAATGGTTAAACAAACAAAACATAAGTTGGCAATAGATATTTGTATAATTATCAATTACATTACGTGAGTTTTATATATATATATATATATATATATATATATATATATATATATATATATATATATATATATATATATATATATATATATATATATATATATATATATCATAACTTTACTTCCATTAAAAATGAAGGTTAAGTTATAAATTTATCAAATCTAACCATTCAATCATATATTATTTTAATGGTCACACAAACTAAATGTTAGATAAAGCAAGCATTTATAAACATATAATCTTACGGTCAACAATTATTTATCTTTTAAATATACATTATCCATTCAAATGAAATTGATTGACAAATAATAAATTAATTTTTAGACTATATAAGAAAAATCACTATCATAATCTACTTAAAGAAAATTTCAATTCAACTATTTATTTATACATAAGGAAATAAGATTATAATGATATACTAAGTTATACAAAATAATACTCAGGTTATGGTTACCTTAATTATAATTTTAATTTCATGTTAAATTTTATTATGCACAAAACAAGTGAAAAAAAAAATTATCCAATGAATTCGAATAAACATAATCTAATAAAAAGAATTAATCGATCTGACATGTTATAATCAGTCCACCAATATAATTTGATCTGAGGGATGATTGGAATTTTCAGCAATTGAAATTGCGATCTAATTTCAGGGGTCCGATGATACCTATCTCATCTCATGTACACTGATTAGACCTCTAAGAATAGGTTTACATGAGCCTTGAGAAAAATTATACAACAAAAAATAATTACATGACATTCGTTTACAGGTGTCCGATGATTAAAGGCAGGATAACGGCTTTTCTCCTTCGATAGCACAACATTAGAACTAAAGGGTCAGTTCATCCATAATTTAACATTTCCAGCTCTATGCTCAATATATAACAGTTGCCGAAATTATCAAATGCAAGCTTTCTCAATTTTGGACACGCTAACAAAACTTAAATTTAAATTTCAGTGGGTGAGCCTGCACAAGTTTGAGAAGTAAAACCCTTTTTCCTTTCCCACCAATAATCTTGCATAACTGAGATATTGTAATTCCTACCTTGCTGGGATCAGGAACTTGGCCTCTATTACCACCAGAAGCCCCCCTCACTTCAAGGACTATGGTCCATGTGTCTGATTATCATTGTGGTCACTGCTATATTCTTCTGGTAGCGAATGGTCAGATGTCTGGTCACGAAGAACCAATACTGAATTGCTTTGCACAGTAGTTGATTCTTTCTGTTGAACTTGGTTGGTTTCATAATCATGACGTTCATCAGTTGAATGTGCATATAATAAACCAAACTTCTGTCCATGGTTTAATCCTGGACAGAAACCCTGCAGAAATATAACAAAATACTCAACATGAAAGAATAATTCTAAATTGAATTGTAAAATAAAAACAATTCCCAAAATACAAGAGAACTTCATGAGAACTATTTTGCTACTTATTCGTTAATGAAACCATAACTTCATCATCCACTGGCATTTACTTTTGGGCTAACATATATGCCATTTCACTGGGGCATTGACAGATTAAGTCAGTAAAATGTTACACCAATATATGGCATTCCATTTACAACAGGTTACAAGGAGTACATGGCATTATGGCTAGACTAAAATGAATGGGAAGGTAATACCGCAATCTATGATGTCTGATATGGTTATTATGTCATAGACAAAATAAACTACTTGTTTTATTTGACTCGCTGCTGTGAGCACCTAAACACAATATGCAAGTTGTAGAAAATTCCAAGCCCAATCTAAGCCAGAGTTGTCAAACATACCAGTGGCCACAGTGATGTTTTACAATTTTAGTCTAATTTTGAACTTTGAAGAGAGAATAACTTACACACTCTGAAACACTACACCCCCTTTTTACCTTCTTCTAAGATGCAGAATCAGAAATAGAAAATATGCAGTGAACCTCAAATCCTAACAAAATAACTTGATTTCTAAACTTTTGCTTTTAATGAAACAAGTTTTGAGAAATTTATCCATTATACCCCTATAACAACATGAATGAGGACGGAAATAGAAGGTCTTAGTGTAATATTTGGCACAAGTAATATGAATACCGTAAGAGGAGAGACAAAGAAGCCCCAGAGTGATGGAAGTAAAGAGTACAAGTACCTTAATCAAACCTGAAACGGCACTTGGCTCGAAAGTAGTGTAGTCTGAAGAATATGTAGCTTTAGTCCAACTTTCAAAAAATCTAGTATCATTGGATTCTTTCTTATCTTTGTCAGACTCTGGCACAAAGTAAGTTTGTCTCAAATCACCACTTCTACAATAAGCTCCATAGTACAAACAATGTTCCCTTACTAGGGAGATTTGAGGAGTAGCCGGCAGTAAATGACCTTCAGTGCTGAATATGTACCTGCTCGCAGAAATAATGTAGAAACAAGTACCTTAATTTTATTGTAGAAAAAAGTTCAGCCACTAAATTGTACCTGCATAAGCTCACTCACTTGTATGGCCCATTTTCCACAAGGTTGTCAGGACCCACAGCCAAATCAAACAGAAGCCACAGATACTTGACCTAAATAAATAATAGATGGGGGTAAAAACAATATGAAAGGCAAGACATGCTAATGGTAGTAAGAGGCATAGTTTTTAACACAAAGAAAAGTGTAAACTCGAAACAATGAAATTGATATAGAAATCCACTTGACGACTTAAGCTTCCAAGAAAATTGGTCCTTGACATAATATCAAAGCCTCGTCTAAAATCATATATCACACACAATTTGATCTTATTAGAAGGACTATTTGGAAGCATAAATAAAAACTAATCTACCTATCTTCATAGATGATCTTACTTGAAAAGGGAACTTTCTGATTAGTTACACCAGTAGGTACAACATAAACATGGACAACAAGCTCAACGAAGTATATGCTAACCTATAGATTTTAGGCTAAAAACCAATACATAATAATATAAAGGAATTTAGGGAAAAATAATCCTATTTATTATAATTAGATAAAAAGGAATCATATCTTTATTATTACAAATATCAATATCATATACGTATAACATAAGAAATATCAAGATTATATCTATACCAAATCTCCTCTAGTTGTTGTATTTATTTCTTTTTCTTTTTTCAATATAGATAAATTAAGTGTACTGTTATAAAGACACAATTTCAGCTCAAAGCTCTTTCTACAATTTAACACTAATTAGAAGGAAATATTCTAGACCTAGTTGCACAGTACAACAGTCTTCAATCAAATAAAATTGAAGAGATTATGTTCTTTTGTTTTGGTTGAGCACTTGTGTTCTCAAAATTATGTCATGAATTTATTCTTACTGTCTCAGCTAAGAAGAAGCTCTCCATGTGATCTTCTTGTTTATGATGCTCAACATCTGAAATGTGACAGTATCCACAAGTGCATCGGGTTCCATACTGTAAACTAGCAATCATGTCCCTCCCGGCATCAAGATATCTACAAAGAAACATCAAGGAAAGAATCAAGTTTGTGTTAAATTGTCAATGAAAGTTGCTGAACACAACTTACGTCACAGCTGTCAGCAAAAAATTCACAGAAGTTCCGACAAGAAGAAGTAATCCCAATTAGTACAATAATATTACCAAATCAGACATGAGGAGCCAAATTTTACAATGACAACAGAATTTAAAGGAATATATAAGCAAACCTAGGATCTCTGGTTGCTTTATATAGCCAATAGGTGCTCTCAATTAGCTCTGGCCGCAACGGGTAACTCTTTTGCCCATGCTGATGTAATAAGAGAACATACATATATAAACAGTTTATATTAGAGATAATCAACCAAATGGTTACCAAAACTAGAACATATAAGTATTTTCTACATTCCCGAGGAACAATTTTTTGGATCCCTGATAATCATAAGATTTGTCATGTTACGATTAAGTTCTTTATGATTCATTTCAAATGCTTTACCAGTTGCAGTCTATTAAATATGGACTTTAGCCTCTCAACTCCAATACTAGCTCAAAGTAGGACAATTGCCAGTGTCTGTAAGAAGTGTTATGGCCATATTCCTAGCCAGTGTAAGACATCTTAAAACATACCTTAGACCTAGGACTAAACAACTAGAGCACGAAGTTTGTAATACTGGACATCTTCTTCAGATGTCCCAACACTCTTATTCTGTTAGAAATATACGAAACTTTTAGCATATACCATATAAATCATCAAATTTTCTTTCAATAAGTTTATTTAAGAGGACTAAATTTGGGTGCAACAAATCATCAAATACCCTAACCTAAAATGCAACTACTAGAAAGAAGCTAAAGCTATATAATTAAGCATAATTTTTACAGCTATAATAGTCCCTGGGTGTTAGGAATATTTATACCTGAACACTGAGACTAGCAAGATTAAAACCCTCAGGAGTAAAACCATATCTTCTCCAGACACTCAAGAAGGCAGCATGGGTGCGAATTGCAGGATTGATATCTCCAGCTAAAACCTTGCAAAAATACACATTTCCAATTAGCCCCATCATGATATTATTATATCCAGAGTAAAAACACTATTATATAAAAAACAAGCAAAATGGAAACCTGAAGGCCAGGCCAAAATGCCTGCAGGCTGTTAAATAATGGCCAGACAATAGCAGCAGAATCCATATTCACTTCTACATACCTTGAAGCATAAACACAAATCTCTGTTTCAATCTTGAAATACTTAGAAATATGCATACTGATGCATTTCAAAGAAAAATAGACAGCTAGCCAAGTATATTTACAGGGAGGCACACTAGCCAAAAGCTTTTACCAAGGGTCATGGTAAAGATAATGCATAGCAGCAGCATAAGCTTCTTGGAATATATACAAGTACTCTTCATCTCCAAATAATAAATATGCCTGAAGTCATTTGCATGGAAAAAAAAATCAGAGAACTTTATGTATATATCAACTAACAAAGTAATGCCCAAAAAAGGAAAAATGACAAAGAGGAAATGGAATTCCAGAGAAATTATTCAACCTGGTTTAAAACAAAAAAATGTTGATTGATCAATAGCCACTAAATGGCTTAATAACTTGGGTATAATGTCCCTGAGTCGAAAATATTTTAACCAATAGTTTCATCGTACAATTTTTCTTAAAAGGGGTCTTTAAATTTAAGCACCACATCTTTTATATGTTGTAGAATCAATGAATCACACATCATATCAGTAAAATATAGAGCCGAAAAGCGAAAATAAGTTGGCATAATCGAGTAGACTTATTTTAGAAGATGTAAACAAAATTACAGTCCTTAATGCTGAGCATGAAAAGAAGACCGTAGAGCATGAAAAGAATCCCGGGGAAATCCTTTCATTGAATTCAGACAAGTGACAGAATAGTAATAGGAAGAATAACATGCTGAACAATTTTACTCGTTTGTTTCTGGTGGGGACAGGAAGAAATTTAAAATTTACATTTTTTTTTTATAAAAGACAAACTATTTAATTGATTAAAAAGTGCAAGGGTTTTTTTTCCTAAATCAAATATAATAGGAAATGTGTATAAATGGGAATAATATGAAATTAGATAGTATAGCAGATCAAAACACAAGTGTTTTTACACACAAGTATGCAATGCAAATATATCACAAAATATATGTATACAAAAATCATAAAATATCTCTAGTATGTTTAGTTTATCAATTTTTTTTAAAAGTTGTCTTAATTGTGATCTCTTTGGATGTTGCCTCAGTTGAAACTTTAAGGGTGGTGATTTAGTCTCATATTGATGCGAGAAATGGCTTAAATAGAGCTCATTAAGATTGGACAGTCACCTTGCAACCAGTCTTATAAGGTTGAGCAAAGTCCTCAGCCTAAATTCTAAGATGACATCAAAATTTATCCTAAATCTATTGTTGGACCACCTAAATTGGCTACAATGTAGGCCAATAGCCCTAGGTTTGCAGGAGAGTGTTGGAAAGCGGCCTTAATTGCAGTCATCCTTCCTTCACCTTAGATGCCTCTTCTTTGTGGGCTGCTTTTTTGTAGCCTCTAGTGTAGTGGTTTAGTCTTATGTTGACAATAGATACGACTTAAGGCTTATAAAATTTACACCGTTTTTATCTTATGAACCAGTTTTGTAGGATAAAATTAGGTTTAAAACTTAAATTCTAAAAAATTAAATCAAACCATAGTTCTTTTTTGCATATAGTAAGAAATTAGGAATTAACTTTTCAGTAAAACTTGGTCCATAGAAGCTCCACCTTACTAAATTTCTGATACTAACCTTCAATAGATACTCATAGAAAGAGTCAATACTAGTTCCTATCCCAGCATCCTGCAAAAAGACAGAGAGATAGATGCAGCAGCTGTTGATAGATACACATAAATTGGAAGAATCTGCGTCCGTACTGAAATGTTAGGCATATTCAGGCAGAGAAGGTCAGTGGGGCAATGACATATGAATACAGAATCTATAAACTGTAAAAGAACATAAATTTCGTATTTTGCATATTTTTCACTCCTTCACATGGACAACCATACAAATTAAAGCTATGAAACAATAAATAATTATTTAATATATACAACTCAAATAATGCAATAGTAGACTAAGCCAATAGCTAGTTGAGAAGCAACACAAACACTGCAAAATAAGTAATTTACTAGGCAAAGAAATGAATAACAAATTAAGTAATGATTAACAGACAGATAAGTTCAAGTAATAATTCAACCAACATCAATAGCAACAACCTTTTTCATGCTCAACCTAAAACTTACAACCATTATCATGAACATTTTTTAATCTTATTACCCTTTGCAGCAGCATCTCTGTTTTTAGAGAAATATGATGCTAATTTTTTGTATTTATCCCCTGTGGTTGAAATTTGTCACCTTCATTGTAATAATGAATTTCCTTAATTACAGAAGAATTTCGGCCATATAACTCAAACATATTGAGGTAGTTTTCCTCTAATGAATAATAACGTAAATACTATTCATAGTATGTATCATTACCTATTTTTTCTCATCAAGGCCCCTCTGGTTCCAAATACAGGAGAAAGTCCAGTTATCAATTACTCTATATAGTAGAATACACAAGCCAAAGCTAAACCACAACTGTACTCAAAGTGCATAATGACTCTTATACTCTTATTTCACTGCACTAGAAGAAACTAATCACTAAATCATGAAAACATTTCCCTAGTTATTACATTGTATCCTGAACACTCCACTGAAGCTGGAAGCCTACAAAGCTTTCAGCTTGTCAACAAAGGATACCCAAGTTAAAATAAAACCTAGAACGTAAAACTTCAGTAAATGCTGTTCCATAGTTTGTTGCAACGTCACCTAGATAGGAGGTATTCTTGAAGTTATTGTGTCCTTGCTAGAGGGGCAACTTGGTTTCATGAAGGAGTAAGAAGCAAAGTACAGTGGCTATATTCAGTGCGGAATCTAAGACATTGTTATTGCTACACTACAAGGGAGTTGATATGATTTTGTCAGTACTTGGTGCGAACATTTACAAGAGTGCTTTGCTTATTCAGTTGTGGTGTGACAATCAATCAACTCTCCCAAAGCATATTGGGACTCATTGAGATTTTGTTCATGAAAAACTCCAACAGAAACTTATGTCAAGCAATGTCAAGACTAGGGAGTAGCTTGCTGATGATTAAATCATGTTTGTGACGATACAAAAACTACAAATTTTCCACCACTCTGTAATTGTATTATAATGTTCAGTGACAGCATATTGAGACATTCAAATGAATTAGGATGTTTTTGAATCTCAACATTCTTTTCATTTTATGGAAAATACCACAATTCTAAGTTAAAAAATGTAAGGAAACCTTATTCTCTTCCAAAATCTGGGATTAACTTATTAAGGAATGGCAAATATGAAAATAAACGCCTCGGTTCGTAAAATTTGTGAAAAGTGTCGATTAATTCGAAGACGAGGACGAATTATAGTAGTATAGGGTTTTGTTACCTCCCCCACTATCTCTCCATTAGGTAAGATTCTTTTTGCCCAAGCACTGATTTGTTGAGGAGAAGCTGATCCAATTCAGAGTTGTTGATGTTTATACTGATCAATCATAGAATAAAAATTCGGATTCAGTCCAATTAAGCTTCCTTCCTACGAATCCGGAAGTTTTTCTCAGATACAAGGAAATGATTCAGTTCCATAGCTAAAGATTGTAATTCTCGAACGAGCAATCGAAAAGATTTTGGAGCATCTATAGGTTTAGGTATTGTTCCTCCAATGATCGTAGTTCCGAGTACTTCTTGGCGAGTTTTAATATGATCAGATTTATAAGTAAGCATCTCTTGTAAAATATGATAATTAACATCATCTCAGAAGATTGGTCATAGGGGAGATGAAGTTAATCATGAGTGCTACTAGTACGTTAGACAATCCTGATGGGTATCCTCCCACTTACATGTCTCAATGATTTCAGTCTCACACAACCAAAGTCAAAAGAATTTGAACTACCCAGAATGGCAACAGTCCTCTGAACAGTGGAAACTATTTGGATGAGGGAAAACATCAAAATCAATTAAGTCAGAGTTACAGCAGCACAAATCAGCTAAAAACCAAACTTATGTGGACTTCATCACACTTGGCAATGTTTGTCAAGTCACCTTCTAGCCAAGTTGCACCACACTTATACCTAAGTCAAACCTCAAAACTCCTTACAAAAAATCCATCAGCATGCCTATAAATCTCACCTACAGTTTAAAATATTTGTTTTGAAATATCTTTTAGTAGAAGGCTGCAGAAATAGGGTTTAATTCAAAGTTGACAACCCATCCCTAGAGTGTTGACACCAGGATGACAGATAGAAAGAGAAAAAGATTATACAGAAATCATCACTAACATAGTTTTAGTTTGGACTGAGGGTCCATTTTTATTTATTTAGATCAGAGAAATAGAGCGGGCATGTATAAGTGTTTTACAAGGTAGTAAACATTTAGATAAAACATGAGTAAAAATAAGAGGCACTATAATTGGTACAGAAAGTAGAGCATCACATTCTATATATTTCATGGTCCTATCATTTTAAAAGTTTGCTCTCTGAAAAAAGAAATAATGTCACTACCAAAGAAGAAAATGTCATTATACACACACAAATATGTAAGTATGCATATATGAATATTTCAAAAAATAAAATATACTTTGTACCTTTTGTGTCCATTCACCTGTAAAAACATTAATATGAGCACCAACAAGATTAAGGTTTGAACGCCGTGCCCAAAGTCCATGCACTGCATTCTTGGTGACTTGTTCAAAAACTGTATGTCAAAGAAACAAACAGATGGGAACAAGACCATGTTGGCATGTGCCCTCCTCAGCCCAGAAAGTGAAGTCTAGAAAATGATGATAGACTAAAAAATACAAGGCTAAAATTCAAAACATTTAGTAAAACCACAGTTGGAAAATGCAGAAACAGAAAAGAAAATATTAAGAGATGAATGCCTTCTCTGCTAATGACAACAGCCACCCATAACTAATAAACTGAATGCCTGCCTTCTCCCCTTTCTCCTGCTTGTCCTTGCCTCTATATTTTCCCTTCCCTCCGACCCTCTTTCATACATAAGCAAGGTTCATACAACAACTAAAATCCCTTTAATCATGTTATTATTTAATGACTAACAATACTGTCCGTTATTTAGCCCCCAGAATACAAGAAGAAAGAGATGAAATAACTTCTGGACCATAATTGCTTGCTCCATTGGACCAGCTAGATGGGGAGAAAGCAAAATGGCTTGGAAATAATTGTTTTGCTATCAAAAGAGATAGAGGGGTAGGAATAACTTTTTTGCTATCAAAATATAGTTGCTCCATGGTCTCTCACTGCTTATTTTTCAAAGCAAAAAGAAAATACAAGTGCAAACATACAGCAACTCTGAAGAAACAATCATAAGCTTAGAACACTAAAGAGAAGCCATAAATATAATCCTGTCATTGTTGGCCTACTTCAATCATATTTTTACTTGTGAATATCTTTGATAACTTCAAAAGTTATTTTCACAGTTGATATAAGATTGCATTTGGTTGGTCCTTCAGTTCTTGTTTATTTAGAACACTAGTTCATTAGTTCATATATTGTCTCACTGACAATAACTCACGTTCTAGACCAAAAGAAAAATGGTAAACTTACTAGGGTCATTTGTCAGACGACTTAGAACACCAAATTCAAGAGTCAAGGTCCCACCACCTGCTGTTGAAGTTATCTAAAGCACAAAAGTACTAATTTTAACACAATATAAACACAATAATAGGTTCAAGACATATGATACACAAAACAAGAAGAGAGAACTGATATCAAGAAATATTCTGTTTCTCAAAAAGAAAATAGTGGAGCAAAAACAGTTTCCAAAGCAACCCATGTTCTAATTTTTTGCCCACTTGTTTCTTAGATATCATTTGAAATTATCACTCACGATAGCATAGGAGAAGATCAGTGACTAGTTGAAGACCCACATATTCTAAACATAACATAGGAAGCATAGGAGAAGGTTGTTTTACCTTACTTTCATGTTTATCAACACCATGTAACAAGTTTACAGATCCAAATGGAATTCCTGCATAAAACCATAGCACATGAATGTCAACATATGATGAACTATGATTATCCTTTGTTTGGATGAGGGAGAAAAATAAGGGAGAAGATAAAATTTGAAATTTGAATGGTCGAAATAAGGAGAGAAAAAATTGGAATTTGTTTCTTAAAAGTCCACGTTTCTCTCTTCTATCTCTTGATTTTCCCTTCAACCAAAGAACATAAATTTTTTAATTTCAAAAAATTATTTCCTTCCAGATTTCTTTCCCCCTTCCAAACATACGGGTAGGGATCTAAAACAACATTCTCTAACAAGCTAAGCTAAAAATGAGCAGTTTTGCATCATGGTAAGTAAATAATTGGATTGTGATTTAGGATGCCTCTTCACTGCCCTTCATTTACAGTGATTGTAATGGTGAAAATATTGGATCTCATCATAGGTACTAGAATTGAACATCAACTATAGCTTTTGGTCTAGTGGTAAGCTCTCAAACCAACAACTGTTTCTTCTTTTTGCAAAGATGAGAAGCCTCATTGAATTGTTAGTTTTTTTCTTTTTAATGTTTTGCAATTTGCAGCACACATTATCCTCACCCTCACTGCACTTGCCTGCTTTCTCCATGATTAAAATTTTTCCTTAAAGAAAATTATGCAAAAATTTCAGTCCTTGTAAATTAAACATCCTATACAAACCATTCAGAGTTTTTTCAAAAAACACACAGTATTATTACCCACAAAGCAAATCATTCCTCACCATACATGTGTCAGTGTTGTTAAATAGATATGCTTAGCAGAAGTATAGCACCATTGAATTGCAGAATTCTTTGGACAATTGAAAGTTTGCAGCAACTGTCTGCTATTGCAGCTGCTATACGTGTTGTGGTTGCAGCATGCATCTAACATCCTCTTGTCATCTCCAGCAAGTCACCATCCAAATGAACTTTTTAAGTTAATATTATGCCAATTTTTTTGCATTTTATTTTTATTTGCATACAATATAAAATTTTAGTTACATATATAATAGATATATATATATATATATATATATATATCATATATTTCAAAAACTACTCATTGTACGCTATTCCCTAAATGATATAGCAGATTAATGGCTTTCTGCCATTTTCCGAAGTCCACAATTGATAACATTGATATGGTGGTATAAAATACCATCAAGAGTGAAAAATTGAAAGATAATATATTGAATTCTAAAACATGCAATGCAATCCTGCCTGGAATTCATAAAAATGATTAGAGCAAACTTACTAAAAGACAAGCATAATTATGTAAGATTGAGTAATACCCGTAGGGGTATCAAATGCAGGTAACAATCTCCTGGCAAGATCTTCAGCCAAGTTTAGTAACTGATTATCATATGATGGAACTCTCATGCCCTGCAGACAACAAATGTGAAGAAAATAGTTGAAGACTATATGAATTAGTAAGATAAATGAGTCACAACATGAGAATCCAATTTAGTATGCGGGAAATGCATAGATAGTTCGTCACAAATAATCAAGCCTTTTACCATTAAATGGAGTCAGCTACATGGATCAAATCTTGTAAACATGTAGGATTGTAAATCATATCTATAAACAAAACAATGATCTTTAAAACCTTTCAATGGTTATATGTATAGTTTTTGTTTCCCTTTAACTCTAGCAAAGGGTCTACTGTCTACCCTCCATCGATCTACTCTCTTTATTAAAGCATCTACGGCTCTTCTCCAAACATATCCAAACCACCTAGGAAACATGGACTCCAACACTATCCCCATTCACTCTGGTTAATCTTTGAGACTTCTTTTACCTCAAGCTCCCACGTTCTATGACAAACACAGCAGAAAAAAAACTCATGAATGTTCAATAAGTGACAAACTAATTATTTTCACAAGAAGAAAAGAAAAAAAATCTAACAATCCAGAATACAACTCCAAAGCATGTGTTTGAAAGCAAAGTATAACCTCATCCGATCTTATCCTTCTATCCGGTATTCCTATCAACAACATCTGACAGAGAATAACATCAGCTTAAGGTGTCCTCACCATTCACTTCTAAATTTTTTATAATATAAGATATGCATGTATTGTACAACAATTGATACCGCACACCATATTAACTATAGGACCATACTAACCGTAGCATAATCAGAGGCAATGAGATGAGCAGATAGTAATCCTCCGAGAACCCTGATAGTAGTCTCAAACACAGAAACAGTTTTATTCTGCAACCCGACCAAACCCAAAGTAAATTAAATCATAAGCAAAAAAAAAAAATGTAGGAAAGTTTTCTCCTTATGCACAATGGCACTAGAAATAAAAATTGGAGTTTAATTGGATGGGGTGACTACTCACTATGTCAAAGCGAAGATTTTTACCAAGCCATTCAACAGAGGTGGCGAAGCGTTGTCGGTCACCAAGTAAAGCCAAAGTGTCTAAGGAGTCAATCTAATATTATGAATTCATTACAATTACAATTAGTAAACCAACTTTCGAAGAAGATTATGAATTTGATTTGCGATTGAAAAGGAATGTTAGAATGAGATGAGAATAGGAACCAATGTTAAGGTATAGCCACCGATAGTATCCTCTCCTGCGCATGAAAGGGGTTTCAATTCGTCGAGGGGAAAAGCGTGGTCCATGTATCCATTAAAAGCGTGATAAAACATTTCACGAGCCTCGTCTCGCAGTTGTTTGGCCTCTTCTGGAGAAACGGCAGCCGCATCGGTGAGAGAGGCTACAGATAATAATAATACCAACACTGAGCGGATCTGATTCCCTTCCATTTCCCCTCCCTCACTCCTAGTCCCAGCTTAAGCTATGCTATGTTAAGCTAACTGCACTTCAATCAAAATTCAACTCAATTATCAGACACTTCTTTCCTAACTAGTTTAGTACAACTTTGTTCATTGCTTCTCACTCCTTTTCTTTTTCTTTTCCCCCTTTTCTACTCAATTTCTTATTATTGTTTAACAATCACCCTCCCCATGACCAATTACTGATGGATAAACACCGTTTGTATTAACATCAAATTTTGCCACCGAACCAGGTCAATTTCAAAGGTTTTTATTGTATGATAAATTAACAGTGGAACATGAGTAGAGTTCCAAGTTATACATGTCTTATTATAAAAATAAATAAATAACTATAAGAATAAAACTAAAATAAATAATTTTATTATTTTTTAATTACAAATAGTGTTTTATGTTAAAAATTTGTTCATTTTTATAATAATTATTATATTAACATAATTTTAAAAATAATTCTGATTACTTAACTATGTTTTATACTTAAAATACATATCAATTAGATGTAGTGTCAAATATCAAGTTGAGTTAGGATATTTTATTCCAAGAAGTTATGTTTAAAATATCATCAATCTATAATCGTATTTTAGTCAAAAAAATTGACACAAATTTATATTTTGTAAATGTGGACTAATCAAACTATCGTTAATAAAAAAAATTATATAATTATTATAAATATTACCTTACAATATAATTTATCTATTAATACAAAACACTTATTAAACATAGAATCTTTTAAATAATTATTATAAAATTTACATTATTTAAATTTAAATTTTTCATTCTTCAAATTTTATAATTCAATTATAACACAAAAATCTTATTTTATTTTTATTTTAGTTGAAAGTCACACATCACTTTTCTTATGTAATTTTGTATGATTTAAATACATAATAGATTATTCCATGTGTCTTATGTAATTTTGTATGATTTAAATACATGATAAATTACTCCACGTATTGTTAATTAATTTTATATTAAAATTTTAATATAATATCAAAGTCAAAACTTAATATCTTTCCAATTATTATTTTAGACCAAAAATTACATTTTCATTGTATGTCAAAAATATCTTTTATCTTATCAGACAGACTTTATTGGAAAAAACATCATCTATCTCATATCATTTAATATAATTTAAATACATATTAAACTACTACGCATATTATCAATCAATTTTATATTCGAACCTTAATAATTTTATAAAATTCATATAAATTCATTCTGCAATTCAACAATGTGAATTTATAATTACTGATGATGAAGTTATAATTTGTTCCAAGAAAAAATTTAGTTTAATCCATACTATTGTTGTATTGTCATAATTTTTAGACCACTGCCATTAGTTCCCTAATTAAAAGTTAATATGATGGTCAACTACAGTTGTTTCGAATGGGAAAACATGTCCTTCAGTACAATCAAGAATAGAAGAGAAAAAAAATGATAGGAATTGAACTGTTTGAAAAAACCATTTAAAAATCGTATTTTAAAGCCTATTTGTTTCACACCATATTTGTCGAATGCCGATAGTACATACTCTTGTAAGGTAGAACATTATCCCACAGATAAATCAGAAATTCAATACAATTTACAGTAAGTCATAGTTAAATTGAAGAACCCGCAGAAAAAAGATAATCTACAGTAATGAATTCTTGATCTAAACTAATAAGTCAACACATATGATCATCATATTGACCAGTGTGAAACAGGCTCCCACTAGGTAAGACAACTTTAAGAATCTCGAATGAATATGACGACAAATCCAAATTGTTCATGGCGATGCACAGTTTAGCCATCATGCCTACAGCTGGATAATAAATAGGATCCCGATTAGAGACAGAAAGAAGGCAAGGCAAAGCAAAGCAAATACTAGATACATTTGATGAACAAGGAACTACTTGCACAAGAAATCATTTGCAGAGTGATGTTATAATATATAATTTTATTATCCTACACTTATTTCAAGAGCATTCCTTGGTAGAAACATGGTGATCAATATTAATGTCAGTACAGAGCACCAAACCCAAAAATACTATGGGCACAGTGAAATGGCAGTTATGCCAAAGATTATGAATACAAATAATTTGTACAACCCAAATATTCAAAACTGAAAACAATCGAAAAACTAAAGTCATGTCCTCATTTACATTCAAAAGTAATGATTAACAAACAATAACCATCAATATATGGCATAATTAACAAGTTAACCACAACAGCAGTCAAGGTGCATATAGGAGGAGGAAGGAATACAAGACAAATTAATGAGGGTATGAGATCAAAATTAGTGAGCTGTGAACTGTGTGAAGCACAAAACACAAAGAAAAACTGAAACATGTATGAATCCGGCCTACAACAAATAAGGGAGCAGAAAACAATTATAGTTAGAACTAAACCAGTCTGATAGTATGTGTGAATCAGTAGAGTGAACAGCATTCAGTGGGTAGCAGCCTGCAGATAATCCAAAAACTATCTGACAAAAAAATGCTCACAGCCAAATTAACAGACACCAAAAAGAACATGCAGGAAAATGTCAGCCCAGGCCAAAAAATGCTGCCAAGCAGATAATCGGATAAGTGGACAAACCATAGAACCACTGGCACACATAAGGCTCACACAACCAGAAGACCACCCATCTGCCGGAAATAGGAGACAGCCATAGAAATTATTTTTTGTCAAAGGGACATAGCACAAAGACTGACTGAGTGATATTTTTAACCCCCAGATTAGTGCAATACAATATGCTGTAATTCCTACCTACTCCATCATAACAGGACTTGGGAGGTGGAGCTGTGCAACTCAATGGCAGTGTGATAGCACCATAGTTGACCACTCTGAACAGACTTAGTCCCAACATGTGCAAGAGAATAAACTAAATAGGCATTACCAGACTAAAGTGTGTGTAAAGATGCTTCCAAACCTACCTATCAACAATAGAATAGGAGGATAATTTGCTATAAATAACCAAGGTTAAGAAAACCCAAGACTGGGCATAGGTAATAAACCTGCTTCTTTTTCTTCTTAGGTCTTCTCTTCCTCCGAGGCTTGTGAGCATCAGAGTTGGAGCTTAAACTACTTCCATGACCTGTCCCAGATCTAGAGGGTCCCCTTACTTTGAAGTCTGAGCTGCTTTTGCTATTTGATGTGTTGCTCGATGTGGAAATCTCAGATCTCTGTATAGACAAATTTTGACCAGAAGATGACCCAAACCTTGACAATTTCATTTTTGAAGGGCGAGGAGGAGGCATCAAAGCTCTAGCAGAAATCTGCCTCTATATGAAAAGGGTGGAGATATTCAAAATATGCAAAATAGTTTGCTACTACCTATTTCATGTTATGGGATATTGCAAATTAAAATAAACAAAATTGCTACTCTTACTACAGACCTGGTTTTTTTCATCACTAGACATGCCTGACACACCTTTCCCAGAAGCACTAGAAGCCTGCTCTCTGCAACCAACAGGATTTCATCAAAATAAAACATGTTTGCAGCATCTTAATGGTTAATTTCAAATTCCCAAGAATATTGTTGGACAAATGCCAGAGCCACAGCAGAAAACCTGGTTTCCACTTCACCATTTTCAGTACAAACATCACAAACAACAAAGGTTGATTCTGCTACTCTCCTTTTAACATTCTAATTCCCGTTAATGCACACAGGGTATATATCTTATTCTCATTGACATGATTGCTAAAGTATTAAAACCTCTCCACTCCACTGACCTTGCACTTTTGTCTGTCCATTCGTCATCCGCATCTGCTTCATCACTAGAACTCCCAGCAAGGAAAAAATCGTCATCACTAAGATCCAACAGACCATCATCCTCACTGCCAGTCTCTGCTACAGAAACACGAAATCTTGTTGACATTTGATCGAACACAAATGTGGCATAGATAAAAAAAAGCATATTTATAAATGCAAGGCGGAGCTTCAATCTAGTTTCATTATTTTATTTTCAAACCCATATCAATAAGTCTAACAACTAAAACCACGCTCTCAATGAGTACCAGCATTCTAAACTCATGCAAATGATGGTATTCAGGATTATCAAAATTCATAATCAATGAACCTTCTAAATCCTTGCCACTTGCAGCAGCTGCATTCAACCTATCTTCAATCTGTTTGCGCAGCCCATTCCTCCTGTCAACTATTTCCGAATCATCACCGCCGGTAAACAAGGGAACGTATTTCTCAGTCTTTGGAAAGTACTGCAAATTGAAATTGAATAATAACAAGTTTTTTTCGGTCAATATTGGTCGTGATGTCAACGCACGAAAAGAAAAAGAAAGAGCACGCAACACGGACCATGACATATTGAAGATCTTGTTTTAGAGCGGAAAGTTGGTCAGAGTAAGGTTGGGAAGAAGAAGATGAAGAAGAAGTACGGTGCAGTTTCTCGAGGCGTCTGATTCGCCTTTCAATTTTCCTCCTCTCGAAGAACTTGATCTTCCGGTCACGTAAAAAAATTTTGCGTTCTGCTGCTAGGCGAGTGTGAATCTCCTGTTGCTTCTTCAGTGCTTCTAACTTTTGTTCCTGCGCCTCTCTCACCTCGGGAGGCAGATTCTGCTATACCAATTCCAAGAATGAAGCGAAACGAATCGATAAGATGAAATAGGATACAAATAGGGTTAGGGTTACCTTTCGGAGCATGCGCTCTAGGGATCGAATCTGGTTTTTGAGGGAAACGGAGGGCTTGGGTTTCTTGGCAACTCCGAGAGGCTTGGAGTTGGAACGGCGCGTTGCGCTCACGCGCCGCTTGGTATAAGCGCCGTGAGCCATCACTGTTTTCTTAGTCTTTGTTGTTGTGTTGTACCGTCGCTGCTCTCTTATCTCGCACGGCCAACCCGTATGGAGAGATTTGGCCTGAAATTGATTGTATTTTATATGGAACCTGATTTATTTTTCTGTTTACAAGAAATCAATATTATAATAATAATACATTTTTTTAAATATTATTAAGGTAGAATCTTTATTTATTTATTTATCTAAATAGATATATTTATAATTTTTATTTTTATAATTTTTTTCTCTTCATCCACTTTTTATTTCACTTATCTTATTTATATTAAAAATTAATAAAAATGTGTTAAAATAAATTTTTAAAATCAATATTAAAATAAAAAAATATCAATTAATTATTTTAAATTATGATAATAATAAATAATTTATTTATTATAATAACAAATAATTTTATTTATGATATAAATAATTAATTTAAATTATTTTGTTATAATAAATCAACTATTTATTTAATTAAAAAATATTAAATATTTATGAATTAAATATAATTTTTATTTAATAATTTATTATAATTAGATTGAGTTATGATAATGAATTATATTAAATAATCTAAAAAAATATTTATCATGGATAATTTATTTTTTTAAAATAATAAAATATTTACTTTAAATATTGTATTTTTAATTAGAAAAAAGGATGCAATGAGAATATAATAAAAAGAAAATAAAAAAGAGAAAAATAGGAAAATAAATATTAAAGATGATAGAAAAAAATAATAAAAAATAAAAATTGAAAGAGAAAATTAAATAAATAAGTAATAGAAAATTAATTATATTATGATATGTTAGATAAACTTATTTTTTATTATTAAATTTTATATATAAATAATAAATAGATTTATTTAGATAAATAATTTATAAATATTTTTTTTAAAATATATTACTCATAAGAGTAATTTCTTCCCATATTCTTTGAACAAGTTTCACATTTTGTAAGTAAACTTTTGAAAATAAGAATATAATTTTTAAATTGAGAGTAGTTTTCATTTAAAAAAAAACTAAAAATCATCTTAAACAAAGCCTAAATTAAAACAACTTTCCATTAATTCATAATTTTTAATATTTTAAAGTTTTGACATTAATGTATTTTTATATCTCGATTTTTTAAAATTTAAATTTACTTCTTTTAACCCTTCAATTTTAAAAATTATTATTTTTAATCCACTCTATAAACATTGATAATACAAAACTATAATTTTGTAATTTGTTACGGCTTTTGATAGCTAGAATTTAATTTTCAATTTAAATACAAATTGATTTTAAATTGCCAAAACAAATGAAAACAAAGAGAGACTTCAATGCATAAGTTAAATTGTAAAAAAAAAAATATATATATATATATATATATATATATATATATATATTTATATTGGCTTCTCCGAAAATTGATTTTTAGTTTATGTATAAACTAAGTTTAATTTGTAAAAACATTTTTTGATTTTTTTTTTTGTTCTCCAATAAATATTTTTAATCAAATTTATCCAACAATATTTAATTAGATTCCTAAATTTGGAGTCCCATCAAATATGTTAGAGTGGGTTTGGTTGAGAAAATGAGTGAAGATAAATGAAGAAAATAATTAGTATTAATATTTGGTAAAGAGAAAGTGAGAAATAATCTATTAAAAATGGTGAGATCCAGTCCCATTTTTCACCTATTTTTCTTCCTCTTTCTATCTCTCCCCCTATTTTTTATATTTTTCTTACAACCAAATAATTCTATTTGTCATCTATTTCCACTTGACCTACTTATTTCCGTATTACTCATCTCTCTTCTCCCATCTAAACACACTTTGAGATTGTATATAATGAGATATTATTACCCAAAGTGTAAAAACAAAAAGTTGCAAATAGGAGAGTAAGAATTTGAACATCCTTATTGGCAATTCCTTGGGGTCAGAATTAAAAAAAAAAATATATATATATATATATATATATATATATATATATATATATATATATATATATGTGTGTGTGTGTGTGTGTGTGTGTGTGTTGACATGATTAAACTTTCAGCATTACAAAACAACTGGTTGCTCTCCTTCCAGTTCAGATATGACTATCAAGGAGTCAGTCATTTCAAGAGAGAGAGGTTCAGACTTGGGAACTGGGTTGATTACCTGAAAATGCAAAAGGGTCTTGTGAGTAGCATGTTGATTCAAATGAAGTATAAAAATTGAATTTAGACTATTGTTGGCATACATTCTTCTTGTTCTTCACATAACCTATGGCTACTTCTCTCCGTAAATATGCTCTCTCAGAAAGCTCAGAAAATGATGGATTCTCTCCTTCTTTCATGTATAGGTCAATATTCTGCAATGAAAAAGAGAAAAGAGTCAACTGCACTGCAACAACAGCAATGCTTGTTTGTTATAGAGTAGGTTGCGCTCATGTTCTAATTTAAAGGCCATATACTTTTATGAAAAAATGTCTAGTTCATATCACATTGGTTGATGTTGTAAGTAAACTGGGCCAAATCAATTTATATCATTTATTCATTACGATTTCCAAAGGAATGTAGGGGCATAAAGAAAGGAAAATTCAAATAAAGGCATGACAGCAATGTCGCACACATATCACCTTTCTTGGGAGGAATGTTTACAGAATAACAGTATCACAACATGAACAAACATTACCTTGACATAAATTTCGTCTCCGTCTGCATCTAGTACGTCTTTCCAAACTTCATTTAGCTCACTGTTCTCGGCCACTGATATTCAAGTTTGAAAAATAAATTTAAGATACATAAAATAGACCACGACTATTGAAAACAAAACCAAGAGATTAAAGATTAATGACCTTGAGCTGTTACAAGGCTCATTATTTCCTCTGCTGCAATGTAGGTCACTGATGGCTTGATTCTACTAATCTGCAGCATCGTATATAATGCCATAGTCAAAACATACCACAATATAAAATTTGAAAGGTTTAACAAAACAAGAGAATTACTTGTTTCCCCAATTTTGAATCAACAATTTCCGCAACTAGATTCTGCACCTGCAAAACATCCAATTCAATCCAACTATGCTTTATCTACCCATCTCGTAAGAATAACTAATATGTCGAATGAATAATTTGATATCAGCAGAAGAGATAGAAGGTAAAAATATCACCTTAACTCCATGTTTGTTGCAGATATTTTCAGCAAGGAGAAGAGAGTAAGCAGACAGCTTGTCTGCCTTAGATGGATCTGAAAAAAAAAATAGCCATATTGGTGAATGATAGGCCATTTTCAGTCACAAATTTTATTCATAATTACCTCCAAGAAGCCATTCTCTGTCAGATATGACAGCAACTGACAAAGGAAGATCCTCATTCTTCAAAGAATTCTGAATATTCAAAATGGTTTCCTTTAAGGTGTCATAGTCCATGGGATTTCCAATCTGCCAAAATTGAAAGATCTTATCAAAAGCAGCACAACACTGAGAGAAATTTGAATACATCAATTTACAGTATGAGAAGATACCCTATGGGAAACTCGGACATTCTTGAGTTTGTTATGACCATTGATGTTGGTTGCCCTAGTGATCCGGTCATCTAATGGTGTGTCTGATAACACTTCCTGCGTATTATTTTAATTTACAACCAGAAATTGTAAATATTAAACTTCGAAGTGAATGCATATATAATGTAGAAAGAAGGAAAACGTAAAAATAACACCACACACGGTATCTTAAACTCTAAACAATCTCCAATGTCATGAATCCGCTGGTAGTTCAAACTCAAGATTAATACACATCAGCAGCACAAGTATGTAATTTGGAGGGATAATGCATTTTAGATTAAACAAATACAGCAACAGTAAACCGGCTGAGATCCATAAGAGTAAAACTCCACTTGATTCACAACATCAATATGCAACATGTGCAGCATTTGGCAGACATATTAAAATGGGATTGGAACATTTGACATGGGTTCTATTATATGCTTTTTGAAAAGGACATGAACAGGACCAAAGGTTGAAAGTTTTACTAAAAGGGGGCAACAGAAGAGAATAAATTCAAATGGTCCATTCAGTTCTATGTGCCAAACAACTACCTTAGAATCACATAGTCTAGACACTAAGAGACTCTCCACAGCGAGGTTCCAAGAACTTACTAGCAAATGGGAAATGATTGACAATCATTATTCACCAACATAAAGGGGTGTTGTAAATAGGCACTAATTTAGGATAGACTACTCCTTGTATATATTAAAAATTTCAAATTACATTTGTCATTATTTGGATAGATTTTATGTTTTGTTCTTTTTTTCCCTTTAATAAGTTTAGACTATCAATATGGATCAGAGATTGTATTGGAAATATCATAAAATTATATTCAGTTTTTTTTTTCTCCACGTTAGAGATTCAAATATATAGAACCTATCAAAACAATTCCTGGACCAATCAAGATATTTACGTTTTGTTTTCTCCCCAGTCAAACAACAAACTAATTATCAACTAATTCTCAGATATTTAAGGACATACCAAAACACTTCCAGGACCAAGATAGTTATCATACTCTTGAATCATGTCTACAGCATCAGGGCGCCATCCAAGCAAAAGAATGCATTCTTTTGGTCCAACATTCCCTTCTGATGCCTACATGATGATAACCAATAAAGGTTAACATCTCAAATAATACATATGGTAGGTATCATGCTCATTCAAAACATGTATATTACAGAGAACTGGAAGCGCCATACCTTGGAACCTGATCTATTAGGACGTTTTACAATATTAGCAAGTCTTACTTTACTCATTTTGTTGGCATGTTCCACATCCTTTTCATGTATTTCCTCATTCTGAATTACATGTGTTCCTTCTTTCCCATTTAGAGTTACTTCTGGATTTTTAGTATTCCGAAGGGATCCAATAAACAATACCTAACAAGGAAAGGTAAGTGGTATCAGAAGTGAACTTGTAAGCTTTGACAATTAACTAATGTAAAATAAAATTTAATCAACAGGCCATTGTCCTGTTGGTGGACTGGATGGCTTCTGGCAGTGGTCAGGTTTGATCCAGCCATTGGCAATTTTTCCCATACAGAGTCTCTCTTCTCTAACCCCATCCCTGATTCCCAGCCAATATTTCAGGAAAGCAACAGTGTGAGTTTGAAAATAGTATCTGTAGCACACATCATTGCTCAAAAAAATCAATGAAGATTAATCTGATTGGAACTACAAGAATCTACTGAATTAAGATGCAACCTAAAGTTATGAAGATTTAAGCAAAATAAATTTAAGAAACACTCAATTATTTTTCACTTTTACAATACCTTAATGTAACGAAAAAAGAAACGTAAAGCTCATAAAATACATTTCTAAACCCCAAGACAGACTAGGGTTTAAATTGTCATGCATACAGAGTAATTTAGGCATTTAGGCATTATTAGACTTTGGCTCCCTCTAGTTTCGAAATGTAAACTTTGAACTGTTTAGACTGGATCAATTTGACAGTTTAATCATAACATAACATAACATGGGTCAACCACTCCCACTCTTTTTACATATTTACAAAATATAAATAAGGCAAAGTTATTTTGTAATAAGCACGAAAACCTAGGTGAACATCTAGTTGAGAAGGCCAAAGTGTTGCAGTGGAAAAACTGCCTCTTGAGAAATTGTCAAAAAGGTAACAAGTTCTTTTATCATACCAAGGAGTCAAGGTTATAAAATTTACTGTGTCCTTAACAAATCCAATTTCTGAAGCCAAACTCTCTTCTTGCAGTTTATCATCTGTTTGATCATTGATTTTCTTGTGATCGGAACTTATATGCACAATTGTTGGTTAAAAACATGTGGAACAATAACCTGTGCCCTTTGTTGAAGTTATGGAATTTTAAGAAAAGAGGAAGCAAATGTAAAGAATAGAGACTAAATATTATGAGATTGACATTGACTTGATATGATCTGATGTATTACAACACGTGATGATAAGATCATAAAACCTAGACCACTAAATCTTGTTTATACTAGTCACGATCCTCACTAAGATGGAAGCAAGTTGACATTAGAAAATATGGTTACCAATTCTAGGAGATATAAAGCAGGAGTCTGATACTTTGAAAAATATAATATTCTAAACATATAAAAAAATAATATTGGATATTTTCATATGTTATAACACTTACTCATAAGAACAACCATTTAGTTCCCATTTGTTCAAGTTTTTTTTTTTTTTTTTTGAAGAAAAAGTGTTATTTCAATAAAAGGATATTTTAAAAGTAGTTAGAATTCTTGCATAAATTTTTCAAGAAAAAAAAAATGCTTTAGTGCTTTTCTCGTAAGTGAAAATTAGTAGCTCAGAAAAAGTTGTATCAGAGTCACTTTATAAGATTTAATAACAAATGGGGCTATTTACCATGAAACTCTCAAATTTCATGACAAAAAGGTATACAGGAAAGATATCATATAAACAAGCATTAGAGTAAGTTATGTATCAGTCTACATACTTTGTCGGTTTGCTGCAGAATTTCACTATCGTTTGGGTGAAAGTAAATTTTCCCACTCCGGTAAAGACCACATACAACGACCTGAAATAGTACCAAAGTAGAAAAAATTAATGGAGGGTCTATAATGGAAACTTCAGTCAGCAAATTACATTTGAGTGAAGTAATTACTTCTTGAAATCTATGTCTTATTTGCCTATAAGTCATTCCTTCTAGTTTAGGCAAGCTGCAAAGATTGAATACATTTTCTGCAAGTGGAACTAATAATTAGAATTTAAGAATAAATACATGTAGATCAACTGAGAAAACATCATAAAAGGTTTAATTTTTTTTTCAAATTTAAGGCAAAATATGTCAGTCTACTTTAGTGTAATACCAAGTAAACTAGAAAATGGAACCCCATACCAAATTAGAGGATAGAAAAAATAAAAGGAATAAAATGCACTTTAATATGGTCATCTTAGAATTTGAAAATAGAGTCAAAATCAATTTCACAAAACCAACTTATAAAATATAAGGATTGTTAAAGCTTTAGTCAGATATCTGACCAATGTAGGACTAAACACACCCCCTTGAGATTGCAACTAAGGCACCCAACGGAAACCACAATTTACTTAACTTTCTAACACACCACCTCATGTCTACTAGGGCTATGAAGCTGGGGCATAGCAATCCAGTGACCCAACATCGGATATAATATAGGCTCTAATATCATCTAAAAATTTGGGCTTAAAGTTTAACTTACAAAATCGATTTTAAGGTAATAACTGTTGGAACTTTGTAAGCTCTATTTAAGTCATATCTCTAAGCATTTTAAGACTAAACAAATCACTTCAAAACTGCAATTAAGGGAGGCTAAGAGTACCAACAACTAAGGAAATTCTCCAACCGTTCATTTTCATTGATAACAACTTATTAAAAAATAGAAACTTGCTAAATGTATAACAACTATCAAAAAACATTTTAAATTTATATGAAATCTATTCTGAATTATTTGGGCAGAAAATAAAACAAATATACAAAATAAATATTACAGAACTAGGAAAACAAGCAATCTGCATAAACATGACATGCGTGAAATGTAGAGATCATAAATGAAGTACTTCGATAATTTAGCAAGTGCCTGTAGATCTTTACGAGTCCCTTCTGCCGAGAGCATTGAACAAAGAGTTTGGATGCAACATTTTCTACGGGCTCTACTTTCAATGCTGAGATTGACTTCATCAACTCACATGTCTTGGAACTTGAAACCTATATTGATAATTAATAAACTTTCAAATAAAATTTAATCTCTGCTTTTTTTTAGTTTCACACAGAGCTGCTCAAAAGTAACAAACCTCAACTATAGTGGGGACAGAATCCATGTTTGGAATTGGTTGAAGGGCTAAAACAGAAAGAAATGCATCTGTGTCAACTTCATACCTAACATACAAACAATTTGAAATCCATTAGCTTCACTAAAGTGAAATTCAGCACATGAAAAAAACCAAAATTAAGTAAAAAGTAGCTAGTCTACTAAAATGACTAAAGCTATTTATATGAACAAATGAACTCTGTGAGGCTTGTAAATAGTCTACATTGAATAGACAGAAACGTCGGACAAAAAGCTTTTCAACTACTACAACAAATGTTAACCAGTTTAGCCATTTGGAGAAAAGAATGCACATTAGAAAGGGGAATAGGATTGCCATATGCAGAATGCAGCAACTTGATAGTTTATGTGACACCATGTATACATACTAATAAATTAGGTGAGGACAACAATCTTAATATAATTATCTAACAAAAACGATTCTTCAAAGTGTTCATTATTCAATATTTTCTCATTTCCCTGAATTCATTGACAAACTACTCAACAAAATTTGTGTCTATAGCTGAAGGTAAAGAACAAATACCATGATTATGTCACATTGTTGAAATGGTTTGATAAACATAGTTTGTGAGATACCAAAAGAACCACATGTGAAATTTATCGCAGATAATGAAACAGAACTTAGGGACCCAAAGAAATACAGGAGGTTTAAGGAAAAATTGAGTAATTTGACAGTTATATTATTGTCAGACACTACGTTTGCTGTGAGTCTCACAAGCCAGGACCCGTCTTCACCATATACAACCCACTCAGAAGCTCTAACTAACTAGTAACATATTCTGTGCACCAAAAAAAACAGTGCTCAGTATTTTGTCTTTTTCATGGAAAAGCAAGAAGAATGCAGCTGCAAGCTATTGTGCTGAAGCTGAATATCATACAATGGCATAAACAACATGTGAGTTGATGTGGATTCATTTTCTGCCAAACACCTTACAAGTGCAATTATGCAGTGGTAATCAAGCTGCTAAACATATCCAGCAATCAAGCAACTGAAATTCTTTTTTACAAAATCTTTATCTGCAATTATAACTAGTTTAGTTGTAACAAGCTATGCTTGATCAACATTTATGATCTAGCTCGAGAAGATGTGTTCAAATTAGTCCCTGATTCATCAGGACATGGGCTGGGACGAAAATAACTAGTGACTTTAGCTTTATGCATAAAAGAAATACATACTCATGATGCCTAATCATTCAAATTAGTGATTCCCTATTTCATATGTCTCTCTCTCGCCTTCAGCTATCTCTCATCCCTTCCCCTATAATAACTTTAGCAGACACTAATAATTAAAATTCAAACCAATAACCATTATGCCTAAGATCATTTTAATAAAATTACAAATAACAACTTTTTTCTAACATTATTATAAAGCCAAATGTTCTTAAATAATAAATTCATGGAAAGAAGTCTAGTGATTTCAATTTAACATGCTCTACAACCACCTGACAACAAGAAGCTAAGTAGATCAACTCTTACCGTTCCCCTTTTGTTGGCAGTATAATTATTGCACGTGCCTTGTTGGCTGCTGCTCTTTCAAATGATTTTGTTAAACTAAGGCTGCAACTGTAAAGCCAAAAATTTCAGGATAGACCTCAGGAAATTTATGAGAAGGGATAAGAAGCAGACCAAAACTCAATAAGCCCAAAATATTAGCGTTTGTGCAATATTTGTGTCTTTATATAGTTATTTAGGAAGTTAGGGATCTGAATAATTAATGTTTCTGTAGTATTTGTGTCTTTAGGCATTGTTCTAGAATTCTGGTCTATAAACCATATTATTCTAGTAAAATTGAACTATTATGGTGTGTTCTTGAGTCTAAATAACATATGAGACATGTAAGGAAACAAGTTTTAAATCAACTCAACAATGACTCATTACTTTTGCTTTTACGTAACAGTAATAAACACTCACAATTTTCTAAATGTTGGGTTTGTGAGTATACTTTGAGTTGTTTGATGCAGTTCTTAATTCTTATTAATTCACTTTGAAAGGTTAGGAGGGCCAGAAAAGGAAAGTTCCATGATGGTGCTGTGTTCTGTAGTTTTTTGGTGTATATGATTGGAGCACACTGCTTGGATGGGTACTTCACTATTCTTACTTACCGTGGTGATAACATATATATTAATGTTAATAACTTTTTTCGATAATCTCTAAAATCAGATATCAGTGGAAGTGCAACACAGAATATTATTGTGTCGATGACCTTGACTTCTCCAATTGAAAATTAAAGCTAAAGGAACTAAGTTTCTCTCATAAGCAAACAAGATGGATGTAAAGAGAAACTAGACACAAATAATAATCTTAAGACACCCACTGCTTCACTCTATTTTACATTCTTTTAAAGGAACATTTAACAAGATCAAACAAATAGAGCAGAAAAGTCTCTGGCTTAAGAGAAGAAACAAATTTTAATTCTATAAAAGGTGTTTCCATGATTAAAATAGGAAATTACCCAGCATTGATACCTCTTGCTAAGGACATCAAGATGATTTAAATCTTTTGCAATACTGTCAGCTATTCTATCAATCTGTTTTCTTGGAAGGTCAGACATAAGAAGGATTCTCTGCCTCCTGCATAGAGATGAAAAAGCATATTGCTGAAGCCACCAATCAGGACACAAGATAAGGGCAATGAGCAACTACCTTGTCTGAACAATTTACCTAGCTGTAGCTGTGCCTAAGCGCACAGCAAATTCATGATACTTATTCAACTGCTTTAATATGAAGGGAAGATGACTATTCATGCCACAGATAATGATATGATCAGTCTCTAGAACTTGCATTTGGGCCCCCTCCCTGAGCTTTTGCATATTACTCTGTTAAGAAGACTGAAAATTAATAGTACACACAGAAAATAATGTTTAAGGAATGCTTAATGCTTCAGATTTTACCCTAAATTGTTCAGTCATCGTACTTAGAAGCCGAGAGTAAAACAATATACCCCATATTGCAAGAAGAAAACCAATAACACGCTCAACACGTGTTGATTGCTGTAGATCAACAAAGGTATGTTATTTGGTTACACAGTAAATGCTTATAAACAATGTGAAAGGGGTGCGTAAAACACCAGATTACAAATTCATCAACAAAACCAACATACTTTTAAATGAGTAGACGATGAACAAAGGCATGCCCAGGCTTCCCAGAAACAATCTTCCAGAGAATTTTTATTACCCCTGGATAATTTAAAATTGACCCAGATTAACAAACATAACAGTTCATCATAATTTAAGCTGCCATGATCTAACACAGTTAGTGTAAAAGAAGAGCAATAAAAATTGAACTTGGACGTGAGAGCACTCTTAAAATAGTGACTTATCTATGACTACCTGAGCTTAAAGAACAGGAGACCACCAACAATAACAAACGAGAAGCATGCCATAAGGAGCACCACAAAGAACCTGAAAGAGTCCATATGATTGTTTCAGACAAGAATGTATATATCATTAGTTTTTTAATTACCTCAAAATAGTTGGTAACATAAACAAAATCGGCTGACTCAATTCACAGACTGAAGCCACTCAATATACATATTCTACAAAGTGTTCAGGAAAATTCTCAGTTAGCCTTCTTAGCCACAAATAAGTAAGCTCCATGGTCCTTTCTTTGGAATAGCTGCAATAAAGTAGTGCAAGTGTTTGAAAGCACAGCACCCAAGGAAGCATGCAAATTTTCCTACCCAGAGCTATGTTTTGAAGAATGGATAGTTCCTACAACAATTTTGTGTTCCACTCCATCCCTAACCATATGCACTAAATCCTTGAAAAATAACCATGTTTATCGAGAATTGTCTAATTTTTTTCCCTAAAAGCTCACAAGAGTTTTACCAAAAGGTGCTAGCAAACTGTCTTATGACATAAAACAAGCTATCTATTTCAAATCCACCAAGATTAACAAATAATGCACGAATAGATGACCATAAATTCCAAAGACTGCAATTTTTTCACAAAGACAGTTGGGTTCTGTTTACAGTAAATTCATGAAAATTATTCACCAAAATCAATGATAAAATGGTAGCTAAAGTTACTTCACGTAAAAAAGCCAGTTTAGCTAGACAATATGCTAAATAGCACACGAAGCAAATCATTTGCAAGGTCCCATATATAGCATATCATTTGCCTCAAAGCCATATCATAACATCTTAATGCTGCTAAATTAATATAAATATTGTATACCAAGATAAACACACCAAAAGTATATAAAAAATGCTACTTTAAAGGCTTTAATCAAGTGAGAATCTTCAAATTTCTTAACCAGTAGACAGAAAATTTCCCAGCCAAATAATGAAGTGATTGACTTACGTGGCAACATTTCTTTCAAGCTGGATGTTAAATAAATACAACAACCGTGCTAAGCTCCATCTAATATCATGAAAAGAAGGCAAGGACACATCTAAATTAAGAGGCTTAGGTTTATTCAAGGTGTTAGAGACACAAGCAAGAGGCAAGCTGGTTGCAATCTGAATCTGACACACATATGGAAGAATTGCGTGGCCAACTTTTATCATCAGATCACACAACTGCTTACGGGTCAATCTCAGTGTGATGTACAATGACAAAAATTGTATCATGCTTCTAGGCTGCAGACCCTGCAGCATATATTGTATTTTGAGAGATTTAGTTAGCACTAAGTGATGCAAAGTCTAGCTAGTCAAATCCGATGATACATCAATTTATCCAACATACTTGAGTATGATGCAACGATGATATTACCATAGACAAATAATCAGTAGAAAACATATTTTCAAAAATCCTTACTTGCACAAAAGAAACAGTCATTCGTGGAATATATTTAACAAGCAATCCTACAAGGATTTTCTTTTAGCCAATATCACTATCATTGATTTTTACTTGCTCCATTATCAAGTACTAAATTAACAGGAACAATGTCAAGGACTTTTAGTGGCTAAAATATAGTCGTTCTCATGCACAACATGCTTCAAAATAAGGAAATAGGGAAATGCACTAATATTAACACTTCAACCTAAATAATAAGGACCTTGAACTGCATGCTTGAAAAGAAAAATACAAAACGTATATCAAGAATAAAGGGAAGGAACAATGTGCACTTAATCAAAAGAAAATAACGCAATTACTGTAACAAATTTATACCATTTTCCAAGTTTTATCATATATTTCTCACCTGAGAACTGTTATTATTTTTCTTCAACGAAACAAACTCAGTGCCCAAATTTTCCGGGATATGTTTGTAAGTGTTGGAACTTGACTTAACTTCTGACCTGTGAGAATCAACGTCCCATCTCCCTACAGGGATTTCATCAATTCATCACCTTTAGTTTTAGGTAAGAACAGCCAACAAAATTAATCCACATTATTTCAAATCAAACAAGAAAGAGAATATCATAGGAAACAGAAAGATGGACAACAAAAAAGGCCAATATTTAAAGCTGAACCAACAAAATTAAGTTCTCACAAAAGAAAGAAGGGTAAAGAATAAACATAGTTGATTAGAGATCAAAAACTCCACTAAGACATTGTAGAAGCTCATGGAAAGAAATATTCCAGGAAAAAAAAAACAATTTCAACTAAAAAAAAGTAGATATATCCATCTTGAAAAATCCACTAAGATCTAAACATACCAAAAATAAATAAATTTAAGATATGATGGAAATGAAGTTTTATGATATTGGAAGTGTGAATCACTAATCTTTTCACACTTTCTTGAGTTTCTTTTGTTATATGCATATATCATAAGCCCAATCTGAAAGCAAGTGGAAATAATCTTCTCCTTTCTTTTCTAATGAAGCTAGCATAGTTAACAGAAAAATGTTCCTCTCGTCATAATCAGACAAACAACCACAACAAACTAAAGCTTAAAGTACTACATAGTTGAGGAATTAATTGATAGAATAACATACGTAAACAATTTAAGAATTGTGAGCTATTTGGATCAATCATTTTATAATTTCATGACATGAGAAGAGAAGAGTACAATACATCAGAATTGGTCACAGAACAAGTAACAAACTTATCAAACCATATGAAAAAGCCTTCATAAAAAATATATAGAGGACGATAAGAACCATGTACGCTAATAAGTAAGAAAAGTACTGCCTCAATTTCTGACCAAATTTAATAATTTGACTTGGTTCTGTCCTATGGTTTACAATTATTAGACTTGACTCTGTCCTATTCAATTAGACGAGGCTCTATCAAACACAAGTGACACAACATATTATCTACTTCACTTAATGACAATTAATGGTCTTCTGAATCTCAAATATTTCCAAATACTTGAAATCTGAAGCCATCATCCTCAATAAAATATGAAATTATGCATATCACAACTATCAGTTGGTAAAAAAAAACCTATCTGTATTCATGGAACTAGTTGTTCTGTTATAAATATTTGTTGGCAGAGGAAAAGAAGGCCAGCAGTAACTCATAAAATGGTAGAAATTATAAGGAAAAAAAATGGATTAGGCCATTTTAGATATACACAATTGAATACAAGATTTTGTTTGAGTGAAATTTGGATTTCCATTTGATAATGATGCAATAAATGACATTTTAAGTAGGTACACAAATCTCCATTCAGTTTAATGATAAACAACAAGAACATCTTATCCTACAAAAACTTAACTTTGACAAGTTTAAGATCTTGTAGACTCAATAAAGCAGCATTATTTCAGTGAATAAAAACTAAACGAATAAAGTCCCATATTGTTTTCTCTTGCTTCATGGAGCTCACCTTCAGCGTGCCCTCTAGGACCGCCCATATGTAATGCTGAGGATTTAATCCAGCTGAAGTGACAGGGCATATACCTCCTGTGAAGTATCATAAGCAATTAAACAGATAATTCTTCTTCTAACACCACCTCTAAAACCTATTTAACCAGTTCTAAGGTTTCTAACTTTGAGACATGCAAATCCATTGAAGATAACATGAAACTACAACAGGTAACATAAATTGTTCCCAATTCTATATGTGCGTGTCTGTGGAGAGAAAGAGAGAATATAAGGGTGTGCCTGGAATTGCCAGTGATTGACGACAGATGGGTGTATTTTGGTGGCAAAATCCATGGCTGACAGCTTTGCAGGTGAAAGAGAAGCATTGTTCCTTTTTCCACTGGGAGAAATCAGAAAGGTCTGACAAAACGAACAACAAAAACGTTCAGCATCGGATAATAAGTGGAATGAAGAAAGTACTGCCGAGGGAGTGAAATACAATGTGATAATTAATTAAAATAATAACATAGAAAGAAAAAAATTGAGGAAGAAAAAGAGATAAAATAAGCCAAATTGAAAAAAGTGATTAGTTAGTGATAATAATTAGCGAAGAAGGAAAGACAGCGTTCATTAACTGTGAAGTGGATGGTGAAACGAAAGAAAGACAATACCAAAAATTAGAACATCATTTAATTAAACAAATTGAAAAAAACCATGTCACAAAAGAACAAAAATACTGCGACCAGTAACGTGAACAATCCCTTTCACGCTGTGGACATACTTGACTTATTAATGGTGCTGTGTCTTGATTCCTAGGTGGATCTGAGCCATAGTTTTGTAACAATTGAATCTGAGAGTAATATTTTTTTATATATATATATAATCGTAAATAAATGAATATTCGCCGACAAAATGTATTAATAAAATAATAGTGATAAAGATTGAAAAATTGTTTAAAAGAATAATGAATTTTGGTAAAGAGAGAAACAGCTGTTGGAACTTGAAGGACTTGACTTTGTAAGATGTAGGTTGTTATGTATGATAATTATGAGGTGAATCCTGACATGTGACCTGGGCCATGACATTCCTTACACACTGAGCTAACATTTCAACTCTTCAATCCAATGCCTCACTCACTTGCTCCATAGCATTCTTAATGGGCTATGTTGGACCCTACCCTCTACAGTTTAGTACGTACACACATCCACATCTTGCTGTTGCTTTTCAGCTTGATACTGTTGGTGGTGTTGGTGCTTCAACCACCACCTACGCTTGTTTTTATTAGGGGTAATGAGCAGCACACCTTGTTTTCTACTCTATCCATTAGACAACAGTTTATTTGGTACACTTAATTATTTTATATTATAGTGGCACTTAAAAAAAATTAAAAAGTTAAAATAAGCACAAGTCAAAACTTAAAATGTAAAGGGGACAACAACGATAATGGAGTAACAAAATCATTATTCATCGATAATTTTATGTGATTATCCTTTATTATTTTCTCGGATTCGTTCTTTTTGGTGGCGTAGTTGGCATGCTCTAACCTCAAAATGTAGAGAAGGAAACAATGCAAATGTAAACAAAGATACTGGAAGAAGCAGCAACAAAATCGCGTTTCTTTCATCAGTAGTTTTCATCCGCGATTGCATCCTATTGTCCTTCAGTCTGTTCTCCGTTTTGTTCTTTAATCCTGCTGGTGTCGTGGGTGGCGTGCACTAGGTTGGGTGCAGTTTGTTTTTGTGTTTGGTTTTGCGTTTCTGGGCGATACTTCTGGTTTTGTTCACTATGAATATTTTATTTTTCTACCCTAAGTGTTACTTTAATTAATTGTTTATGAAAGGACCAAGTCCTTCATAAATTTGGTCAACATCTCCATGAAAGCACTAAGTCCACACCACTGATTAATCAATGAAAGTAATGTAACCATGGAGCACTGCGAGTCCATCTTTGGTATATGGGGTCTGTCATGACCAATTACAATAAACTTAAAAAAATATTTATTTTTTAATAAATTTGTATAAGTCAACAACTATGTGAAAAAATGAAGTCCATACCATTGAATGGTAAGTAAGTAAAAGTAATGCACTCATAGAGTCATGCGAGTTTATGTTTGATACATGGGACCTGTCATGATTAATTACAATAGATCAGATTCAGTTATGCATCTATGCCAACATAAATTGTTAATATAATTTATAAAAGTGGTTCTTTCTTCATTATTTTAGTTAAGTCAATAACTATGAAATGATCAAGTCTACACCATTGAGTGGTCAATCAGTGAAAATAATGTAGCCATAGAGCCTTCGAGTTCATGCTTGACACATGGGAACCTGCCATGACCAATACAATAATAGACTAGGTTCAGTCCTACATTTGTGCCAATAGAAATTGTTAATACAATTCAAAAAAATGGTTATTATTTCATAAATTTAGTTAAGCCAACAATTCCGTGAAAAGACCAAGTCCACACCACTGAGTAGTCAAGCAGTGGAAGTAATGTAGTCATGAAGCCCTGCGAGTCCATGCTTGGCACATGGGGGCCTTCATGACCAATTATAATAATCTAAGTTCACTCTTATATCTATGTCAATATAAATAGTTAATATACAATTCAAAAAAATAATTTTTTCTTCATAAATTTGGTTAAGTTAACAACCCTGTGAAAGAATGAAGTCCACATCATTAAGCGGTAAGTCAGTAGAAGTAATGTAGTCATGGAGTCCTACGAGTTCATCCTTGGCACATGGGGCTTGCCATAACCAATTACAATAGACTAGATTCAGTCATGTATCTGTGCCAACATAAATGGTTAATATAGTTCAAAAAAGTGGTTTTTTCTTCATAAATTTGGTTAAATCAATAACCCCATTAAAGAATGAAGTCCACACCACTGAGTGGTGAGTCAGTAAAAGTAATGCAGTCATGGAGTCCTACAAGTCCATACTTGGCACATGGGGGTCTATCATGACCAATTACAATAGACTAGGTTCAGTCTTACATCTGTGCCAACATAAATAGTTAATACAGTTCAAAAAAGTAGTTCTTTCTTCATAAATTTGGTTAAGTCAACAATTTCGTGAAAGGATCAAGTCCATACCATTAAATGGTCAACCAGTGAAAGTATTGCAACCATGGAGCTTACAAGTCTATGTTTGGCACATGGGGGCCTACCATGACCAATTACAATAGACTAAGCTCAGTCTTGTATATGTGTCAACAATAGTTAATACAACTCAAAAAAAGTGGTTCTTTCTTCATAAATTTGGTTAAGTCAACAATTCCGTGAAATGACCAAGTCTTGCATCTGTGTCATGAAAAGTGGTTAACACATTTGAAAAATGAGGATATTTGATCAATAAATTGGTTAAGTTAGCACATCTGAAAAGGATTCTATTCACATTAGAGAGTGAATCAATGCAATGATACAGTCCTTCAAATTAGCACATGGGGGCATTAGAAATAACAAGGAAGACATTCACACTTTTCACACATCAACTGTTTATGTCATAATGAGTGATAACCATATTAAAAAGAATGCATGAAATTTTGTGTTAATATTAAAATTGATTATAAAGAAGTCAAATTAAGGAATCAATGCATACACACCTTTCTATGAGTCCTCGTACGTCTATGGCTAGTCGTATATCTGGTTATAACATGTTTACACAATCATCATCACCAATATAACCACACATTTTATCAAACAACTTACATCCAATCAACTAAAACACTGAAAACAAGACAACAAACCATACACAATATATTTCACCACCCATAGCCACAATAAACACTCAAACCACACAAAAACAAAATAACATACACAGTATTGTTAAACGAGTCTCAAAGCTTTCAAATATGTTATTTCCCACAACCAACCAATCAACTCTCAGCACATTACAACCAAAAGGAAAAGGAAATGTGATTTGTTAAACCCACTAAAATAGTTACTATACTCACTCTCACTGTTAAGACACTCATACTATCGATATGAAAAAAAAAACATGTTGGCAAAATTTGGGTCATGTATATATATGATACATAATTTAAATGTGTTAGGGTCATTATTTATTAAGCCAAATAATAAAGTGATCTGACTAAATTAAAGTTTTGGCTAAAGGCATATGTCATGAAAATAAAATTATGTAGAGACCATAGAGCAATTTCTAATTTGATGAGGGGCCAAATTGGAAATACTAAAACTTAAGTAATTAACCTAATTCTAGTTATCTAAAGGGTCATGTTCCCCTTCTGGGAGCACACACACAGAACGTAAGTATCAGTCTCGTTCCTTTCTTTCTATCCTCATCAAGAGAGAAAATTAAGAGGGAAATACAGGTGCTCTTCAGGTGGAAGACTATATGATCAATATAGTACTCTACAAAGACATCATCATTATGGCTAATTCAGGTACGCTTTCGCATTCAGTTTACAGCATGTTTATCAGTATGAGATTATGTTTATGTTTGATCGTTAGAATCAAAATCGGGATTATTATTATTATTATTATTATTATTATTATTATTATTATTATTATTATTATTATTATTATTGTTTTTCCAACAATTGGTATCGAGTCAGCCCATATTTGATTCATGTCTCTGTTTAATTTATAGAACCACTAATTATGAAAATTAAGATTAATTTTGTTTTAAACAATTCAAATTACCCAATTTTATGAACCCTAAGTGGAGGATAATCTCTAATTTTTGTAAACCCTAAAATTTAAATTTGGGGGTAACATTCCCAATCTGATTCTGCTTGCTGATGGAACCGTGGAGGAAGCTATGGATTCTTTTTCTTCTTCATTTTTCCCTTTTGTTTCAGTTTAAGTTTCGAGTTTTACTGAGAAAGAAACAGTGTTTCAAATTTCAATTTTTTTTGTATTGGGTTCTCTGTTCTTTTTTAAATCTTTTGTTTTTATTTAATTTTATGGGTTTGGAATTGGGAGTGGTGTTTGGGGAATTCCCAATATAGAGGATCTTAGGCAACTGGTAAATGTTTCCACATGTGTGGCTGTTATTATTTTATTGTCTCTATCCCCTATGAATTTAAGGAAAATTTGATGTTAAATTAGGGTTTGAGTGATTACTGTTTAATTCCCTTTTAGGGTTTAGAGCAGTATGCTAAAGAGACTCAGAACTATCTATGTTTCATCCCTAGTGTGATTTTAGGGAGATGTTCATTCTTTATGTATTGGTGGAAAATGAGGCCTTTTTTCATCCTTTGATTTATTCAAATGAGGTGTTCATCCCTAATGAGATTTTAGGGAGGTATTCATCCTTAGTAGAATTCTAATGAGGTGATTCTCTTTTGAATTAGTTTGCAAATATTAAATATTTAGTTTTGTTATATAAATAAAATATTCAATTTTTGATAGTTTAATATTTTTTGTGAGCAAATTGAGTCAAGAAGTCACCAAAGTAACTTCTCTTGAATTGGACGAGTTCATGAAAAATATTGAATGTTAGTGTTTGTGTATATTCATGCGAGTATTAGTAGGCCCGAAAGGAAGATTAATATTTGGCCGAATTGCATACACACTTGTAATGATAAACATGTGATAATTATAAGGATTTGTTTTGTCGATGATAAATCAATCCAAAGATTGGTTTGTTGTTGGACGTGTTTTATTGTCAATGTTTGATTATTACAACAAGATACCTCTAGCGAGTTAATATTACTTGTCCAAAGACTTGATATTGATGGTGCATTTGGTGTCTTGAGATGGGTTAAACCACTATTTGAATATATATTATTTATTTTTTATATAATGTGAGCATAATTAGTTTATTTCTCGTGTTCTAAATTCAGCTACAATTGCTTCGTATCCGACAATTTAAATTCGTTTCGATCCTCAATGGAACAAATTTTAAGGACTTGGAAAGAGAACATTGATATTGTTCTTAGTTGCATGGATATGGATCTTGCGTTAAGGATCGAGCAACCCCTACTCCTACTGATTCAAGTACCTCTGAATAGAAAAGAGATTATGAGAAGTGGGATCGCTCAAATCGCATGAGTCTAATGATCATTAAGTGCGGCATCCCGGGGGTGTTTAGGGGCACTGTTTCTGAAAACATCACAAGTGCCAAAGAATTTCTTGCTGAAATTGAGCAGCGCTTTGCAAAAAGCGATAAGGCGGAGACAAGCACTCTTCTTCAGAACTTGATCTTCATGAAATATCAAGGCAAAGGAAATATCAGGGAGTACATTATGAGCATGTCTAATATTGTTTTTAAACTCAAGACACTAAAGCTTGAACTCTCAGAAGACTTGCTCATTCATTTGATGTTGATTTCTCTTCCTGCAATGTTTAATCAATTTAAGGTATCTTACAACTGTCAGAAGGATAAATGGTCTCTTAATGAGCTTATTTCACATTGCATACAAGAGGAAAGACTAAAGCAAGATAAGACAGAAAGTGCTCATTTTGCAAGCACCTCCAAGGCTAAGGGCAAAAGAAAGAGATCAGAGGATCTCGAGAAAGAAGCTGCTAAGGGTCCAGAACAAAAGAAACAAACTCAATAAAACAAATGTTCTTTTGCAATAAAACTGGACACATAAAGAAGAAATGTGATAAATATCATGTTTGGCATGAAAAGAAAGGGTTGCCTAAACTAATGGAAGCCAATTGATTTTGAAAGATGGATTTATGTTGGAGATGGTAAATCGGTAAAGGTGGAAGCTATAGGACATTTTAAATTGTTATTGAGTACTGGTTTTTTATTTGGATTTGAAAGACACTTTTGTTGTGCCGTCATTTAGACGGAATTTGGTTTCATTTTCTTATTTGGACAAATTATGTTATTTGTGTTCATTTGGAAACAATAAGTTCTGTTTGTCTTTTAATTCAGATATTGTTGGAACTGGTTCACTTTTGATTTATGATAATCAGTATTTACTTGATATTGTGGCCACCTATAATGAAATCCTTAATACAGAATC